TTCTCTATGGTTCGGAAACTTGACATGTGCTCCACCAACAGCCGATTGCGGACATACATCGGCAGCTACCTCATTCTATACTTAACACAGAATAGCCATCCACAAGGGATGAACTCTCACTGGCATTGAGACAGCCCAAAACAGCCTTTTCACCTATTGTTACTCCCTTGGATACCGAGTGGAACATGGAGCCTCAACAGAACATCTCCATTTCTTCCTGTTCTCTTCAGTCCTCTTCACCAGGCCCCACAAATGTCCATAAGCTCTCATCTCAGACGCTCAACCCATCGTTCCCTACTCAGGTCCCACTTGAGGCCAGGCGTGAGATATTAGCCGCTGGTCTCCTCGGAGTGTGTCTGATTCATCACCATCTTCGGAAGTTTTATGGGCAATAGGTTCTTGACTAGTTCGTTCCCAGAGTTTCTTTGGCTAATACCTTCTGGTCAGCCATTTGATCTCCATTATGAAGCCACAGCAGCCACCGATAATGATCTGAAACCTGTTGGGAATGCTCTTCGTGACACGCAGTGCAAGTCTCTGAGCCGTATGGGAAAAGTGACCAAATTAACATTATTGTTCTAGACTGTAATCTCTTTCTTTGTGCTGCGGAGTGCAGACGATTTCCAAACTGGCCTCAGAGTGATGGAGGTCCGCCTCACCTTTCCGATTCTGGCTTCACTATCGTCATCTATTCTGTCACCAATAGTTAGAACAATCCTTCATATATGAGTGAGGGAGGTGACCTCTTTCAAATTTATCCCACTGATGATGAGTGGTTTAATATGTTCATCGCCTGTCTTCTCCGTGTTGACTTGAAGTCCGAGCTTCACTGCCTACCGCTTCTGACAGCTTGTTAGTTTTCGCTTCTAAGTCTTCGCGTTTACCCGACATTAGGCATAACTTGTCCACGAAGTTCAGATCTTCTAGAGTCTTTTTATCGGTCAAGCGCATTCTTGCCTTCCCTCCCCCCCCCATATACGGTGTGCTACATAATCCAGTCCATAATACTTAGGGATATCATTAGTGATAGTAGCATCCTTCTCTTCCTTCTGTCTTCCGTTCAAATGCTTCTCTGTGTCTTCCGTTGCGGATCATTTGACATGTTGAACGAGGTTGATAGTAACTTGGGCCATGCCACTGTATTATAGTAGTTTCCAAATTACTCCGCTGTCAAAGTCATCGAAGACCCTTTCAAAGTGGATGAAATTTGATGAGGATGCGTAGAGCTGCAAATAACCGGAGGCAAATGAAAACATATTAGAAACAAATTTAGGAAAATACCGAATAACATCACGCGTGCCAGACCCTAGAGTGGAACTCGAATTAGAATCCACGAGCTAGGTGTTTGAGTGGATATTTAGACAATCACAGGCATTCATGAGGCAGGCTGAGAGCATTGGCAGGGGATAGTTTGCAACCGCTATGTGACACCTAAGCCCTTCGTTTCACTCGGAACACAGCATAGTCTAATAAATAGTAATAAAACAAATCATCATTTGCAACATGTACAACCCTTTATTTGTTACCGCCCTCCACGTCCATAATAAAATTATCCGGAAAGCTTTTCGAAAATTCTGAAACAAGTGAAAGAACGAAATACCTCATCGCGTTATTCATTCACTTATGCAATTAAGGGTTTCAGTGGTCAGATCACGAAGAATAAATAGGACACGTAATTACACCTTTCTTTCCTCCGGCCTACAGACCCATAATATAATTGAACTCTTTTCAAAATCTTGAAACAATGTTCATTTCACAACCAATTAAATAGCTAAGGGAGTAGCAGAAAATTTTGGTAGGAAATAGAAACCTTTTAAAAGTCCATATTTTCTTATGTGGCCATTAAAACGTTCTCATGACAAACAGTTCTAGAGCCTCCAGCAGAGCTCTAACAATTGACGGGGTAAATATTCTCCTCTGAGGTTCACTAAGGATCTAGAACCACTCCGAGGCAAGTGTGGAGATATCAATGTGCTTATATAAAATCTCAACTAAGGTAGTGGGTATTGAAAATTATATTTTAGATCGATGAATTTAAGCTTGTGAATATCGCGAGGCGATCCTTTCTTGAAGTAAGTGAGGCACTACTTCACTATCCAGAATGTCTCTTTGCAGCCCCCTCAAAAGAGAGTTGTCTGAGGGATGACTGTCCATTCTAAGGATATTGTTCTTTGGCATGATAATTCGGTTTTATGCCTTCGGTTGGAAAGGAAACGCTCTGTCCCCTTTTTCAAAATAGTTAGGTTGATAAGTTATACCGCTGCTTCTTCTAAGATTTCGGGGGAATTATGGTGGCCTGTCGGAATTTACAATATAGTCGTTCCATCTCTGCGAAAGAGGATGTAAGACTTTTGCAGAAGGCTCGATATAGACATGCAAATGTAGTAATGAATTTACAGTGACTGCACAATGACAGGCCTTAAATTCTACACCGCTACACACTGAGGGCTGAGGAGAAGCCTGATAACCACACACAAGAACACTAGGTACGACACTTGTTTAAAAGACAAGCCATTCCTGTGATCGTTATCACACAAGACCTGCGAATAATCTCTCATCACTAAGTTACATCTCTAATCGGTAAAGCAACATTTAGGTGGTTTATTTCTGACGTTGATGACCAGCTAACTGACCCAGTTACTTTCTATGAGACCACTGTTTGCTATTCCTTGTTACTTCCTTCTTTCTCATTTCCATTACTTTTGTTATCATCGCCTTACTTCCTCCACCATCACAAATAACAGGCTGGTTGGGGTCTTGAGTTATATACACCAAGGCCTCAATCCTAAAAATGAAATTAAAATTTTAAATATACTATCCCAACTTCTTGTTCTCACTAGGGGACCTTTAAGAAATAAAACAAAGGTAGCTGTAGTGACCACACCGTATTCCATATGAGTGGGTAGCCAATCCTCACCATCAAGAATAAGGTGAAAATCGATTAGATATTGCCCATCTTGTGAATTGTGCTTCCAACTGAGAATAAAACTTCTGCATTTAGCAACGCTCTTCGTAAGTATTCATTCTGCATGATATTTAGTTATGCTAGCCGTCTGCTTCATGGTGTCATCTCACACCTTCCCGATGCGTGACTTTGATTGTGTCTCACTAGTATCTCCCTGAAAAAACCCACTCGCGTGAAGGCGTTAGAGAAACAAAATCTTCGGCATCTCTCGACCTACATTTCGAAAATTTAATTATTTGTAAATATCTGTAATCACCTAATGACTTGCTTACACCGGAAGTTGGAGTTATGATATGAGAGGAGTGACTGGCAGCAGTGCTGAGTCTTGTAATTGGGGAGCAGTACCTATTCTAAGATTCAGTGATCTGAAAAAGTCCTACCAAAAGTAAAAAGAACCCATATGCGATTTCCAGATTTTCAGTAAACTGCAGTGCAACAGATGCAAGCTCACATAGTACTTGCTGGCTGGTGCATGACTTGTCATAGGGACGTAGTGTGGTTGGGGCTACCTTGTGCCATGTTGCCTCCTAATTAAAGAGGTCCAAACGAAAAGAGGCGACACGAGGACAAAATGGTAAGGTGGAACAACTATATTCTATGAAAAAAGGATCTAATACTACCAATGAGATGAGCGAAATCAGGAGTTTTGTGTGTTTGTCGGATGTTATGTAAGCACATTTTAGTTCCTGGGGCTGACTTATTGCTTCATTGGATGAGAGTGGTGCATTCCACCTGGAATGAATGTAGAGTGTGTGGAGGTTTCCAGCTCAGCTACGCAAGTGTTTATTTTGTTTGAAGAAGCAGTAAGTCTAAACCAAAATAAGTGGATTCCATTCGGCTTACTGTACTTTGTTGAATAACTTCAGAGATGAAACTAATTAAGTTAGTTTGAGTTGGTGTGTTCAGCTTGACTCAGGTGGAGATTTTGTGCTAGATCAATTGACTACCACTTGTGTCTTTGTGACGCAAGCAGTTAGCCTGAATGAAGCTGGAACTTTCATGGGTGTAAGCTACAAGTTGGATTCGCCCAAACAGCGTTCACAATTATGCGGATGTGACAGTGGGCGCTACTCTGAGGAGGTACTTCGTAAGATGGCGGTTAAAACTACCAAGTGGAACTGCAGTAAAGTTTTAGGTTATGGAAAGCTACGTTGAGGAGTTGCTTATGACATTATTGCTCCCTTCGAATCGCTGTTTTAGTTCATAAATATCGTTTTGGCATTTCCTCTTGGAAACTGCTTCTACCTGTCGCGGCGCTGGACTATGACTGTAATGATGTGTGATAGTTGAATGTCAATTGACTTTCAAGCCTAATCATTTTAAAGAGACAGATGATATTAAATTTTATGACCGCAGGACTTCAGTTGGTTGATTTCAGCAAATACTTGCTCCTCTACAGTTATTCTCCACTTTGAGTCCTGCCTCTGCTGGATGATTCGATTTGGGATTCTTCGTTGCTTCTCTGGTCAAAATTTGTAGCACCCACGCCATTTGGAAGCAGGCTTTTTATGGTTGTTCATAGATGATGTAACTATCTCACCTTGATGTCTTTCAGGACAATAAAAAACTTGCATTCGAACTACCCATCCGGAAACACAACCAGAAACATTTACCTGGTCGACAAGTCCCAACTAACTTGGAAGCTCTTACCTTGAGGCAGTCTACAACTCAGAGTTGTCGACATGCTTTTCAACAGATTTTTCTTTTGTGTTTACTATCCTGGGCATGGAAGTAATTATTTATATGTATGTCCTCACTCGCAAGTAATCTTTCATGGTTATTTTTAGTAGAGTCTTCATGAGGGCTGAAATAATGTGTATTAGGAAACAACAAAAAATATATATGCTTTGTTGTTAGCTTTTCGCAATTTATCGTTTGATTTAAAAATGTTTTAAAATCTGACTGGGCACAAGACACTAATTCAATTCCAACTTAGTTTTATTTCTATTGAATATTTTTTTGTTTGTTTGTTTAGAATAAATTGAAACACTAACCAATTGTCTTGGAGCTAACGCTATTTTGACCAATCAGAACCATGGATCGTGGTGAGCATATAAATGATACGGAGTGCGGTTATGTTGAGTCAGAAGAAGAAGCTAGGATGACGGAGAAGGACTTAGCGGAGGACGCGCAGTGGAAAATATTTCAGAAAAATACATTCACACGATGGGCGAATGAGCATCTCAGAAAGGTTGATCTACACATCGAGGATTTGGAGACTGATCTGAGTGATGGCTTGCGATTAGTTGCACTTGTCGAAATATTGTCAGGTCACAAATTTCGTCATATCAATAAGCGACCGACATTCAAGACTCAAAAACTTGAGAATGTTACTACCGTTCTCAAGTTCCTCGAGGAAAATGAAGGCCTGCGTCTTGTCAGCATAGGTATTTATAAATTAAGTTATTCTTATATTATTTTAGATAGCAGTCACATAGTTGATTGCAACTTAAAACTTATATTAGGTTTGATTTGGGCACTTATCCTGCATTACTCAATATCAGTGCCTCTCATTGAAGATGAAGAAAACGTACCGGAGGTAAGCATACGCATTCAGTATTGCATCATGTTTTGAATTAAGTTGCATGATATGTTCCTTTAATCACTATTGCATTTTGTGACTAGTTATCATTGTGACAAGTTGACACGATTCTGCCTTATTCAAGACAAACATTTACAGCTTTCTTCCTAATGCAACTAGGGAGTGACTTAATAGCCGACACCAGCTTGAAAGATTTTATGTACTGAAATAGATTAGCTGATTGATAATGTGCGAGACTGAGGTCTAGTTATTACTCCATGAGCCATGGATTACTGACTTTAACAGACCAACGTTTAACAAGAAATTCTATGAACCTAAGTTCTGTCCATGATTTCTTATACTCTCACTTTCGTATCATTTATAGGCTAGTAGGGTTTTAAAGTTTGAGGTACTATTTCAGTATTTACTTCTGGTTCAGTGGGATTTTACAATCAAAATAATGGTGTATTCACAGAATATGTCAAACTTAACACTAGGAAATAGTTGTGACAATTTACGATGTGGCTAGTACATGTTGTTAGATGCGTGTAAGATGAATAACTTCACTAGATGATCATAACTGCCCCTTTCACAGTCTTCATTTTGTCAATGAAAATGTGAGATCTGTGTTTGGATGTTAGTTGACATAATATTCGTCTGGGCCATAAGGAAGTGGTCATTCTAACAAGCCATGGGTCCATGTCCTCTCTTTTGTGGGGACAGCAATGAAACAATTGCTACATTGCAGCCTAAAGTCACAGGAAAGCAGTGAACCTGCATAACATAATTGAGACTGTTGGATGCGAAGAGGTTAACTCTACTGGGATTTTGGCATGCCCCATTGTAGGATGAACAAATTTCTTCATAACAACCATGACCACTGGTAGCTGACGGAAGCAAATTAGAAGGAAATCAACACTAGGTAGTACTCACACATTCTTCAAACATTAGAAAGACTACAGTGAGTTAATCTACAAGGGAGATAGTATTTTAAAATCTTGAAAATGACGGAGGCGTAAGTCGAAAGCATATCAGCTGACTTACAGCTTTATTTCAGTTGCATTAATGTGGATGTTTATCCCCGAGTTTTGGCCAAATTTACGATGGCTCTGTGAAATTTAAAACGGGTCAAAACAACAGCCGTCATCGAAATTGGTAGTAAAGACTGATTAACTATGTTACCCAAGCCACTTATTAGTGTATTAGAAAAATACTTAATTCCAACGAACTGGTGTAGATCACCAATAATTCTAGCCAAAAAACAAAGCTAATAATTGCAGCAGATGGATCTACTTGAGTGGGTATTCATCTAAGAATCTTGTGTCATCAGTAAGACAAGGGATAAGTGGAGCTCCAGGATATGGAGTCTAATAAATACCAGCCTTGTATTAAAGTGCATGACTCGTATATTCACCCTGGTAGATACACATATTGTTGTTCAGCACGTAATATTTTTTAATGCAAAGGTGTCATTTAAGTTTACTAATCAAAAAGCTTTGTGGCTATGTTTAACTGTGATGTGCTATACTAGTCGAAGCTCAATAGTCTAGATCACCCAGATATATAGAGCGACCAAAATAAACAGTACCCGCCAGAGATGCATGTGTCACCACTCTTCTTCAACTATTGCAAACATTCTAGTGGCAATAAGTTTCCTTATACCTAACATTGAACATTGCGAACTGTTATCAGGGAAACAGTTGGTTGCCTTACAGTATTATGCAAATACGGTACTTAGGAATGAAGAGCCTCATGACATGCAGAATTCTGAACTATCTGGTTTAAAATCTCCATACATTCCACATGTACCTCGTTATTGTTGAATGTTTTACATGGGACATCTCTCACGATGAACTACTTACTAGTGAAGACTCATCATATATAGAAGTATCTTTTGGTATTTTATAACTGCTTCATCTTGGGATCAACATTTTGTTTAGCTAACGGTCAAAAGACAACGTGAAACATCGTAAATCGCTTCCCCTATCACAGTTATGAAACGTTCATACTAAAAGTGGACAAAAAAGCTTACGGAGCTGTAAATTATAGGTATCTTCTTTTCAGTGTTGGTGTTAGTTGAATCGCGTGAAAATTAATGCTGCGATTAAGCCCATGGTGTTCTAAATGGAAAGCAAAGCAATTAAGTGTACATGAAGTGAAATGTCTGAAAGATGTATTTTGCACGCAAGCCACGGTTTTGTCTGATGGAAAATATTCGATAAAGTATGATCAACTCTGACAAAAGTTATGGATGTCAAAACCAGAAAATGTTAGCGATCCATATGGTCTCTGACTGTTAGTTCAGTTTTTGTATGGAAGTGTAGGTTGCGTAGCTTAAGTTCTTGAGATGTTAACAATTGTTGGTTCGAGACTTGTTTACATGACTCAGTAATCTTCGGCATTTATAATAACATTTCACTCTTCGATTTATGTGGTGGGTCGTTGGTAAAGGAAACTCAGTTATATAAGTCAGCGTCATGAGTGTGGTTAGTCGGTGACCTTCAATATTACATCCATTTTACTAATCAGTGGTTACCGTCTGGTTGGTGTCTTGTATTCCTCTGTGATACACTGAACTATAACAGAGTTTTCATGCTATGTACGCTTTATTTTAAGTGTTAGCGTCAATACACCGATCTGTTTTATATTGCCCACTTAGTTGGCAAACACCTATAGTAATAAGACAAAATGTATAATTACTTTTTGAGCCTTTGACATCTATTTGTATTCAACTTCTATAACTTGCCATTGTAGTAATGCCTATTATTTCTAATGCTATGTTCCCTAAAATTTGTTTTCACTTTCAGCAGGATAAAAACCAAACACAAGGCCCCAAACAGCGTTTGTTAGGTTGGGTGAAACAAAAAATGCCGGACATTCCAGTACGAAATTTCACAACAGATTGGAACGATGGTATCGCTATTGGAGCTCTCGTAGATGCTTGTGCTCCTGGTCTGTGTCCGGATTGGGTTAGCTGGGATCAAAAGAAACCTTTACGTAATGCTACAGAGGCAATGACAGCAGCAGAAAACTGGCTCTCCGTTCCTCAGTTAATTCGACCAGAAGAAATGATTGATCCCAACGTTGATGAAAAGTCTATGATGACTTACATTAGTCAGTTTCCTAATGCTCGTTTGAAAGAGGGTGCACCACTGAAGGATAAACTCAATCCGTCGAAGGTGCGAGCATATGGTCCAGGTAATGATTTCATTTTGTTTGGGAATCAAATCGTTTTCGGGACTTTACTAGTAGGGTAATTACCTATATATATATATATATATATATATATATATATATAGCTGATTCTATAATTTTATCAGATTAACAATGGATAATGACATTGCGTATTATTTCTAATTACAATACCTAGTAAAAAGTGAAGATACATATTTCGTTTGTAAATCCAATAAATTTTACCTCACCTCATCAGTATATACCATAACCTATTGTGTTGAGTTTTGCTTAAGAAATGTGGATAAGTGGTATGTGGTATCACATCTAGAGACGCAAGAAACAGTAGTCTGCCGTTGCAGACTTCAAAGATAAGGATTATACAATATTGAAGGTATAAAAGAAGTATGAGAGGAATGAGATAGGAATACTTTGAGTGAACAAAAAGACTCTAGAAGACTCCGACTTTGCAGACGATTTATGCCTGAAGTCAGTGTGGAAATCTGCTGCACTCGACATAATGATCAAGATTCAAACTTTCAACACTAATGTTAAGTCAGTTCTCCTATGTGGTTCAGAGACTTGTCGCGTCATAAATATCATTTCCAACAGATTGCAGACTTTTATGAGAAGATACCTTCGCTTTATACTGAAGATCAGATGGCCAGAGAGGTTTAGCAATAAGGAACTCTATTAACGAAGCTGACAAACAGCCTATAGCCCAACAAATTTGTCAGAGAAAATGAAGATGGATCGGCCGCACTCTCTTGGGAGACCGTTGACTGACATCAAACACTGGGCATATTGTCGAGTGAAACCTGATTGGGAAACATTGAGTTGGGCGTCCAAGGGGGACATTAAAGTGTGGTCGTATGAACAGGAGATGGGAACTCATTAGCAGTCATGGAACCAGATAAAAGGAACTACAGAGGACAGGCTGAAATGGAGATGTGCTATGGATGTCCTCTGTTTCGTGTGGAACTAAAGGAAATAATAAGGGGAAAGAACTTGAATTTTTCAATAGATAAATGAAAGAATATGGATTTTGTTTAGCAAATTATTATTTATTCACTGGTCATTATAAATGTTATCTTAATTCTACTTCTAACTTGTGCATATGCAAAATGGTTTATTGTTTCTTCCTACTCAAAACTTTTTAGGTTTGGAGGTGAATGAAAATAGAATTAGTGAACCGGCTAAATTCTATGTGGAAACAGCTGGAGCTGGAAAGGGTCAATTAGATGTTCTTGTTATCAATTCTAGAGGTGTCAGAGAATCAGTATGTTAATTTATTGTATATACTTTCATTTATATGTTTCGACTTATTGTTTCTTACTGTGACTGTTAATTAAGTAGGCCAAAGATGGGAAAAAAACACAACAAAAACAAACAACACTAACCAACATAGAGTTAAGCGTCTGTATCATACATATTATGTTCTCTCTCTCTCTCTTTACATTCACACTCTTACAGTCCATTAAAACAAGTCATACACTGGTATGTGTTTTGATTTGTGAAATCTGTATCTTGTTTCTGTTTTAAGCCAGTGACTAGAAACAAAATTATCATACTTAACATATTCACATAGATGATTCATATTATTGCAAGTGATTACGATTATTTTTCTTACCATGTTGTATGTTGTACATTTTTGGCAGACATAACTGACTAATTAGTAAATTTTGTAGTTTAATAATGAAATAGAAATATAATCACTGTGCAGGTTAGCCAGAAGGGTTGACTATACATTTCTTTGTAATTAATTAACTCAGTTGATTACCATGCCAAAACAAAATTAACGATTATAAAATGTGACCAATGTAATAGTAAGTCACTATTAGAGGAGTCCCTGTTGTAAGTAAATTTGTTTCGTTTATACCCTGATATGTGCGTCGGTGGCACAGCGGTTAGAACACTCGCCGATCATTCACATGGTCCAGGGTTCGATCTCCAGCCACGGACGCAATCCTTTACCTCGCTAAGCCAGAAATAATGCTGGTAAAGAGTAAGGGTTGGGCATGAGGCTAGCAGCCCCATCCTGTAAAATTAAACACTGCTACAGAAACTTCAAGCCGCCTGATATAGGAAGTTATCTCTATTTTGCTGGATATATGAAGTGTTATAAGGTTCTTCAGGACTAATTATGATAGGTGCTCACTCTCAGCTGAATAATGTTACGAACAGTGGTAAGGAAAATACTAGAGGTATTATAAGCGCATGGGATCTATGGTAATTATATTGACATTGAACATAAAAAGTTTAGTTGAATAGGAAGAGAGAACATGAACTTAACTGAACAGTTATATAATATCCTATTGATACCTCAAAGTAGTATACATTCGTATCCAACAGAGCTTTAGCTTTTTATTAGTGATCTCAATTAGAACGAATATATCTGCAGGACAATACTAGGTCGTTTTATTTCATGGATTCTCTTCAACTGAGTACATCCTAAACAAAGTCACTTATAAGTTATACAGTTTCTGAACATATTTTTACAGTGACTTCAGGTAATAGTCGTAGTAGACAAATTATTCGGTGTTAATAAAGTAACTATTTATATAATAATTAGACAAGGGAGGTGGAGTTCAGATTTCGTTTGGAAACAAGAATGGACTAGGGACAAAATACAAAATAGAACATAGCAGAGTGAATTTTTAAATATTATGATGGAGAGTTCAGGAGGGTGAGGGTGATTAGTAAAGTAACCTTATAAGATAGATAAAATAATTTATTAGATTTGAATCCTTAATACTGAGTTCAACTCAGTGAGTGAAAATTAAAGTCAAAATTGAGTGAATTGTTATGCAACATGACAAAATACAAAAGTGCACGAACAAAACAATTGTGGTTACGAAGTTAGTAAGAGATTAGTCACGTAACCTTTTTATATACAGAGGTTGGGTCGAAGTCTTTCGATCGAAATGGCTTCTGCGAACCGAAGTAACCATGGTTTACCTTGTGTATTGATTATTTAGAAAGCCTGACTAATTTCCACTGTATGTTCCGTGTCAATTAAGTGGATGGCAATTTCACTTGTGACCGCTTTTCTGCCTTCTAAATGGAGACTGTAAGGGATATGCTCTCCTCTCAATCCTTCCTATGTACTTGCTGCTGCAAGTGCAGGTGAATTGATAAATGAAGTTGAAGTTAATATGAACACGGTATTCATCTGCTTTTGACAGAGTGAACCAACATTGTGTTATAAAGTTGAATGAGTCTGGGGGAGGCAGATGTTTTTTTCAAAGCACCTTTAATTCTTTTTTCGTTCTTGTGGATACTTTTTCGCCTTTGAACGCTAGACAAATAAAAACTGGTTTCTTTTCACCTGTTTTGGTTTTTAGCGTAGGAGTTTTTTCTTGCCCATATTTTGATATGAACTTCTGAGGGTATCCATTGTTGATAAGGTTTTTTTCGATGACCGCGAGTCTCTCTTCGATTTTATTTTTTGGACACAATATCCAGCTCTGCCGAAGGGCGTTTTTTTCAGGCTCCGTTTGTAGCTTATTGAACAAAACCTGTGATGATTTAAGTATTGACCAGTCCAAGTTTCTTTCCTATCGATGAGTTTTTCAATTGTTCCATGATCTCTTTTTTTATGCTAAGATCTAGGAAGTGGGACTGATTGTCAAGTTTTTGATCCATTGTGAATTATATGTGAGGGTGAGTCACATGTAGTATTTAAAACATCGTGGATGCGTGATCCATATTATTGAAAACCACAAACGTTTCTCCAAAGTACCTGCAGTAATAAGTGGTTCTCGCTATTTCTGGCTTAATTAGTCTGTCCAAAATGAGCCATGAATATGTCCACAAGAACAGGACCCAAAGGTGAACTCGTAGCCACCCTGTTAATTTGCCTGTACATTTTTTTGTTGAATCGGAACTGAATATCCTTTACACAAAAAGGCAGTCATTTTCGCAGCTCTTTTTGAGGAAGAGGAAGTAGTTTGGGTTTCTGGCATATGATTTTCATCCTTGCTTCAATAGGCATGCTAGTAAACACTGAAAAAATGCTGTATGACACAAGAAGTTTGTCTGAAATATTCGGCTGATCTAATTCCCCTTGAGAATCAAAAGGAACCCTTGATACTGTGGACCGATAACTTTTTTTTCCGAATTTTTTCCAACTTTTGTGCCAACCGCATAGTCAGTTTATGGTATGTTGATTTAATCATTGAAATTATAGGTCGACATCACGTTTGTGGAATTTGAGTTGACCATACATGAACTCTACGCGTTAACCCCTTGCTTTAAAATTATGGAGTAAACTTAGTCGTCGTTCAATCGAAATTTTTATCGGAACACCCTAAATCAGATCCAAACACGGGTTATAGTTTAAAGAAAATACTGAAATCTCATGTAATCATTATTAGTCCATGTAATTTAAATAATGGGATACTGTCGGTTTCTTAGACGTGGGTCTAAAATATGACATCTTAGGTATTTCGCTTGTACAAAATCAAGCGTTAACTGAGTATTTTGGAGCAAGTCTCTTTTAATTTAGGATATGAAAAGTTTATCGCGCTTGTAGAGTGTGAACAGACGATGAAGAATATTTGTTTTTCTAAAAGGGGGGGGTCATGAATATTATTTTATGCGTGTGTCCTACTTACCTCTAATTACTGAGCTATGAATTATTCAGCACCTTCATTACGTATTACTCTTTACATACACTATAACTTGTTGTTTAAAGTCGATACATTTCTATACTACTGGCATCGTTAACAGTTATCCTGTCTTCGTGTGCTTTTGGAAGTGTGTGGGCGGTTGTTACTTCCCAGCTGCCCACCGTGGAAGTTGATTAATTCTTCGGGTACCTGAAACAGAGAGTGTTGCGTGACGGCAGAGCCCAGGGGACAACTGCTTGAGGCCGGTCACACACGGCCTGTATGAACTGGTTACTGGGATTGGTTCGGTATTATTAAACTTACCGCCGGTTACGGACCACCGTAGAGTAAGTCGAAATGTACAATTTTTGAGGTCGACCTTTTCTAACCCCTTCCCTCCGGAATGGAGGGACAGTATGTTGGTCATCTGGGGGAAACACCTTACTGCTGTTACACCCCTGTTCCCCAGCAGTATGATTTCGCTCTCAGACCCCCAGGATAGTGTAAGAAAGATTCTTACACGATGCCGGTAACTGCTTTTAGTCTAATCGCTATCCTAACAACTTCCTGGCATGGTAAGACCTGCAGGAACATTGGTTCCAGTCAGTGTAGCTTGTTGGGTTATCGCGATATGCAAGCCCGACCGCCACGTCAAGTTAGCAACTATCGGTCGGGTAACAGTTATCTAATTCAACGACAGTCCCATCTAGAAGTATTGAAATAATTCACTCTTAAAGATCTTATAAAGAAAGAAGTGTTTACAACAGGAATTTTTGAGGAAAGTTTAAATCCGAAGCTTTTATCTATGACTACCTTTTATCCAGTAAAGATCCAAGTTGATCGACTGCATTTCATTCCTCTAAGATTATCCTTTCTCATTAAGTAACTTTTGTGTTGTTTTTTTGTTTTTAAATCTCTCTCTCTACCTTAGTGTGAAGTAGTTTTTGATAATGAAAGAAGTCAAACGTATTCGTGTGTTTATGAACCACATGTAGAAGGTGAACATCGTGTCATTATTAAATATGGTGGTCAAGAGATCCCGAATTCCCATTTCGTGTCAATGTTAAAGGTGTATTTATAGACCCGAGTAAAGTAACTGTTAACGGTCCAGGAGTACAAAAATCAGAGCTTAATTGTGTTGGTCGACGTACCTATTTCAATGTACTCACTCATAGTAAGTTTTAATACAATTATACAGCTACTTTTTTTTAAATCAAAATTGTAATTTACACTCGTGTGTGTGTATGTATAGATTAGTGTTTTACAGTTTATTGTAATTTAGTATAATAGATAATGGATGGGTTAATTTAAGAAGAAGCTAATAACGTTTTTTGTTTATACAAATCTCAAAGGTCTCTAACTCTAATCGAATTATTTCTTTTGAAATACTAAATTAATTAGACTAGTCATCTGGGTACATCCAAACATCAGATGATGAGAAATATTTTTTTAAGTATATTGGTCAAATTTATTGTACCTAGTCAAAAGTATTTTGTTATATAAAACTGTTCAAATGTACTGTTGTACTGGTTATTAAATGCGTTGAGCATGAGTCATATTGTCTGATTTAGAGGAAGGCAGTATCTAGTACTGACTTAGTTGATTTATGCAGTCTCTTCTTGAAAAAACGAACAAACAAACATAAGTTAGTGAAGTCATAACACAGTCTGGTCAAAGATTATAAAAAAAATGCAAAAAAGAAGGGAGAGAAAAAGGAAGAAATGCACTTGAGGTATTGAATTAATAAGTATGTGTGGTTGCACACCTAATAGTAACTGAATACACTTCTATGTACTTGTCGATTAAGTGCATTTAGTTACTAAGTATATCACTTTATTATATTGATTTATAACGCATGAATATTCAATTGTATGATGCTGTTTTTATGAGTCTATACTATCAATATGACTTGACTATATATTTTAGATTCTGGAAACGGAACTGTTGACTGTTATATTGTTGATCCTCATGGAAAGAAAGATACTGTGAAACCGCGTATCACTTGTCCCGGTGGAGATGGTTGTTATGTTGTTGAATACACGCCTAAAGATGTTGGTATGCATCAAGTATATGTAGAGTTTGCTGATAAGCAAATTCCGTATTCACCATTCCATGTGGAAATAGCGCCTAGTAAGTCTTATACATTTCGTCAGTGGATTTTTTTGAGATTACGTGTTACCTACCGTAAGCTAATTATATATATGTATATCACATAATGCATAAATTTTGGTATTATTACATAAACAAAAATTATTTTATCCAGGAGAGTCTGGTAAAGGTAAGTAAGTAATACAAAATAGCATGCTGGCTTATAATTCTGCTTTAAAATCATCCATAGTTTGTCAGTCATTCTTAAAATTTATAAGTGTTATGTATACATTATAAGTTACTGATGCTCCTCATACATCCTGTTACATTTGTTACGTCTTTCACTTTCATCTAATCGTGTATGTATGCATAAGGATTATTCTTTATCTATAATTTCATAGTCTTTTCAAAATTTTATCACTGATACTATTACTGAATATGATATAAAGTATTTTTTGCTAACATCAGTTCATTGTGATTATACTCCCGTGATGATGATTGGTATACACGGTACTCCTTCATTCTCTTGTCTGGTTACATGATTTCACATTATGAGCTGACATCAGTTGAAGAACCATTGGAAATCCCACAGGGAGTACAGGATAGCCAACTGTTTCGTCAGACTAGTTTGGGACTCTTCAGTAGCTCTTACCCACCAGGGTTTAAACTCAGGTTACGAGGCGAGCTGGTAGACCATTAAGCCACTTGGACCCCATCCAATGGCCAGCACATGAATTGCAACTTATGCTATACCGGTCGAGCTATATCGTGAATCGGCAGAAGCTGGAATCCATGCGCTGGCCATTGGATCGGGTTCCAGTGACCTGATGGTCTAAGAGCTCGCTGTGTAACCAGAAGGTCCTGGGTTCGAACCTCAGTTGGTGCGCACTTCTGAGGAGTCTCAAACTAGTCCGAAGAAACAGCTGACTGTCTGGTACTTCCAGGTTTTACAGTAATTCTCTAACTGATATCAGCTCATGAGGAAATCCTGTAACCAATCAATCAAATCCCTACAAACCAACACTTGAACATTCCTTTGTCTGTCGCCTACAGACGTCAATGTAAGCTGCTAACGCGTGAAACCAGCTGATCACAAACATCCTGTTGAGATGATGGTGTTAACTGCTGTTGACATTGTTTTTTCTTTCTATTATAACATCATTTTGCTTTGTATAATTTATAAGTCAAAGTAATGTGTATCTCATAATTTGAAAGATATTACAGAGTATGATTACACTGTTATCTCTTCTTTCTGTTAAAAGCTTGTTTTTATTTAGCGTTATGTGATAGCTTATTCATTCTAAAAGGCAATTATATCTGCAATTTAAATATCCTAAGCATGCAAACATTCGGTCACATTTATATAATGTTCAGTTAAAAATAGAAGTGATTCTCTCTTATTACTTTTGTTTTTCTATAATTTAAAATAGCCGCTGCAGTTGCAGCTCTTTCATCTGTAGTACAAGATGCAAAACTTGACCAATACTTATCTGATTCAAAGAATACTGTTAAGCAGAACGGCTTAAATGGAACGCTTGATGTTAATTCAGAAGGTAATGAAGGTATGAAGCTGAAAAATGAAAATCAGTTATGCGATCCTTCAGTTGCATACTCATGTAGCATTACTAATGGAGAAGATAATTCTTCTTCAGGCAAGGCATTGAATGGCGAATCGTGTATGGAAGAAGTAATTGCAGGTGATCTACAAATTATCTACACCTGCATGCCTGAATTACTTATGCATCGTGTTTAAAGTTATCAGCTCTAAAAGTCTACTAGATATATATGTCGTGAAGGATATTCAGCATGATGCATGGAATTTTTATTGTCTAATTGTTACACTGTTTCATTCTTGCACATAGAAAATCCCTTACTATGTACTTGTTTCTCTGATTACTTTTCAGAGGTTCATCCAGAATTAGCTTATGCTACAGGACGTGGTGTTCAAGCACGCGGTGTACGTGTACAGGATAAAGTACAATTTTCCGTTCATACTGAACGAGCTGGAGATCAAGCTCCACTTTCAGTTACTATGAATCGAGCAGGTATACATACAATCTTGAATTGTTTTTCTAAATTGCGCCATTCATGAAAACTGTTTGGTGCTCTGCCACTAGGTATATTTGATTTTGAATGTTTTTCTCATTAAGATTAATGGTATCTTTAGCATACCAAAGAATTTCCGTCGTCCTTTGTCTCAACTAAAACTTCGCTATTTTATTGATTAGTTGTTGTGTCGTAAGATAAACTTTCACGCATACTTTGTGGCGTCTAACTGTTATCCTGACTTATAAATTATAAAGTAACGATTTTTTCACTTGAGAAATTTTTGTATGTACTGACTGTACGTTTCATTTTTATACTTTTCCTTACATTGAGCATACGGGAAGTTGCGTGTCCAACTAGAGCATAACTTATTCTCAGCCTTCCCACTTTTTGAAGATTTATAGCATTATGGACTAAATCGCCTTCCCTACTTCAGTTTTTTTTTCTCTAACTGTGGCATCATACACTCAGTTTCCCCATCATCATCTACTAATGGTGCTATTGTGGTGAGAGATGGCTGCTAGCCAAAAAGAATGTTAATCTTTTGGAAAATAAAATAGGAAGTGGTGAGGTTAAACCACTACCGGAGAAAATATTGACGAAAAAACGACCCTGGCCCCGAATTCAAAGAGAAAAATGAGATAATTCTTGGGTAGAGCAGCGTTTTATAGTTGGTTCGTGAAGAACTTCAATGAGATAGCAGCCCCTCTGTACAGGCTACTAGGTGGACCGAAGTTTGTTTGGTCGGAGGAATCGCAGAAGACACTCGACAGAATTAAACAGCTGCTCGACCACCAACAAATGACACTAAAACTACCTGTACCTGGAAGATAGTTCACAGTGTGCACAGATGCCAGTGACTACGCCATAGGTGCGGTCCTAAGACAGGGTAAGGGAATCGTTGAGTATGCCAGTCGGGTTTTGACACACACAGAGCGAAAGTATTCAACGGTAGAGAAAGAATATTTAGCAATGGCATGGGCAATCGACAAATGGAGACCTTATTTACTCGGCCAGTGGTTCCACACGGAAACTGATCATAAGCCGCTACAGTTTTTGAAGACAGCGAGGGACCCACGGGGACAATTGTCACGTTGCGTCTCCAGGAGTACGATTTTACAATCTGTTGCCTGACTCTTGCCTTCTGTCATTACACTATGAGTAAAGTTATATCGGAGACCACTCAGATACACAAGTTTGCTAAGTCATAGAAAAATATTATTTCACTATTAACATTTCTGTAGATTTCAAATATTTTATTTATTTCCATCGGTTTGTCCTCTCTCTCTCTCTCAACTATCCTTCTCGTTTTCATTCTGTTTCTGTCCAATTTTTTTCTTTTCATGTGTCTCAATGTATGTGTGAAGGCTTCTGCGTTGACGCATGTTTAATGCTGAGAGTATATAATACGACTGATTGATTGTCTTTTAGTATAGAACTTTGCTCACAAATTCAACACTTCAAGATGCTACACTCCATAGAGCGAACAAAAGTAGAGCAAAGAGATTCAAAAGAAGTGAAACAAGTGTAAATGTGCTGGAGAAAGAATACTAACACGGAAAAAGTGAATGCATCTGGGCAACTGAAAACGATTTTCAGCTAAATGACCAGTACTCCTCAGCCATTGATTTTTAGCATCTCGACGACCCCCCCACCCCACCCCCCACTTAGCTCAAAATAACTATCAAAGGCTTTATACACTGATGCCAAGCTTTAGTTTGACCATTCTTAACTCTTTCCAGTCTAGTACAATATCAAATGATGTTTCCCGTTGAGGAAGGGAATGATTGGGCGTGTGTAACACACATATCCTAACCATTTGAATAAATGAGACTGAATAACGTCATCGAATGGCTTCCTTTCCTTGCCTAGCCCTTTATTCCATTTAAATGTACAGTTGTTCCCTGTAGAATTCCGCTCATCCTATTGAATGCTCATTAAATACATTTGAATAAATCTTTTGAAATTTAACCGAGTACAAGCTGTTTATATGTTGTTGTGTTTTTAAACAATTTTAATGTTTGCTTTATGTATGTTTGTTTTTGTGTTGTTTTTTTTATCTTCGAAATTTTCTCCAATATTAAAAGATGGTCAAAGTGAAAGTGTGGAAGTTCGTCAAATTGATAAATTCTTGTGGGATTGTTTCTATAGTCCACAACGACCTGGAAAGTATACGCTTAGTATTCGCTATGGTAATGGACATATTCAGCATAGTCCGTACACAGTAAGTGTTGATAATTGATAAATAGACAAACTATGATTGATTGATTAGCACTAAGATTATTATTTATTTGTAATGTTTGAACTATCACAGTGTTTTTTATTTATCCGATTGCCTTGGATTTTCAAGTGTTGGTTTGTAAGGATTTGATTGGTTACAGGACTAATCAGGAGCCGACATCAGTTAGAGAACCATTGGACAACCTGTGAGTACTGAACAGTCAACTGTTTCGTCAAACTAGTCTGGGACTCTTCAGTAGTGCGCAACCAGCGGGATTCGAACATAGAACCTTCTGGTTACAAGGCGAGCTCGTAGACCAATAAGCCACTGGGACCCGATCCAATGGCCAGCACATGAATTCCGACTTCTGCCAATTCACTACATAGCGCGACCCCTAGCCAATGTCTTCAGCGAATATTTGTCCTCACACCCTACCTGCTGTGCCCTACTGGTCACGACTTCTCACTATAACCTCAGGTAACTACCTACCTGAATAGGGCAAGTCGCTAGTGAGCATCTCATTGATATTCAATGAGGACAAATACTCGCCAAAGACATTGGCTAGGGGTCGCGCTATGTTGTGAATTGGCAGAAGTTAGAACTCATCGGCTGGCCATTGGATCGGGGTCCAGTGGCTTAATGGTATACGAGCTCGCTGGCCTTGTAACCAGAGGGTCCTGGTTTCGAACTCCGGTGGGTGCGTACTGCTGAAGAGTCCCAAACTAGTCTGACGAAACAGTTGGCTGTCCAGTTATCCCAGGTTTTCCAATGGTTCTCTGACTAATGCCTTGGATTTATTTAACATTCTTATAATGTGTCTTGTCTTATATGCAACAGGCTTCTTACCCTTTTATTGTCAGGGATAGAAATGGATGATTGTTTGTTACTACAGAGATAATGTTTCATACGCCTCTAAACCACCTATAATCTTCACATATTATAATAGATAAGGGTGTTCTGGTACTTAAGTTACTATTTATTCTATAGGAGAGATATGAGAATGTCGGTCTTCAGTCTTTTAGCATTATCAATTTGATACTACAGTGGTAAATAAATGGCCAACATTATTAGCCTTTGGCATTCATCACTAAGCATTAGATGCGCTGACCTTCACTGTTTAAGTCGACCCACTAGGCTGAAGACTAGTGGTCAAGGGTCAACCCCATTCGACATGCCTTCATGTTACATTTATTCGTTTGTTCGTACACTATCCTTACCTAGTTAAGCAATTATCCTCTCATTACAAGTTTGGTCCCGAAATATATTTCTTACTTTTGACGATCAATTTGGTGTTTTGATTTGCCTCTTTGATCTACGCAGAACAAATACTGTAGGAGTGAGTTGTGGGTGTAAGAACTTGCATTGATGTATATTTCGTACTTTGTGTAAATATCAACACTCTGTCATCTCCTAAAATACTATGGTTGTTATTATTATTGATGAGGTTGAGATAGTCTTGACTTGACACGTTATTTATTCATGTAATATATCATGCATTTACACACGACATCTAAGCATCATTAGTAATTTAAATGATTAGCGGATACAATGTGTGAAAACCCACACTTTCAACGTTTGTATTAATAGTACTACATAATAGCACTAAAATTAATCAATTCTCCTATGAAATACAGACCAATTTGTTCAAAACCGCTATTTTATTTTATTTAAAAATGATATTTTCCCCGTGTGTATTTATTGTGTAAAGATAAAACTGGACTGCAATCATCTTAAAAATACATGTATTCGAAAATCCTTAGTAGTGCAACAACAGAAGACAAGGACCAGGCAACAGATCATCTATATGTTAACTGTATCCGCCTACGAAAAGTCTTCTGTGGTTGGTTGTTGAATCAGTCTTTGTTCATATTTTTCTCACGACCAATATTTGGGACATAAACACTGACGTAAATTACTGTCCACCAATTTTGGCTAACAGCCAGCTCCCACCACAGTAGTACTAAAAACACAAAAATAAGTGTGAATTATAGCTTCCTGAGGTAAGTAGTAGTAGCAGTCCTTCAACACCAGCCAGACTGAAGTGATCTAAACACCTGACGGCTATTTCTCTCTGTTGGTTGGTGGTGGGGCGGGAGACAGGCTGAGCTCATTAGCGGTACACCCGATTTTTTCTCAGCTCAGTGAGAGTCGAATCAATTCCAGAAATCCGAAAATGATTTATTTTCATCCAGATAAGGATATTTTTTAGTAATGAAGAATAAAAATAATCTTAAAGTGTATCTCTGGGTGAATATTATGTATTATCATGTATGCTCCACTGTTAATGTGTTATTTTTGTTATTGTCAAATACTTGACTGAGGTTGACATAATGGAAATGAATTTATGTATCAATTTTTTTTAAATGTCACAAAATTCTTACTCTATTTGATAAGTTCATATTATTCTCAAATTAATTAATCTCGTACCGATAATAATAATAACAAAACCGAGAAAATGAATTCCAATATTGTTGTGTTATTTTTGGTCACCTACTAATTTGTTTATTTATGTTAATTTTGAAAATTTTGTCTGCAGGTTTGTTTTTTTAACCGTCTTTCTGTATAGTATTTTGTTTTCTCACCCTACACTGTATCAATAATTTAGCCAATTTCAAAAGTGATCAGATATTACTTAGACGTGTGGTTGTTTGTAACAGCAGTGAGTAGCATTCTATTGGGCTGTAGTCGGTGAGTCCGTGGCATAGTGATTTTGTGCTCGCCAACCACGCTTCATGTGGTTCGGGTTTCGATCCCCGGCCACGGATGCACTCCTTATAACCTCACTAAGCTAGTAATAAGACTGGTAAAGAGGGAAGGTTGAACATGAGGCTAGCGACCCCATCCTGTAAATGTGAATAGGCACCACTGCTATCGAAACTTCAAAGCTCTAGCTTGAAGCTGTATGTTCCACTGGGAACGAAAAGGAGTAAAAAAAGGTTATAATCCCATCAGATTTTACGTTTGGCAGCTGCTTTAGAGGTGTTTTATCAACTTCTTATTTTTCATGTCTGAAGTATCTGTTAAGATGTTTGTTATGCTATGCACGAAAACACCTAGTGTTAGCTTTTATCCTCAACCTATGCTGAGAGGTTTTCTGCGCATGCAGATAATTTTTGTCATGGGATTTCAAGTTGTATGTTTTGAACAACACTGTCAATAAAAAGTGAAGACAAAGTTAGAAAGAAAGAATAGTATCAGATATATCTGCTGTCAAAGACAGCTATTCCAAATTTGAGAAACACTTTGCAAGAAACTCAAAAAGCATTTTCCACGTATTTACAGAAAGCTTTATTTAGAGTGAAGCATATAATTTCTAAGAAGATACAAAACAAATATTCAAGTATTGGCTTGTAGGGAAGTCGTGACTAGTAGGGTGCAGCAGGTCGGGTGTGAGGACAAACACTCCCCAAAGAAATTGGTTAGTGGTCGCGCTATAACGTGAATTGACAGTGTGGTGAGAGCTGGCTGTTAGTCAAAATTGGTAGACAGTAATTTACGTCAATGTTTATGTCCCCAATATTGATTGTAAGAAAAATGAGAACAAAGACTTTGCGTAGGCGGATACAGTTAACATATAGATGATCTGACATTCAAGAAACAGTTACAAAGAGATGCAAGGTTAACTTTCTGTGAGAAACAACCAATCAGAGGACTGTATTTTTCTGCTAACAATAATCTATAATATGTACATGAAAATCCATAAATATGTGTTGATTTCCTTAATAAATGATCTGTTGACTGGCCCTTGTCTTCTGTTGTTACAGCAGAAGTCGTAATTCATGTGCTGGCCATTGGATTGGGTTTCAGCGGGTTATAATGGTCTACGAGCTCGCCTTGTACCCAGAAGGTTCTAGATTCGAACCGTGGTGGGTGAGTACTACTGAAGAGTCCCAGACTAGTTTCCGAAACAGTTGGCTGTCCAGTACTCCCAGGTTTTCCAGTGGTTCCCTATTCGATGTCAGCTCATGATGAAATCCTGTAAACAAAACAAATATGTTCACAGGATAAGTTGTAGAGTATGAAACTTGTCGTAAGCGAGATATCAGGTGACAAATAAAAATCAGTGAGTGAACATAAGTTGTGCACAATGCGTCCACCTTGCAATGCATTGTGATGCACCAAGTATGCGAAATAGAACGGTAGATAGAAAAAGGGATTTTTACAATGCAGAAATTTTTTAAAGTACTTTTCAACTACATAAATAGATTTCAAGATTGACGACTAATAGACTTCACGTAAAAGTCAACAGGCTCTGCTTGTAACCTTAAGGTCCTCAGTGTGTTCCTTGGCGGATTATTGGGTTCGTACTGCTGAGGAATCCCAAACAGGGATGAAGCAGTACTCCCTGGTTCTCTAACGGATATCAGTTCGTTGTCAAGCTTGAAATCAGAGTTCAGCAAAGCAATACTTTTTGAGACAAATGGAAGATCAGTTTCTGAAGTCTTGAGTGTTTTAATAACATCGAATGTGGTAAATCAGAGGTAAGGAATAAACTTATCACCCATACAGTAAATTCTAGTTCATTCTAAATCTGTTAATGATGATCACAGTTTATATTCATGAATAAACGTGTTCTCCAAACCTTGAATAAAACGCCTACACATTTTGTTTTTACTATTCCATGATGTGGGACAATAATGACTAAGCATACTCAAACAGTTTTAACATAAATATTCTCCTACAAGATGGCCTTCATTACATTTTGTTTACTAAATTCGATAGATTTGTTTTGAAGAAACTGTAGCTTACTCAGCGGAGTATTCAGATAGTTGAGACAATGAGTTTCGTGTGATACAGAACCTGATGTTAATTTTCAGTATCTTGCTGAGTGTAGAGCTCACTGCTATTGTTCCTTTAATTAATTTAACCTACCTTCCAATAGTACACACGTGAATTATCTATCCGTATCAATAAATCGATTGGTGTCATTAAATTCTTATTTTTCAGTGTTAACTGCTGATACAAAGTTATTAGTGCTAATCTGTCACATCTCTCAAAATACAGCACTTTCAGAAATGAATTATTCATAATTAATGAAACGACGCGATTTTTGTGGGATAATTAAACGTGGTTAATCTACATCTTCATATTTTTGTGCTTTGATATTTTCCGTAGCGATTATAAATTGATTATCTTGAGTGCAGTGGATAGTCCTATAGTAACGAGCCTACACCCCACTTTGCCTTTTTTCCGGGTTTAAGTCCGGCTAGTGAACTGATAAACTAGGCCCAACATGTATGCAGAAAAAATAAAGATGGATTGGATTTACTCTGAGGAGACCATTGGGTGGCATCACGCGTGGTTGGAACGTGGGTGGGAGATGACGACTTCGTTTTCTGAGGGTGACATCAAGACGGTCGTGTGAAGAGGAAATGAACGCTTGTAGACAATCTTGGAACTAGTTAACAAAGACTTCAGTGAATGTTAAGTAGAAACGTGCTTCTGAAGCGCTGTTTCACTAGGAAACCAAGGGAACAGTCATTTGTATCTGCAAAATTATTTCATTTTTTGTGTACTAATTACTTCAAGTTTTATACACGTTTAACTTGTCTACGTCAACCAACAATACTCATTTATTTCTCTTGCTCTATATTGTCTACACTATTTCAGATTGTCGTTGGTCCATATAAAAAGTCTGCAGTACGCGCTTTTGGTCCAGGTTTACTAGGTGGCGTTGTTAATCACCCAAATCTATTTACGGTTGTATGTAATGGTGAAGGTGCTGGACTAGGTTAGTGCTTGTTTATTGCTTTGATTGACAGTTAATACTGCCACCTTTTGTATTAAAACTATAGATGCTCGTTTATCTTTTCTTTATTTTTTGCTTTCCGAGTAGAACATAGGGCTTTGGGCTATAACGTCTCAGTAGCGGTAGTGTTATTCTTCACAGGGTGGTGTTGCTAGCGACCTTCCTCCTTTTCTCTCCTTACTACGGACTAGGTGAGACTAAGGAGTGCTTCGGACGTCGGACCACGTCCGAGGTTGGAAAGCATCCTACCGCCGAACCACTGACGCATATTCATCGTGATCATAAACTATTACTTCCTACCAAATACGACTAAAATGTCGTTTAAAATATATTTGATCTCTGGTTTGCTTCATTCGTTGGTTTAAAGACTTCCCCATTGTATACACTGTATTGGCTTGATTTAATTGAACTACAGAATTTTTATGTCACTAGTGCCTTGATATAGGTGTCACACATGGTGAGATAAACCAGTCAGTACTGTTAGATGAGTGGAGGCAATCTACAAGAAGTCTTAGACCTTTGTTTCGTGCTTGTTGACGTTCGTTATCTGTCGTCTGCCTCTTACTGATAGAATTCAGTCTGCACTAGTTGATTATATTAGTTACTGTCTAGTATCGAATCAAAGTACAGGGACAAAACGCTCATCAGTATGTTGATCTTCCATTTTCAAAATTTAAGAGTTATCAAACGTGATGCGCAAGCAGATACATATCAGTTAGAGAACCACTGAAAAACCAGTAGGGAGTACTGGACAGCCAGCTGATTTGTCAAACTAGTTTGGGACTCATTAGCAGTACATACGCACTGGGTTTCGAACCCAGGACCTTACAGTTACAAGGCAAGCTCGTATACCATTCAGCCATACCATCCAGTCCATGAATTCTAACTTCTATCAATTCGTGAAAATCAATCTGATGCTCGCTAGTGACTGGCTACAAGACGAAGTTTCCGGAGTTCTAATGAGAAGTCTTGACCGGTAGGATTCATCCAGTTGGGAGTGAGGATGAATTTTCCACTGATAACATCGGTCGGTGATTACGCTAAAATCACCAGTTGGTAGAAGTTTGAATTCATGGACTGGCCATTGAATCTGGTTCAGTGGCTGAATGGTATACGAGCTTGCTTTGTAACCAGAAGGTGATGGGCTTGAAACCTAGTGGGTGCGTACTGCCGATGAGTCCCAAACTAGGCTGACAAAATAAGGTGCCCAGTACTTCTTACTGGCTTTCAATGGTTCTTTCTAACTGATATCAATCCGTGATCACACTTAAGAAACAAATCAACTCTTGAAGTCACATATCATCTGACTTTTTTCCATAACAGTCCAAGTGATCATATCTTAACTGTTTTGTTATTTTATTCGTCATTCTAGAATCAATTTAACTTGGGTTGAATCTTTACACTTCTATCTAGCACATAGAGTAAATCACTAATCATTAAATGGAGGCAGGCAACTGTCTCAACATCATAAGGCTTACTATGCTTACTATCGGGAGTTTGTGTCACAACTCCAAACATTTATCATTCGTTCTGTTTTTCTGTCATGGATTATCAAATTCTTTATTAAGAAATCTATTACATGCATGTATGTGACTTTTCATAGCTTTATTTTCACAGCCAAATATCATGTTTTTATAATCAGATGGAAGTAATGAACATACTTTAATACGCTGTGATACAGTGTAAAGAGATGACTCAAGTCAATTTTCCATCAAGGTGTTTCATACGCCCCATGTGATTACCTAATCGTTTTTATTTCTTAAAAGTACAAACAACCTTTTTTACTTTAATTTAATTTATGTAGAAGGTTATTTGTCGGAATGTCTAGTTGACCTTTTAGAGATTATAACACTGATAATTACTTAGTTTATCATATTAAAGTTCCTTAATCCGTATGAACGTGATTACCTATCAGTGAACTTGCATAATATTATGTCATCAACATACTTCAAACTTTATAATATTAGTGATGATAATCAAGTTAATCACAGTTACTAAATTATTATGAAATTTTAATCCTTTTTTCTTGTTATTAATAATGTCAATCTTTTTTTTAAAGGTTTCTTGATTGAAGGTCCTAGTGAAGCCAAAGTTGTATGTCGAGATAATGGAGATGATTCAGCTCTTGTCACGTATTCAGTTACACAGCCTGGTGAATATGCAGTCCATGTGACATGTTATGATGAAGATATTCCTGGATCACCGTATATGCCTATAATTGTTCCTGATATTAAAGATATTCATCCTGATAAGGTATAAATGAAGTCAATTTTTAAAGCAATGCCAAGTATTATGTATAGTTCTGAAATGACAATACTTTTTTCTGTATCCATAACGCAATTTCAAGCCTAAATAAGGGCTAGTTTGTGAAGTGGTATTTTACGTTGTGGAAAGGAATAATGCTATCTGAAATCAAAAGCATGTTATCCTATTTAGACTCTCATTACCAATCCTTAGGTACACATTTTGGGAACCCCATAAAAGTGTCTAAAACAGTAATCAATTCCCCACAAACCGAAAACTTGAAAATTAATCTAGCTATCACTCGTGACCTACCACAGGAAAAAGTTGTCTGGAGTTCTAGTGAGTAGTCGTAACTAATAAGTTCCAACAAGCTTTGTGTGAAGATAAATATTCACCAATGACTTTGACTAGCGATCGTGCTACATATTTCGAAATGACAGAAGTAAAAGTTGATGCGCCATCATTTCTCGAAATGTGGAACATAAATCTAAGGTGACGAATTGTTTTTGAACGCCTTAAGGTGGCTTAAACTTTCTAACTGCTAGGGCTTTCACAAACTTTAGGATACGCCCCAAACACATTTAAATCGAATGAATGAAGTTCAGAATAGCATATCACTTACATCTGTAGAAGAGGAAGATAATTGTTTATCTTTCTAGACATAATGCTTAATCGACAGCTTGATGGATCAATAAAAAGATCTATTTATAGAAAACCTACCTGGACAGCACAGTACCTTAATTACCACAGTTTCTGCCCTGTTCGTTACAAAAGAGCCATAGTAAGGTGCCTCTTCAGTAGAATCCAACGAATATGCACTGAAGATACACTTGATGAAGAAGAAAGAGAGTTGACACTACCTCTGGTTGATAACAATTATCCAGAGGAGTTCATCAGGCGATATAAATTAGTCAGAACACCAAGACCACTCTCCAACTCGCCCCAAAGAAAGACGTGTACATCAAGTTACCCTATATGCGGCATCAAAGGAGCTTGATAACTAGACAAAGACTGAACACTACTGTTAAAAATACTTTTTATACAGCTAATATCATAATAATTGAGAACATGCGAAAAATGACGTCACATCCCACTGTATTTACCAAATTGAATGTACGTGTGGACACATATACATAGGGAGGACTCATCGATCTCTGCCAGCAAGTAAGGGCTTCAGAGCATATTATTAAATGGCTCCAGAAACAAATGGAATCTTCAGAACCTATTAATGGTGAGAACAGGAGACCTAGCTCCTCTATTGCGAAACATATTATAGAGACAGGACATAAAATTGACGTTAACAGATCTTTTAAACCTATCTATGAAACGTGTTTGGGGAGGGCGTATCCTAAAGTTTGTGGAAGCCCTTGCTAGCAATTAGAAAGTTTAAGCCACCTTTATGCGTTCAAAAAGAATTCGTCATCACATTAAACCTTCCTTGGTAAATTTTGTTTTGATACTATAACAGATGTACTATTACCTCTGCTATTTGGCTTAGTGGTCTTCATTGATAAATCTAAGAGAAAATTTCACAAAAACGATGTTTACTTTATTCTCTATGATGTTGTCAAAAAAATATCAGGTTGCTGTCGAAGTCATCAGTGTAACAATTAACGTAAGCTTACTTATACATTACATAAAGAATGTTGTGTAACTTAAAAAAGTAAATGGACCAATAATCTTTACATAGAAAGATGAATGAGCTGGAGTTAAGGAGGTGTGGGGGGGGCGGAAGAGGAGTAACTGACTGAGATTAGAATAGTTGACTCAGATATGATTGATTAAAGTTGTACAAATTCTACAATAGTTCAGGTTTTAACAACAACGATCTCACATCATATTGAATAAATATATGCTAAATGACTTTTTAGAATTCACATCAACTATCGTTTCGGGGAGGGGGGCGTTCAATAGCTGACACTGTTAGGTCTTCGTCAAGACTTCTTTCTCTCTCCATTAGTATAGAATCGCTGTTAGTTTAATTTGTGGTTGGATTTAAAATCCATTTTGTATAAAGTAATTTTCGATTTAATTAGTTTTATAAATTTTTATTATGTTTATTCTCCGGCTTATTCTCTCCATTTTACAATATACTTTGTAGTTACGTGTTTACGGTCCCGGTGTGGAAACAACAAATCTTACTGTTGGTCAACAAACAGAATTTTATGTGGATGGTTTACAAGATGCTGTACCTGTTCATATGTTACATTCAATGAGTGAATCTTTGTTACATGTAGATTGTCATGATTCTACGGGGTATCCAGTTCCAGTTCAAGCTCGCATGAGATCTGATGGTACTGTAGTTTACACTTACAAACCTGTGTCGCCTGGAGTTCACACTATATATGCCGCTATCGCAAACACTTCTCTCAAAAGTGTTCCATATAGAGTATGTGTTATATATATATACTTAAGTCTAAGGCTTTATAATTATCAGTTTACATTACCAACTAACCGACTGACTGACTATTCTTTCATCCCCTTAGGTTAATGTTGCTCCTGAAATACAACCAGAAAAAGTGAAATTATATGGTCCTGGTTTACAGAATGCTGTTAGAAAACAATCAACTCACTTCTTTATTGATCCTCAAGAAGTATTCTCAGGTGAACATGAAGCTGAACTAATGGCCAATAATCCAATATCTGTAACTATTGTAGACGATCGTGGTCAGTCAATTCCTACAAAGTTAAACAAACAATCAGATAATACTGTTCGTGTAGAATACACTCCACCCACCAAATGTTCAAATGTGCATATTACACCTTTGATAGGTGGAACCCATCGAAGACTGTTAATGTGCCTGTACAATGTGGTTTTGATGTTTCTCAGATTAAAATACAAAATTTAGATACCGGTAAGTTGAATCTATTTCCCAGTCAGTGATTTTAGTAGTTGCTTTGAATTTGTTAGTAGATAATTAGGCAATTCGGTTTAATCGTTTTTTATACTCATGAATAAACGTACATCCTTCTGGTGAAATGGTATACGAGATTACAAGTACACTGCATTTGTAATACCGGAAGTCAGTGTCACAGTTGTCAGTATCTTGTTTTAGTCTACTTAAGAGTGAGCACAGTGTGTTCCACTGGTTGATCAAATCATTGTATTTCCATTGATATATTTGAACATCGAAGGTATACCATTCGCCAATGGAATTTACCCTAAATCCTTACCATTTTCTATGCAGAGTTTTCACATGATATTTTTTATTTCATTTATTTTTGATTACAGCTTGATTCTACACTGTATTTTTGGTACAAGTATGGAGTTTTCAGCATGTAATATCGGTAGCCCAAATTTTGCAGGCCGACCATAGATATTAGGTGTGCGTCGGCAGGGGATCGAACCTCGGACCATGTGCATGGTCGGCGGGAGTCCTAACCACTGTGCCACCGTCCCGATTTCTGTTTAACTTCATCATATATATGCTAATGGAAGTATCCTTAACTGAACGTAACGACTTAGGAATCGACTGGTTACCAGGGAATAGTCTTATGGACTTAGAATATGCAGATGTCATAGTCCTGTTAGGGAAGGATTCTGACAAAATGCAGAGTCTTCTGAACACCTCGAGCAGCAATCTTCTTATGTTTGGCATGCGATTCGCCCCTGTAAAATGTAAGATGCTGTTACAGGACTGGACTACGTCAACTCCTAGCTTACTGATAGGGAGTGAAGTGATAGAACATGTTGACCACTTCACCTATTTGGGAAGTTGTATCAGCACCAACGGACTGATTTGCGATGAAATCTCAGCATGGATCCAAAAAGCTCGAGCTGCTCTCGCTGACTTACACCATCTCTGTCGTAGGCGTGACATTCGGCTATCAACCAAGGGACGTGTGTACTGCTCGCTCTATCCTCTATGGCTCTGAAACATGACCAATACGAGTTGAAGACATGAAAAGGTCGACTGTTTTTGATCATAGATGTCTACAATCTCTTTCTCACGTTAGGTGGTCTAATAAGGTAAGTAATGTTGACGTTAGGCGTAGAGTGTTAGGCAAAGAGGGAAAATCAATCGACGAGGCTATAAAGTTACATAGACTAAGATGGCTAGGTGACGTGCTGCGCATGCCTAACCATCGCCTCCCCCGACGGGCATTACTAGCTGATATAGGTGCGGGTTGGAATAGAGTAAGTGGTGGCCAAACGAAAACAGGGCACCAATCCATGAAATCCTTGACAGTTAAGCTGAGTCAGGTAGGGAGATTCAGACTCCCGGGTTGGGGCCCTCGGGACCCTAAGAATCAATGGCTAGAGGCAATAGGTGACATGGCTCAAAATCGTCGATGGTGCAGATGTATTCAGTCTCTGTAATCTTTCATATTCCTTTCTACTATTACTCATTCTGTTTCACTCATATACTTGTCAAACTCTATTGATTCTCTCCACTCATCTTCTTGTCTACCTCTGTGTGCTATTTGGAACGTGGCAACTCGAACTGGTGCACTTCGGTGCCAAGTTCTATGTTGAATCCAGACAGACAGACTGTGCCACCGACGCACACAGTAATTATGATGAAGAGACTTTTGCAGAAGATACATTATATACCCACGTAGCTTAATATGTTATCTAAAATTACCGATTATAAGTGGTTTAATGACAACTTAATTTCTTATGAGTGAAATCAAATGCAATAGTATACTTGGAACTAATAGTGTTACTTTTTATGTATTTGTTTATTTCATCAGCTATATACTGCCAAACGTAGAGGATTTAAAGATGCTTGCATTATTTAAGTACAATTAACCTTCTCAGTATTTTGTGTATATGCTGCAGGCAGGCATTACACGAGTATGTAGTTCTGATTCAAATAGAAATTAATAATATAGGCTGTAAATTCTTATCTTCTGAGGTGCAGTGGGTATTGATTTCCTCATTTTTTCACCATATTTATGACTTCCTTTTGTACTTCTAAGTTTTTTTCTGAATTCGCTCTGTAGTTATATCGGGTTTCTTCTTAAGAAAATAATGTCTGCTTGTAACTTATCCATTCATTCGTTAAAGTACACGATTTTCATCTCATTCTTTGGTAGTATGTTTTTTTGAGATGTACATTTTCTATAGTTTGGTTTGTAAGGGTTAGTTATGTTTTCACAAGTTGATCACGGATTGATATCAGTTAGAGAACCATTTGTTTAGAGGATGATTTTACTTACTGATTTGTCTTCAAATCAAAAAAATCGATACATATAAAAATGTCAGTGTAAAACATTAAGATTGTAATTTACTTTATAACAAGTATATTTTTATTCTGAATACTCATCATGCATTTTTATTTTTATGTCAATATGCGAATTTATTCAACTGAGTGATTCATGATTAATCGTATTATTTGCTTATTAAGTGAACAGTATTCAGTATCCCTATTTAATAACCTCATTTATTTTCTAAATTGTCGTGTTTGTCGTCTATTCATTGACCGATAGATTATTATTATTATTACCTGGGGTTCCGAGTACATCATAGGGCTTCACCAACACATCTCCACTCTCTTCTATTTTCTGTCATCCTCTTCAGCTGGGCTCACGATTGCCCATAATCTCTCATCTCCCTCAACTCACGATCTCCCCCATGTCACCCTCGCGAGGACGACCAACTTGTCGCTTCCCATTGGGATTCCCAGTGAAGGAGGCGGCCGTTGACAGAAATCAGTAACCCATTGGAAATATTTTTCGTGACGCGTAGTGCAAGTTTCTGACCCGTAGAGAAGAAGTGACTGATTTCACATCTCTGTTGAAAATTCAAATCTTGCTGTTTATGCTGAGTGAGTGCAACAGATTTCCGAACCGATTTCAGGTTGATGGAGGCGTATCTCTCCTTTCCGATTATGGTTGGCTGGATTTGATATCTCCATGCGTTCCGACTGCGTGTAGGTGAAACGATGCTTCTTGGCCAGACAAGTGGAAGACGTAACCTCTGTTGAGTCTCTCCCGTTGATGGTGATTGTTGTTGTTGTTCCTGCTGCTGTTGGTTGGTTGGTTGTCTTCATCACCTCCGTCTTCTCTCTGTTCACTTGGAGTCTTGTCTTGGCTATCAGCCAGCCTCTTCAGCCAGTTAGAGTTTGTGTGACATGAGACGTATATCATCTGGTAAATGGAGATCTTGTGGAGTCTTCTTATAAGTGTCCAGCGTATTCCTGTATCCTCGCTTCCAGCCCACAGTCTGAAGCATAAACCAGTAGAGTAATCATCTTTATTTGTCTTCTACTGTTACTGTATATATATATATATATATATATATATATATATATAAAATGGCCTGGAAGAATTAGAAGTCAGTAACTATGGGAACAAATTAGCCAATAATCTGTCGCTCAACAAATATGCAGAAGAAAATGGAGATGAATTGGGAATACGCTGAAGAGACCACCGAATGACATCGTGTACCAGGCGTGCGAGTGGGTTGTTTGAGCGTGACGTAGAGGAGATCGTGTGGCGAGGAGGAGATGAAGGATTATGGGCAATTATAGACCCAGCCGAAGAGGGCAGCAGAAAATAGGACAAAGTGGAGATGTGGTGTTGAAGCCTTATATTCCACTCAGAACTCAAGGGAACAATAGTATAAATAATATTTTTGGGAAAAGTTGAAGAGGTTGATTGTAACTAGTTAAGTCATATTCAAAGTATTGGTTTTGCTGGAATTTTTGTTTGATTGGTTAGAGGATTTCATCATGAGCTGACATCAGTTAGAGAACCATTCGAAAACCCGCAGGGCGTACTGAACAGTCAACTGTTTCGTCCTAGTGTTGGACTCTTCATCAGTACGCACCCACCGCGGTTCGAACCCAGAGCTTTTTAGTTACATTTTTAAACAGAAATATAACATTTTCTACAAGAAGTCATGCCTAAATGTTGTCAGAAGAAATGAGTGTTCGCAACTTTGTTTGATTTTCTTTCTTTAATTATGAGTATTACTATTACTATTATTTCTATGGTCATGTGACTGATATGTTTTTCTGATTACAGCTATCAATCCTCATTCAACTAGTCAATTTGTAATTTCTACAAAAGATGCTGTACACCTAGTAGATCGTGTTTCTGTAAATATTCAGTCGGTAGACATGCCAGAAATATGTTTACCAGTTAGCCTAAAAGCTGAAACAGACGATGAGATTTTATGCACATTTTCAACTATTGATTTACTAGGCTGTTACAGTGTGAATATTGCGTTGGATGATAAAAATGTGTTAAGCGATCATCGCCATTAACATTCACTGTGGTAACTAGTAACACAGAATCAAGTGTTGAATGTGCCGACGGCAGTAATTTACATTTATGTAATGGTGATGATGAATTATGTAAGAGTCAAAATGAAACCGACCAAACGGATACTCATGAAAATCAATCAGTTGATGAAATATTATCTACAGATTGTCAGCTAAAAAATGGAATCTGTCTACCTCATAATGGATCCATTGAACATAGAAATGATGAGGAGAACTCGTGTACAACTGAAGCTAATTGTAATGTGTACGAATCAGCGGACGGCAGTGATGTGGTCAATGATACTACTGATATGGAAGCAAATAATAATACTATTCATCAAATAAATAATGGGAATGGTTTTAAGAATAGTGAAGATAGCGTTCAGTCGACAGCTGCTACTAAAATTGATATGCTCAAGATTTTTATCAGGAATGGTTATACAGAAAAATGTGAACAGGAAGAGGAGTTTCTACAGACTGAAAACAACAACATTTCCAAAATTTCATCACATGAAAAAGATGACAACGGGATAGTCAATGGACACAGCACTGATTGTACTTCACCACCAGCTGCACAAAAGTATCCTCCAAGACTGTTTATTACAGAGAAGGAAAAAGTAAAATTTGCTTGCCTATTCACTTATCTTCTTTCCCTTTCCTTTTTTATTCTAAATACTAACTTTATTGTGGAATGATGATGGGCATGAAATTAGTAACTACTAATACTTGTACTGCTTCCCTTCTTTTTTATTCCTGTTTATTTTCAATCTGTATCTTTAAGCATGCTGCACATGAGGATAGTTTTGCCAATGAGCATGTTAGAATAACCCTAAACAACACTTTGTTTCTATCGATTTCTTACACTTTATTCCTTATACTGTTTTTTTTCTTTTATTAACAAATTAGACTGATATCATAGCTAAAAGTAAATGGCCTCAACCGACACCTGACCAACACGCCTACAGTATAACAGCTCAAGGTTCAGGACTTGATAAAGCCTTTACTAATCAGTTAGCTGAATTCATCATTAACAGTGAACTTGTTCCACCAGCTCCGTTGAGTGTAACAATTGCTGGACCAAGTGAAGCAAAAATCCAATGTATAGATAATGGAAATGGAACGTGTGGCGTGAATTATACACCATTTGCACCAGGTTGTTATACAATTAATGTAGTGTATAACAATGAACTACATATATTTGGAAGTCCATTTTTTGTTCAAGTCTATCCTGCTGATAAACCAAATTTAAATGTAGATGATGTACTGTGCTACGGTGTTGGAGTGGATTCGAATGGTGCGTTTATATATTGTGATTACTCTTCCCAGTACTGCCAATAATAGATGTTCAGCATGTGTTGGCATGTATAAATATTCCTTGATACAGAAATACTCTGCGCCTTGTGTTTGGATAAAAACAACTAGAATGGTCATATCTTCTTTCTGCCTTATGCATGCTTAACGTCTGAAACAACTAAAGCATTTTCTAAGCCCCACCCCACCTCATCTCGAATTTTCTATTGTTTAGTAACTATCATTTAACTATTTGCATTTATTTGGCCTTCACAACTTTATTTTATTTTTTTTCTAGAAGTACACAAGGCTTCTTACGTCAAGTTTATTGTTGACGCATCAGCTATTGACCCACGCGGTGAAGGAACAGTGTCAGCTATTCTTACCGGTCCTGATAATGAAACATCTGCCTGTCAAGTAGTGAACTCCAAAGATGGAAAGTATGTTTGTAATTATACCCCATTGGAGGAAGGTAAGTAATCGATTTATTTTTATTTTTTCTTCTAATCTCTTAAACCCTATGATCTAGAGCAGCATACTTTTTGTATCTATACTTTGTGTTAATGTTAAAGTGCTGCGTAATACTCATTGTTTGTGATATATTGTAATATGTAGGTGGACATGTTGTCTGGATAATGGACCAATCAGAAACACAATGGATTATTCATTCTCACACCTACGCCATTTGACATGTTATACATTCTATTATGGATTATCTTTTCTCACTCCTACATCATTTAGACAATGTAGACATTCTTTTTTGTGTGCATTTGATTACGCATATATTTCAAGGTTCATTTTGCTATGGTACTTTTCTGTCTCACCTCGTTGTGTGTTCTCGCTTAACTAGCAGCAGGCTAGAGAGTCAAGTAACTGTTGTTTAAATTCCATTGTGGATATGATATGATTATGAGCAATAAATTATACTCAAACCGTCATCAGTAAATCTAACGGCACGACACTGTGAGACTTTATCAAAATAAATTTTATCCACAGTGGAATTGTGCTCTACTCATAGTGCACAAGTTCTGTTCATATATGGTTGTATAAGTTGTGGACGTGGACAAGTGATTTTCATGACCACCACATCTGTGTCCAGCCAAGTGTTCCTATTCAACGCAGCATTTGTTTTTTGCAAAATATAAAACATTAGTAAAAGTATGATAAATAATTAATCAATTTAGTTGCTGTTTCCGTCTACAAGCATTAGATTTATGCAACGATCCTTCACATCTATCGTATCGATGTCAGAGGAGAATAGATAATTATCGAAATTCCGCTTTTTAATATCAAGGTGTATCAGTGCATCCTGTCACTTTTGGTCCTTTCACTTTAAATTAATTTTAGGGCGATACTAAGGATAACCTTGAACCAACCAACCAGATCGCTCAGCACTATAAATGGATTCTTTTCGTAATCTTCGTTGCAAATTTCATCCTGACTCAGGATTACGGCTATGGTGGGTTGAAAGTAGGATAATGGTGAAGGTTAGAGTGGAAGATGCAACGATGATTATCAAAAATATCCATTTGTAGTGCTGAGCAACTTGATTGGTTGGTTTAAGGTCATTTGATTTTGGTGTCTATGCTCTACTGTTGCCTAATTTTAAGCTTATGAACTGGTATTCAGTTGCTGACAAACAACTTGCAGAATACGCTCTTAATATGAAATCAAGGTAACTTCTTGCATCTAGGATAATAGTAGGTTAGTGGTGGCACTGAATGATTTATTGGAGGTTAGTGACATACTAAGTTCGGTGTAGTGTTACAGTCATAAGTCTGTTGGTTATCATATTCCAGGAGTGAGATTTTGAAAAGAATCTAATGTTAAGGTGTTCTATGTATTAGACAATCACCTATGAAATACACACTAACTGGTTATCATAACTAAAAGCTCGTCTTTTCTACTGCCATTCAGTCTTTATCATTTTGCAGCATCTACTGCGATGAAATTAAATAGGTGGTAGCTTTAATTAGGTATGTATCATTATCCTTGTACAATAATTTGTAACTCATTACATTCTTCCAATTTGATAGTTTTCATGCATTCATTCCCCCCTAATTCTGTGAACTGTTTCATACCCAACTCTTTGTTTGGTGATGTGACCCAGAATGTTACTTTGCATTGTAATATCTTCTCCAACTTGTCTTTATAATATATATATATATATATATATATATATATATATATATATCGTTCAGTTTGCTTTTATGTAAGCAATCCCTAACTTTTCCTGTTTTATTCCATTAGGCCAACATCAAATAGACGTGACCTATGAAGGTCTTGCAATACCAGGTAGTCCTTATCGTGTTCAAGTTCTACCTGGTTGTGATCCAAATCGAGTTAAAGCTTACGGTCCAGGTCTTGAGAATGGACAACATTTAAAACCTGGTGTACAAACTAGTTTCACTGTTGACTTGACAGGAGCTGGTCAAGTGGTTTGGGTTTAGCAGTTGAAGGTCCAAGTGAAGCACCAATTGATTGTCAAGATAATCGTGATGGTACTTGCACAGTTTATTATACACCTTCTGAAGCTGGTGCTTATTCTGTGTATGTACGCTTCAATGATCATAATGTTCCAGGTAAAAAATTTTTTACTTATTTCAACTTATAGAGTTTATTATATAATTAAAATATTTGTGTCACTGGTCGATTCAATTTGATTAGGCAAAGTTAGAAATATGCTCAAGACTATAGAGAGTCTCCGTTCTGATTAGGATTTTCATTACTAGAGTTGTGAACGCCATTATTATTACTATTTGGGTAGACTGTTAGTCGAAGAAGTTTAGGGAATCACTAGGAAAAAAGCTGTCTCAGTTAAATGGAATTTAACTCAACTTGTTGCATTTTATAATTTCAACTTTTTAAGGAAAATGATTATCGTGTTTCTGAATGTGTTTGTGGTACTTTTTTAAAATAAGAGAAGATTATTTACAGCCTTACTAGAAAGAAAGAAATGTACTTCTGGAAGTTTCGAAGCAGTAGGCTGAAATTTTTAGTACTAATATACACAGATATGTACTTTGTATCTGTGCCGTGGTGTTAAGTGAGTGAGTTAGTGTAGTAAATTTGTTGACTCACACTTTTATATCAAACTTATTTGTCGTTATGCAGGTGTAGTATAGTAAACTGTATTCATTATTACTATCCTTCGCATATATAATCACATAAAATAACATTTCATAAGATCGAAGTTATGGTGCATAGGAACCTGTTTCAAATGCAATTGGTATGTTACGATGTTATCTATGTCTTTCGTCTGCTGATGAACATTTTTATTATTCCCTTGGGTTCTCAGTAGAACCTAGGGCTTCAACAACCCATCCCCACTTTCTTCTACTTTCTGCCATCCTCTTCAGCTGGGTCCACGTTTGCCCATAATCTCTCATCTCTCCCAACTCACACGATCTCCACCAATGTCACCCTCGCACCGACGATTTACTCGTTGCTTCTCATTGGAATTCCACTCGAGTGACGGCCTGTATTTCACGCGATGTCATTCGACGGTTTCCTCTATGTGTGCCCGATCCATCTCCATTTTCTTCTACATATTTTGTTGAGCAGTCGACTCTTGTTTGATTTGTTGGTAGCCAGGGTTTTTTGTTGACAATTCTTTCTGGCCGGTTGGTCATTTGATCTTGAGTATGGAGTCAGCCAACGAAGGAGTCAGGTGTTGATAATTGTCTACACTGGCTTGTTGGAAATGCTTTTCGTGACGCGTAGTGCAAGTTTCTCACCCGTATAGAAGAACTGTCTGACTGACTTCACATTTGTGTTGAAAATCCGAATGTTGTCGTTTATGGTGAGTGAGTGAGTGAGTGCAGAAGATTTAATAACTGATTTCAGGTTGATGGAGGCGTATCTTGCCTTTCCGATTTTGACTGACTGCGTTGGACATCTTCATGCGTTCTGACTGTCTGTGGGTGAAACGATGCTTACTGTTGAGATAAGTGGAGGAAGTAACCTCTCTTAAGTCTCTCCCGTTGATGGTGATTGCTGGTGTTTGTTGTTGTTGTTGTTGGCTGGTTGGTTGTCTTTATCACCTCCGCCGTCACTATGTTCACTTGGAGTGCTGTCTTGGCTTCCAGCCAGCCAGCTTCTTCAGCCAGTTTGTTGTTTTTATCCTGCTAGTCTTCGAGTTTGTGTGACATGAGATGTATATCATCTGGTGATTGGGGATCTTCTGGAATCTTCTTGTAGGTGATCCAGCCAAATCTTGTATTCTCGCTCCCAGCTCACAGTCTGAAGCATAATCCATTCAACCACAATTAACAATATCACCTGTCTTACTCCTAATGAACATTAGGGATTATAATTATTTAGAAAGCAAAAGGATTGAGCGAAGAAATATTTACTTTTCAATTAGATCCTCATCTCTGGCTCTACTCTAATATATATATAGCATTTTTATTACAATACACAACAGTTTATCAACCAAATGGCAATATGTTTGTTAGCAATAATTAATCAGTGTCAACATGTCAATGAGGTGATAGTTAACTAAGAAAATTAAAACACAATTAAAAGGTAGAAATGGTTACAACACGTGGGTTGCATAATGCATAATTTTGAAAAATGAAGAGTAATTAAGGAATAAGTGTGTGCACAGGTTGATCACGTAACAGATTTTTAAAGAAAATTAAACGATTTGGACAACGATAACTTGTAATTAAAGATGAAGTAGTCCGAAAAAAATAAAATAATTTGGACAATTATAATTTGGAAAGGCCTAGGGGGAGGGGGGGCGAAGTAGTCCGGTTTATACATTCATGTAACGATGGGCAAGGTAAGGAAAGTGGCTGTACGAATTCCTTCTGAACACACAGGTTTCAGCTGTATGTAGAAGACAAACTCTTAAAACAAGATTAAGATTAGTAGTAATGCGATTAATGACTTTAAATGATGTATTAACATCAACTGTATGCTCGCTATCTGCGTGGTGTGCTAAAACAGAGCTACGAATAGATCTTGTTTGTACCTTGCTTAGCCAAGCTGGATGATGTAAGGAAATACGATGATGAACCTGCCCAATTTTACACCCAATGTAGCTGACTATGCAGTTGCAGTCACACTGTTAGATACAGCCGGAGGAGGAGGTAAAATTACATAGTTTGTCCCTATTTCTCGAAAGTAAAATAGGGGTTGGTAGTAAAGAGACAACATATCTCTGCTCCATTGAAATCTCTTTTAACTGCATTCTTCAGGTGCTCGGTGTGTTACTATTTCACTGATGTTATTACCGCGGAACTGCTTTTTTATGAACGATGGTTTTTTGGAGCTGTTGTCTTACTGGCTTGTTTCGGCGTTAAATAGCTTATATCTTAGTATACTACTAATAAAAACGTATAAATAGAAGTGAAGTATACGTCTTCAGTGAGGCAGTGGCAAATTCTCTACCAGTGGATAAGCCGCTCGATGAAGCTACAACTGTGAAAATAACAAAATAAGCAACGGAGACAGGGAAGTAATCGTGACGTGGATAACGCATGATTTCGAATTTTCTTGTGAGGTTCATTATATTTTGTCCTGATCAAAATCACATCTGCTATCTGCAGGGTTTTTCTTTTCAACATGACTTTAAGTTCATTACTTTATGTTGCTGGTGTTCAATTACAGTTTATCTGATTTATTAGAAGGCAGTTGAAGTTTATTGATTTTGGTATCAAGGCACACCTTTATAAACCTTAAATTTGGTCAGTGTTTTACTGATTCTACAGTTAAGAATACAAAAGTGTAAGATTTTTATACATTCATACGCAATCCAAAGTCAGCATAGCCTAGTATGTACATTCAGTTGTCATCATTTTGTGTACCTTTTCATGCTTATCATTTATTTATTTATTTTACTGTTACTATGTAGGAAGCCCATTTCATGTAAATGTTGAAGCTAAAATTGATCCAAAACAAGTTAGATGTTATGGTTCTGGTCTTGAATCTGGTCTGTTACGCGCTGGATTACCAGCTTATTTCACTGTGGATACAAAAAATGCTGGAGATGCACGTCTACGGGTATGTCAAGCTATTCGGCTGTGTCATTTATCAAGAGGGATTACATCAGTGAAGCTATTCTTTGATAATTAGACACAGATAGTTTGTTTCTGTGTTTATCTTTGTCATATTTTTTCTCTGTTATTATCATTATTGTTATGATTATTATTTCGATTGTACAATCTCAAGGTTGATTTTATCACAAACCGATACAGCCAGTGTTCATTAGTGGCTTTAGAATATATATTCCAAAGTTTTACTGGAAAATTGTCACCTGTAGTGTCAACAGTGTCAGGTGTTGAGTGGATTTTCATCGATGGTAGTGGTTGGTGGTGGTAACATAATACTGGGAATTGATAGTAGTTAGATTTTACAGGTTATTGAATTCCAGCACCATAGTCGAATGGTCAGTAGAGTCGCATTTCAACCCTTGGGTTCTGGATTAGATCCCTGGCGGATGCGTACCTCTGAAAAGTCCCAAATTAGGACGAAATAGATAACCAGTACTCACTGGTTTTCAATGCTTCTCTTATTGAAGTCAATTCGTGATCAGACTTTTATTCAGTTAGTCACTTTCAGTCTACTTATCCGAAGTTCATTCGACCATATGTGTATGTGTTTTATTGGTAAATTTCTTATGATATAGCAAGTTTTATTGCTGTCAACTAGTTCTATCAACTATATTAGTTTTAATTTGTACTTCTTGTTTTTTTTCGGTGCTTTAGGTTATGTATACACCTAAACCTGGTGCTGAATTGCAACCTGCAAATGTTCAACTTCTTAGTGGAGGAACAGATAAAGATCCAACACATCAACACTACCACAAAGTTACATATATACCTGAAGAACATGGTCCTTGTCGCATAGAAGTTACCTATGATGATGTTCATATTCCTGGTTCACCGTTTATAGTCAATATTCGAAAATCTTGTGAACCTGAACGTGTTCGTGTTTTAGGTGCTGGAGTTGAAGGTCCTGTTCTAGCCAGTCTCCCCGCAACATTTACGGTTGATGCTCGAGATGCTGGTATGGGAGATTTAACTCTTGGTCTTACGGTAAGCGTATTTCAAAATTTACTGAATATTGTACTTCGGATGCATTTCGTGTTTTTTTTCTTTTTTGATTTTTACATCTTTCGAATTTTTGATCTCTGCACATATTTTCGATGCACCTTTCTAGTTTGAATAAACTTATAGGGAATAGGAAAGTTCATGAAATACTGTTATTTCATTCCTCTTTAGACATATGTTAAAGATTGAGATATATGTATATTTAAAATAAATAACTATTGAAATCAACATCACCGTCACCACATAATAAACCTGTACATTCCTAAAATCGAGTCAGGTCTGCTAGATATCTGTTTTCTTTTTACTCTTAGGTTGTTTGATTGATTAGTCAGTAAGGTCCTGGTTGTGTTGTTAATGCGCTACATTACACCAACCTTGCTAAACACAATTCGTCTAATTACCTACGTAGTCAGTACACTACCTGACCTTTACGTCTGTCTGTCTGTCTGGATTCAACATAGAACTTGGCACCGAAGTGCAGCAGTTCGAGTTGCCACGTTCCAAATAGCACACAGAGGTAGACAAGAAGATGAGTGAAGAGAATTTATAGAGTTTGACCTTTACGTACTGATGATGAAACACAACTTAAAAAAATTCGGTTATTTAAGAATGTGCTCGCTACAGGATGGAGCTTCCTGGAGTTCTAGTGAGAAGTCGTGACCAGTGACGTCCATCCAGATGTCACGTGTGAGGATGGATGTCCGACCTACGACAATGGTTGGGGTCGCATTAAATCACGAATTGGTAGAAGTTAGAATTCATGAGCCACTGAATTGGGTCCCAGTGGTTGAATAGTATACGAGCTTATCTTGTAATCAGAAGGTCCTGGGTTCGAACCCCCTGTGGTGGGTGCGTACTGCCGATGATTACCAAACTAGAATGAAACAGCTGTCCAGTATTCCCTGGTTTTCAATGGTTCTCTAACTGATATCAATCCGTGATCAACTCGTAGAAAGCGAGATTTCCTAGGACTTGCCTGGCTAGTATGACTGAACTGAGAACTCTGAGGATGTATGTATTACCATCATACAAAGGTGGAGCGTAAAACGGCGTCCTAGCTTCGTACTATGTATATTCGTTAAAACAAAGCTTCAAACCTCCAAAGCATCTGCATGCGGCTTAGGCGTTTATTTAGTTTATATTAAGTAGATTCATTTCGATCTGTTCGTTTTAGCCGTAGGTTTATTTTGATGATTTGACGACTACAGGTAGATGACAGTAGATATTATTTTACTTCCAGCGGTCAAAAGAAACATGACAGTTTAGAATATTTATGATTTTAGAAGTAGCTACTTTCTTATCTATACACCATGTAATAACATATCGTGTTAGTTGCTTAGGTGGTTTTCAAATTTTGGATTTAAATTATTGAGATGAAAAGTTCTATCGCTCAATAATCAGTCTGCATTATTGACATATATTTCGGATACTTGTTGTGTGCAATACTACATAACTATTTAAACCTCAATAGGTATAGTAGAGTTCGAAGTAGTAACGTCTAGACAAATGACCTATAGCTCCGTATGGAGTTGAAATACAGCAGAACAAAGCACCCCATAATCAGTTAGAAGTAAAGCTTTTATGAAAAGATTCCGTGTGTAGTTTATTAATCGTTGGTGTGAAGTTTTGTCATAAACGTCCTGGTACAACGGAGCATGGTTAGAATTCGATCTTCCTGTTAAAATGCTCTCATCTAGGCATATGGTCTCATAGCTTCAACCAGGTAAATTCTATTTACTGCCTTTACACCAGGGCAGGGGTGTCCCACACATAAGTGAAAGAGCAAATGTGGACATCTGGAGCTTACAACCTGTAAAGCCTTTACTGCAAACATATGGTGTACATGGGTTCCAGAAACCAAAAGGATCGAATAGCTTAAAAACCTATTTTGGTGATCGGAGGTAGCCTTAGAGACGTATCTCCTGACTCCCCTCTACTACCTCGTGGATCAGATTCCAAGTCAAATACTTGGAAGGTGGCCCCTTGAGACCACCACCCACTTTGATACGGGCGTCCGGACAGTATCTCAGCACTTGCACTATTTATGAGATTTTGTGTGACTCATCTCTTGGTGCCCATAATTTACAATATTCGCGATATATTAAATATAACAGATAATTAAGTCTATAGAATTTATTGTAGGTTAATATGATTTCAATTTAATCTTAGTGAATTTCGCAAAACTTTATATTTTGTATCCTTTTTCCCCACTGTTATGTAATATACAGGATCCGAAAGGACAGTCAGTTCCAGTAAGAGTTCTTCCATTGTCTGTAGACAGCGAATCAGTTGTAACGAATGGAGTAGTGCCTTCTGTGACAAGTTTAGCCTCAGGTGATGTCAGTGACACAGGACTTTTATCATGCACCTATGAACCATATTTGATTGGACCGCACAATATACATGTTATGTTTGCCGGTGTTGAAGTGGACAACAGTCCATTCACTGTTCGGAGTATTGCTACGGGTAGAGCAGATCTATGTGCAATTAAAAGTAAGTGGAAATTTTCTTCTTCTTTTTATTTTTCCAAAAATTTCTTTTTTATATCGATCATTATCTTACTCTACTTTTAATATGTATATATTTTCCATTGTAATAATTTTCAGATGGTGTAAAGAAATTTATACCAGTTGGAAAAGAAAACGTTATCACAGTTGACACATCATTGGGTGGTAAAGGTCGATTAACCTGTCAAGTTATCCAGCAACCAACTAAACAATCTTCAGCTACTGCTACACTTCTCCCAGTAGAAACAGAAGATAATGGTGATGGCAGTACATGCGTATACTATACGCCTACACAGTTGGGTGAATTGAATGTAGAGCTACGATATGGTGGTCAGTTGATTCCTAATGGAGAATTTACCCAGAAGGTAGGCAGATTTATCTATGACCTTAACTTCAGCGTCTTTTTAAAAATATATCTTATATATTTTCGTCAATAGTACTGGATATTGTGAAAGGGATACTACTGATATTAAGTATTTTAGTCTATAGCATATGCTTGAGATTCTAAAGGAGTTCCGGAACTCTTATAGCTCGTAAAATACTGTCAAGAATTAGTATTGATAAGTGATGTGTCGTTTTTATTCCTTTGCTTTCCGAGTGGGATGTGAAAGTTCAATAGAACGTTCCCATTTCAATGTGTTCCTTACAGATTTTGTTAACTAGCTCCACGATTGCACGCAAGCTGTTATCTCCTCATTGTACTATCTCTCCTCCATGTCACCTTCGTCCACTCAACTCGCCTTTTTTCAATTAGGTCCCAGGTGAAGGGCTGGCGCGTGGTATCACTCTACAGTCTCCTCAGCGCATGGTCAGTCCATCTCTGTTTGTTAGGTGATAGGTTATTGGTTTGTTGATTGCCAAAGTTCCTTGTTTCTTATGCATTCTAGCTAGCCATCTGATCTTCAGTATGGAGCGAAGGCAGTTAAATGTTGATGAATATCTACAGCCTGGTAATTACAATCATAACAGTAATTTACTCTATGGTTCTCTGTTTTGAAAGCTGGTGCAATTGTGGTATTTGACTATAAAGTTCGTTCGGATGGCGTATTACATTACACTTACTCTAGCCTAGTGTTCTGTAAGGTGTAGTTCTTTCTTCGTTTCTGTTTTCTTTCCTTTTGCACGACCTGCCCCATTCTGACTGTTTCTTTGCCTGTTACTTCTCAGTCAGCCTTTTATCGGAAATTGGTCAATGATCATGTGGTTAATTTCACTTTCAGATGCCAGCGCAACTTACGTGAACTGGTTAGTTCACACGGTTCCACTATCATAGATGGCACTGTAGCTGAAACCAAATCGAACGTTAAATACCTTGACTGCGTATTTCATTCCATCTCTACTGTTACAGTTTGTTAATTCTTACATTCTGCCTATATTTCTTTACTGCTCCTCCAGCTTAATTTTTCCTGGGCTACTTAAGAATGACTTTGTTATATTGCGTAGGGCAGTAAAAGCCGTCAGTAGGGCGAGTGGGTGTTATTGCACCAACTCGTTAATAGGATTGTAAACAAAAACGCGTAGTTTAGCGAAGAGTCTCTTTTTTTCCGCAAATTCTTAGCTGTACAATCGCAAATATATAAATGCGTTATTTTGTATATATACGTTAAGTTTTTCAAACAAAGATACAATTAGTTACGGTTATTTTAAAGAATAGGGGGGGGGGGCGAGAATTAGTAAGTTTTGAGTGGAGTTACTTAATACACAAAAACGGTCGAAAAAATCAGGTGGTAATGAAACTAGTGTAACAACAAAGGTGATGAGTTATCACAAACAGTTGTTAAAATAGAGTTACGTAATAATATGGATAGTTTGATGATTGAGTTATACTCAAGATACGCAAAGTAGAAAATACGAAATTACGTAAGAGTTCTAAATGAAAACAAGAATTATAAGCAATTAAGGAAACAGGCAAACAAACAAAATGAAGTCATCAAAGATCAACATTTCATTAATGCCTGGATGGGAATTATTCATGAATACTATTGTGAATAGAAACTTGGATTCTTATATCCTCTCTCCATACACAACTTTCTCCTTGCTGCATCTCCTCGGGTAGAAATAGAAGCAAATATAGAACACTGCGTGCTCAGGCGATTAAATATAAAAATTCTACAATACCCTGTTTAGTACACATATTATTTAATGAGAAAAGTGTAAGCAAGGAAATCACCAATTTACTACAGAGCTCTAAGTAAACGGCATTGTTATTCAAGTGTTGGTTTTATAGGGATTTGATTGGTTATAGGATTTCATCATGAGCTGACATTAGTTAGAGAACCATTGGAAAACCTGCTGGGAGTACTGGACAACTGTTTCGTCAGACTAGTTTGGGACTCCTCAGTAGTACGCACCCACCGGGGTTCGAACCCAGGACCTGGTTACAAAGTGAGCTTATATATATATATGTATATATATATTCATTTCTTTTTGAACATTATTTTAAATGCCCTATCTTAATTATCACCCCTGTAATGATAAAATCAGATGTAATATACTATAACATGCTGAAAATTCCATTGTTGTACCAAAAATACTGTTTAGAATAAAGCTATTATTGTTATTATTTGGAAAAGTCACTTATTTTAAAAGAGTATACATTCCTTTTCTGGGAATTTTCAAGTTTTTTGTTTTCGGTAATCTCACTGACTAGCCAGAATTCGTTGACATACATTAAGTTGTTCCACAGTGCTTTCCACGTAGTGTCTCACCTACCGCTTTTTTCCAATATATTTGAAACATTCTAGATTATTTATTACTATTGTCTCTCACTATGTGATCGCTTTCTTCTACCTGTGGAAGTAATATATACGAGCTGAGAAACCATGATCTGTCTCTCTTTTGAACTAATTTGATATTTCCTCTTACTGATTATTTCATATTATTATTATTTTTTATTGTTCATTTATTTAGGTAGTATCCAGCGTGGATATCACAGATGAAACTGTAAGTTAATAATTACTGTAATAATAACTACCGTAATAATAATCAATAGTACTTTACTATCAAATTCACATAATTAAGATAACTGTAAATAAACGCATATTTATATTGTATTGTGGAATTTTTCTTCAGAAGAAACACGTCATAGCATTTATTTGAGTAACAGCTTAAAACCAGTCAATGACCACACATTAATTTTTCTAAGTTTCTACAAAGTGTCCTGCTCCCAGGGAGGATCGAACTCCTGACCTCTGACCACTGAGCTATAGAGGCCCGATAAAGTGCTTTTCACACTACTTCGCAAATAAAGAGAAATGTATTTCATTGAAGTGCTTGTTGCATTATATTTCGTTAGATATCCGTTTAGAAACCGTAAAAATGGATCAATTTTTTCTTATTCGTAAAGTATCCTGATATAAGTTTTTTAAGACTGATGAGAAAGACTGATGAAGACTTGAGAAAATGTTGAATTTTGCTCATATAGCTTGGTGTTTTCTCAAATGATCACATGCGTTTCCAAGATGTGTCTGTCTGTCCGTCTTCTTCTTCTTCTCCAAATTACCCCAGTCCCCTTGAATTGTGAACTGTTTGACGGCTATCATGTTGTTATTTCGATTGTAGAGGATAAATGTATTCTTAATTATCAGTTCGTTGAATCCATTTCAAATTAGACTGAGTTATGGTATGGTATGGATTATGGTATTTGTGACTAAGTATTGTTTGTCAGCAAATTTCACTCGATATTTTAGCATCTGAGAACATTTTTTCGGAGAACAAAATCTATCCATTCACCTAAGTGTTCTGTTCTGTTATGTTCCGCTCAATCATTCATCAGAGAAGACAAAACGAAAGTTTTCTTCCCCAAGTAGTAGGTCTTCTCTTTTTGAACTTTTTAGTCGTCAATCAACACTTGAATGCTGTTGAATTCCTGGATTTAACCATTCGAATGTCACTCATACAAATTAGAATTGGAATAAATATTAGAAGGCATCAGATCAAACAATTTTTATCATTTTCTGTAGTTTGGTTTGTAAGGGTTAGTTATGTTTTTTCCGAGTTGATTACGGATTGATATCAGTTAGAGAACCATTGAAAACCAGGAAGGAATCGGGTCCCAGTAGCTTGCCTTTTAACTGGAAGGTCCTGGGTTCGAATCCTAGTGGGTGCGTACTGCCGATGATTCCCAAACTAGGATGAAATAGCTGTCCAGTACTCCCTGGTTTTCAATAATTTTATCATTGTTTTTTGTGTTGGTGTTCTCTGAGAAAATTAAACTGACTTTGTCATACAATAAAGTTAGGTAAAAAGGTTACTATAACTGTCACTCAGTTCAACCGTCTGTAATATAGGGGACTTTTAGCACTGATGAGCAATTCATCTTGTTGAAAGTGTAGTTACCGATTTTCTGTGTTACATACATACATATATTTTGTAAACTGTTAGCAAAATCATACCCACAGTATTCCATACTGACTAACTTGGTTTTCATGCTTTTTCATTTATCTATCTCTGTTTTAGTCACGTCAAAGTATGTATCGTCCTGTTGTATTTCGTCTTCCAGCTCCTCGAAATAAAGCGAAAATTGAAGGTACCCTTTTACTTTTGATTAGAGCATTATTTTAAAAAAAACAGTGTTTTCCCTAACACTTTGGGTTACCATTTTAGTAATATTATTATTATTATCATTATTATTATTATTGTTCCCTTGAGTGTTCCGAGTGGAATACTGGGCTTCAACAACACATCTTCGATTTATTCTATTTTTTTTGCTGTCCTCTTTAGCTAAGCTCACGATTGCTTATAACCTCTCATCTTCTCCTCACATGATCTCCTACATATCACCCTCGGCTACATGCACAGTTCGTCACTTCCCATTCGGGTTCTAGTCGAGTGATGGCCTGGGACATGATTTCATTCGACAGTCTCCTCAGCTTGTACCATATCCATCATCATTTTCTCCTGGATATTAAACGATACCTTCTTGACTGATTTGTTCCCATAGTTTCTTGCTACTCATTCTTTCTGGATATTTGATCTTCATTATGGAGCCAGTGAAGTTGGCAGTTGTTGATGAAAGTTCATAGCGGCCTATTGGAAATACTTTTCACGAAGCGCAATACTTGTATGAGTTTCTGATCCATATAGTAACACTAACTGACTTGACATTTGTGTTGAAAATCGGAATGTTATTGTTTTTGCTGGCTGGTTGGCTGGCTGAGTCAGTGCAGAAGATTTGCAAATTGATTACAGATTGATGAAGGTGTATCTTGCCTTTCCGATTCTGGCTGGCTTTGACATGTTCATCTGTGTTGTCGCCTGTGGTTAAAACGATGCTGCATAGCTAGATGAGTGAAGTAAATGAGAGCTCTTTCAAGTTTCTGTCGTTGGTAGTGATAGGTACTGTCTGTTATTACTGTTGATTAGTTGGTTGGTTACCTTCATCACCCTCGTCTTGTGTATGCTCACCTGGAGTCCTGTCTTTGCTGTTTTTTCAGACAGTTTGTTGGTTTTCTTCTGTAAGTCTTTGAGTTTATGTGACATCAAATATAAATCATCGATGCGCGAAATGCAGATCTTCCGGAATCTTTTCTTCCGTCGAGTGTATTTCTATTTTCTCACTCCCCACTTACAGTCTGACTCATATTCCAGTCCACCACCACAGTTAGGTATACTTCGATATTAATGCCATTTATCCTCGATGAATTTATGACAAAATTATTTGTTCAGCTGTAATTTGAATTTGTTCTACTAGTTGACTTGTCTACATAGTTCCTTCCAACATATTCCGCCTCTAATCTACGTAAACACTCATTATTAATTCATCACACTTATTTATATATGAACTGAGGATGAATGAGGAGTACTCATTGCTTTGCTTTATAATTTTCTGCCCTTCATTTTTTATCATATCAGTCAATATTAACTTCGTTATGTGCTGTCACAATGATTTCATTCGGGTTATAGAATGTTTTACCTTAAGTAAAAATACGATCTACTGTCAATTTACCTTGTACTGGTCACAGATCACTATATGAAAAACCCTGATTCCAAACCTGAAGCACACATGAGATCCAGAGTCACCCGAGAGGCTGGAATGACTATGAATCTGTTATGGTCATTGGAAATCATAACAATAATAATAACAACAAAATCTTTATTGTGCGCAATAAGCCTACACAGGATGCACAGTTTTCAGCGTAGTTTCTTGCATAATCCTTAATCTCGGAGTTTCAACTAAAACAACCATCTCCAGTACATCATGTGATGCAGTGATGTGAGATCTGAAGAATAAAATTATCCTTTAGGGTATTTTTTTTGGTTCAATAGAAATACTCAACGATGGGGAGTATAACTAAATGATTGCAACAACAAGAACTAAAGAAAATAAGATGCATTGTCTCGGATGGAAATTCAGGTAGACCAGAGATTCAAGCAAGCCGCCAATCTTCTCGGTCAAACTCATCTGCTCATTCCACTCCACTACCTTGTAGAACAGACTTCAAGTCAGCAACCCAGGGATAGCCTCTTAACACAGCCACTTGCTTCAGTCTGAGCGTCCGGGCTGTATTCCAGCCCTCATACAAACTGTTAGATTTTGTGTGGCGTACCTTTTGGTGCTTATGATTCACCAAGTTTGTATTTGCGATAATAATGTTCGCGGTTTTCGGAGAGCAACAATGTGAATGCATGTCGTCTAAACCTATTTGTTACTTAGTATGCATTAAAATTTCTTTTTTATCTCTCCCTATTACTTTTAGCTGTTGTCCTACGACCTTCAGGTGCACAACAACATGTTCCTGTTGTTGTGAATGATAATGAAACAATAACTGTAACATATGATCCTGTAGAACATGGAATGCATGAATTACGTGTAAATATTCATTCACAGGCGAAATCTGATTCTCCGGGTAGTACATTTACTATGCCATTACAAGGTAGTCCATACAAGTTCTATGTGGATACTGCTAGCACGGGTCGAATTACAGCCTATGGTCCTGGATTAAGTCATGGTATTACCTCTCAATTAGCTGAATTCACCATTGTAACAAAAGAAGCTGGCGTTGGTAAGCTGGTGTGTCTTTTCCTGCATATAGTGTGAATGAATATTTTGATTGGATACTAGTAACTAGTTTGATGTGTCTAGTCCTTTCTTTGGTACAGACTGAATTCTGTCAGTCAGGTTTACAATGTGGCCACCATTCTAGGTAGCTCACCATCACGGTGCACATTGATTTTATGTTAATAGGTGGTTGGAAGCAATCGGCCACAGGAAGCCTTGGACCTAGGTTTCGTGCTAGTTGGCACTTATCAGCAAGGAGTATCTACAACCTTGAAGGGACTCATGTCCCCTAGGTCCAAGGCTTCCTGCCGATTGCTTCCAACCATCTAAGATCATCAAATATCAAAGAATGTTGTTTCTTCGACAGGTTGGCAAAAAGATCAATTTATCTACAGTTTTTTTTAAATAATTAACTTTTTACATCAGGTACTAGTCACTAATATGTTGTGTTTGAACAGCTGACTCTGCATTCATTTCGATTTGTCCTTCCTTAGGCAATATATATACTCTTGTGCATTTTTTACTATTCCTTAGACTAATTTGTTTATTTCTGCATGTACTGAACATGCTTTTTTGTATTCTAATGTAATTTTTATAAATTCCCTGTTATATGTGATAAGTCGTCTAATTGCTGAATAAGATATTTATTTTCGGCAAACATATGTAAACGATTAAAATCCATGTTTTGAGACAAATTAATAATAATTATGGCAGATGGAAACAGGTTATTCGGCTACTTTTATTTATCATATCCTACGTAAAATGTATTTTTCTTCTAATGAATGTTTTTTTTTATTTAGAAAAATAATTCGTATAAATGTGTAGTAGTAGTAGCATGAGCATTTGATCGTTAATCAAGATATATTGGAGATAAAAAAAATAGTTGCACTATCCCACCGAACAGGATGTATGAAGTCTTTTGAAAGGAATCCGCATTGGGCGACTGATGCACTTCAGGATTTCATCATGAGCTGACATTGGTTGGAGAACCATTGGAAAACCTGGAAGTACTGGACAGCTGTTTCGTCCTAGTTTGGGACTCTTCACTTCAATGCATTGAGGTAGACATGACCTTGTCTTTTGGAATAGTCTAAAATAATGGGCGACTAAAAACGTACTAACGTCATTGAGTTAGATTTTTGTGTTTCTAATGTCATCGGATAAATCGTATTTGCTGCAAATACATAGAATTGATTTCACTTTGAAGATTTCGTGTTGTTTTTTTCCCCAGCAACTGAGGTGAATATCGGCTCCCAATTAAGCTTTTCTTAGAAGTCTTAGCACTTCTTCAGTTGTATCAGGATTGCATGTAAGCTAAGTGATATAGGCTACAGCAGAAAGACACTCGCCTATGGAGACTTTACGGTTGTTCATCTATATAAACTTTTTCGCGCTGTTTCTACATCTATACCCGTTTTTGACTATTCACAGATGAAATCTGTCTCTGGATTACAGCAGTTTAATACTTGTAATGTATGATTCAAGTCTCAGGTCATAAATGATTCCCTGTGTAGAATTTGAAACCCTCGCTTGTATTAACCCTAGTGTTCACCAAATATTCTTACTGTACTTTGGTTGTGTATTTTTTTGTATGTTCTCGAAAGTAATGGATTGCTGTAATACACCTCTTATGTGTCATTAAGAAAACTGTTTTAAGCCAGTTTTGTAATTTTCCAATTCTTTTTCCTTTTTCAATGTTAGGTGGTCTTTCAGTCTCTGTTGAAGGTCCATCTAAGGCTAAAATTCAGTGCGTTGAGAATTCTGATGGTACGTGTAGTGTGAGTTATCTACCTCTTGCACCTGGCTTATATACAATCTCAATTAAATTTGCTGATGAGCATATCTCTGGTTCACCGTTTACTGCTAAAATAACAGGTAATTTGATTACAAGTCGGGGTTATTATTTTGAGTTAATTTACGCCTTCTCGAAATTCGGCGCTTTTATTTTTTTGATACCCTAAGTTTATTTTATTTATCGCCTTATATTCATCAACAATAAAATGTTTGGTTTGTATTATTTTTGGGGGATGATATTAGTCTATGAGTGGGTATATCAAAATCACGATGATAAGAAGTAAGATGAAGTATGTTTAAGTTTATTTGATGATTTTGTTCATGCACAGACCTAGAAGCTTTGGACTATACACATTGAAGCCTGTTGCTCATTTAGCTGTACATGCTGGAAACGCATCGAGTTAATTAGTGAGTTTTGTCGTTGTTCCTTTGGGTTCCTAGTGGAACATCGGTCTTCAACTGCACGTCTCCACTTGCTTCTGTCTTCTGCTGTACTTTTCACCTGCATCCATTTTAGTTAGTCCATACTGTTTCAACTCCTCTTCACACCATGTCCTCCATGTCACCCTTGCACTGACGTCCCACTCGCCGCTTCCCTTTCGGCCTAGTTCCACTCGAGCAACGGCTGGTGCGCAAGCTATGTCACCCAGCGGCCTCCTCAGCGAGTGTCCAATCTATCTCCACTCCATCTCCTGCATATTTGTTGGTTGGCGATTAGTTTGTTCTTGTTTTGTTTGTTCCCAGTCAGAGTTTCTTGTTGGTGATTCTTTCCGGCCCGGCCATCTGATCTTTAGTATAGATCCAGCGAAGACAGTTGTTGATAAAGGTCTTTGTGGCCCACCCGCCAAGTTTTTGATCCTTATAGAAGAGCTGACTGACTTGACGTTGTTTGTATTGAAAATCCGGCCGAATTTTGTTGTCGATGCTGAGTGACGAAGATTTCCAGATTAATTGTTTCAGGTTGATGAATGTGTTTCTCACCTTTCCGATTCTCGCCCGATTTGACATCCTCGTCCGTTCCGACTTCCTGTAGTTGAGACAATGCTGCCTAGATAAGTAAGTGAATGAAGTAACCTCTTCCAAATCCCTCTCGTTGATGGTGATTGGTTATTTTCATAACCTCCGTCTTGTCTATGTTCACCTGGAGTCCTGTATTCGCTGGCTGCTTCTTCGACCAGTTTGTCGGTTTTCGCTTGTGAGTATTATTATTTACTTATGAAAACATTTCAAAAATATATTGTATTATAGCATCTTATACAAAAAGAAAATTTGGGCAATGTGATAAAGGATAATTGCATAAGCAAATCGAAAGTACCTATTGAGTCATATAAAAGAAAAGATGTGCAGCGAAGAGTTACTCTGTTTTCGGCAATATTATTATCAAGCTGTACAATCATATATATATATATGCACATGTGTTAAATCCTGAACCCTGGATATAAAAGAAGTTTGTTCATTTATTAAATCTACAATGTACCTGATCTATCTTAACACCAAATTTTTTTTCGTTCATGTTCCCAGTGGAACATAGGGCCTCAAGCTAGTGGCTTGGAGTTTCTGTAGCAGTGTTTAATTTTACAGGATGGGGTTAGCCTAATGCCCAACCTTTCCTCTTTACCAGATTATTTCTGGCTTAGCCAGGTAAAGGAGTGAGTCCGTGGCCGGAGATCTAACCCGGACCAAGTGCATGGTTGGCGAGTGTCCTAACCACTGTGCCACCGACGCACTTAACGTGAAGTGTGTAATTTTTACTTTTTGTTTCTTAATTGTATTAAATTTCTTCCCCCTTCACCATCCTCTATTAAATTTCTGCCTCTTATTATTACCACTAATGTTAACTTGACTGTCGTCAAACTTTAGTTGAATTCCACTCAACCCCGTCAATTTTATTACGTCACTCAACTTACATGTTTAATCTTATTTTATTTGCTAACTCGTTTGACATTTTGTACATTACATAGTTTATAATTCTAATGACACATCTTTCAAAATATTTCTTTTATTGCTAAGGTAATTTACTGCATACCAGTTGAGATTGATATTGCCGGGAGAAAGTAACTCTTCACTGAACCTTTTTCTTTCATATGATTCCATAATACAAAAAATTTCATTCAGTGAAAGTAGAGAGATAGTCTTAATAACTGGATGACGTCCCGACCACAATTTGTTTTCAGTTATAATAATAATGAATAACAAACACTACGTCACTGTGTTTATTTACGTTACAATATTCCATACACTATTGTTTTTAATTGGAATACTCTAATACAGAGTAGTAAATTGAGTTTTACTCACGACTCTACACGTCTTAACTTTGTAGCTGCACGATCGCTTCATATTTTTAATAATATTATTGTTATGATATTCAAATTGGCACACATTTCACTTTTTCTAATCAATATCTCTTAGTCAGTAATGCATACACATAATATAAGATGTCTTAATTGCTATTTTTTATTTCTGCAAAGGTGATATCTTGAAACGATCACAAATAAGCATGGGTGCACCAAGTGATATTGCTTTGGAAGCAGTTGATGAAGATATTGCCACGCTGACAGCTAGTGTACACAGTGCATCTGGTCGTGAGGAGCCATGTGTGCTTAAAAGTTTGCCAAATAATCGTTTGGGTATGTGTTCCTTCTTCTTCTTCTCCTTTCTCCCTCTTTTTTTGCTTTGTTTTGTTTTGTTTTCTACAAACATGTTGAACTATTTTTTTTACAAATTCAATCATTCAATGTTTTCTTTCCAACTTTTATAATTCAGATAATCAATCTAGTCAAGAGAATTTCATCAGACAGATATTGATAGCATTAACATCCTTTTTCAGTATACTACAGTATTCTCAGGATATTTAAGCAAAATAATAAATAACCGTATACGCTATAATGTAACACTTTTCAACCTGATACATAATCCAGTCTTCAGCAATAGTTTTTCTACGAGGAATACACAGCACAGTAGGTTGAAAACCAATTAAAAACATGCACGAGTACATTTTACCACCCAAGGACAAATAGTTGGATGATTAAAACAATAAGAAACGGTGGAAAAAACTGATGCATCAAATTGGCTGAAAATTTACATAGCCGAATTATTTAAACAGGCCACCGTGATCACGTTATACTGACTTACTGACTCATTTACCTTTTTCCACCTGTTTCCCTGATAAGTCTAAATAGTCGCCGCGTGTTACCTATCATAGATGCCTTTTCCATGTCTTTCTTTTTTGTTGCCCAGCACTGTTCACGGTCGGTGAGATTTCTTGTTAGCTTGCGTTTCAGCAGTTTTCACTCCTCGTCATAATCGGAGCTCACCGGAATCAATCTTCTTGCCTTAATCATTTCGGATGTGGTAGTAGAAGTCCAGTGGCTCTTACTAACTTTTGGTTTTAGCTTATTAACAGCTGTGTCTACAGCTAACTGTATTTTTTGCCAGGCTACCTCAAGAAGTCCTGTTGTTGACCTCAGATACTCGTTTTTCTATTTCCTCTCTAAATAGGAACTCGGTATCCCTATCTAGTTGGGGACGTAAGTGTTTCGCTGCCAGCAATTTCTTATGTCCGTTTAGTCGTAAGCATAAACGTGCGCGGACCAGAGCGTGATTGGGGTCGACGCACGTTTTCCAGAAGGAGCGGCAGTCTTCCTCTGACCCTCGTCAACGATTCCCCATCTCTCTGTGGTTTATTTAAGTCCGGAGTTGATTTGATCACGGAGGTCGCCAGGTTACGCAGTGTCTGTCTTTGTGCCTAAAATTAGTGCTGACTAGGGACAGATGGTTATCTGAACAGAACTGTAGAAGGCGATCACCGTTATCGGTTCGTCGGCAGGGAGTTCCGTACATACTACTTATATACTTCTCAGTCTGGCGTAAATTCCCTACTTAGGCATTGAAATCGCCTGCTAAAACAAGTATATCTGAGACTTGCTTTTTGTAGCAAACTAGAAAGTTTCAGGTGGAAATCATTATTTACTTCATCTGAACTTCAGTCTATTGGACCGTAAAGGGAGACTTTGAAATGACAACAACGGCTAACGTCGTCTTTCCTTTTTCCAACGATCACGTTATACAGAGGGGGAATGCTTTGAACTTTTGTGGGTATATCAAGAGGTTCTAAGTGTAGGATAAAATAGGTGGAATTACATTCGAAGATTGAATGTGTTAACTGCTTTCAATACAATAGGCAGCCATTTATGAATATGCTTTCTAATTTTATTTGCCTGTTCAGCATAATCTGATTGTGTGGATAATCAAAGTGATAAGGACTATTTGTAATTTTGAATAGTGGTTGGTGTTAGTTGTGTTGAGACAAGTGATGTGATAAAATCATGACGTCATTTTACTGTTTCAACTGTTTCGCCTAATTTACAAGCAGTGATAGATTTATGTTACAGGATTTTCATCATGAGCTGACACTGGTTAGAGAACCATTGAAAAACCTGAGAGTACTGGACAGCTGTTTCGTCCTAGTTTGGGACTCTTCAGCAGTATGCACTCACCGGGATTCGAACCCAGGACTTTTTTATGTTTTATATACATGTAACTGTAACTCCCTTCGTGGTTAGCCACGTGGTAGTTTATATATTTAGCTTTCTTCATTTTCTCATTATTTGTATAATTTCATCAGTTATTATTAAGGCTGTAGTAGTAACTGTGTGTTTGTCTGATGTAGTAGTTCATTTGTTTGAAGGAGAACATTGAATGTTGTTGTTGGTTATTTGTATTGATCATATTTCTTATAACAAACTACCTTTCTCTTTTGAACTATTTAGGCATTTCATTTACACCTAAAGAAGTTGGTGAACATTTGGTTAGTGTATTTCAAGCTGGAAAACATATTGCTAATAGTCCATTTCGAATACGTGTCTCTGAGAAAGAAATCGGTGATCCTAGACGTGTACGTGTCAGTGGGCCAGGTTTAATATCAGGCTTATCTAACAAGCCTAATCAATTCACTGTGGATACACGAGATGCGGGTAAGAAGTATACGATATGTGGCGTCTGGATTGAGGTCATATCATCTGTTGTTATTTATTGTATTGTATCGTATTGTGTTGATTCATAATCTTTATTAAGGTGTGCATATAATAAGTCCTTTATCCTGATCTAGTCACTCCTAACTGATATTTACTTCCATTGGAGGTCAATTGCGATCCGTACTAGCTCAGTGGTAACGTCTCTGATGACAACACTGGGTGGCCTGGGCTCAAATTTCAGAAGGCACATGATTTGCTTTAGGACTGTGTATCCGCCTTGCTGACTGGTGAGTGCCAACTAGCACAAAACCTAAGTTCAAGGCTTCCCGTCCTTCACCTTTAACCGTCCAACGACAATTCAGAGTGCGCCGTAATAACTAATCACCTAGTATGCTGATCATATTGCAAACTTGACTAATAGTATTCAATCTTCATCATGACATTACTTACTATCTGGTGTCCAATCGAAGCAGACATTTATTTCTTATTTTCAGGTATTGGTCTTGTAGGGATTTTTGTTTTATTGCATGGAGGATTTCATCATGAGCTGACATCAGTTAGAGAACCACTGGAAAACCTGGGAGTACTAGACAGCTGTTTCGTCCTAGCTTGGAACTCTTCAGCAGCACGCACCTACATTCATTCTAGGAGATAAATGTATTTAACTTTTGTATATTTCCCGTGTATGAAATAAACTTCATTTTGTTTCTAAAGTCTAAATTGATCCTTATATTTTTGTCACTTCTTCATGGTTATAGATAGTTTGATTATTAACTTTGATGAAAACACTGAAGTTGAATTTCACAAATTCTGAGATGGTTATCGTTTCGTGACTAATTGTGCACACACGACCCCCCCCCTCACCAGTGGGAAATTTTCCCTGTATGATTCATATTCTGACCGGTTTTGAAATCATACACTCTCTTCTCTAACTATTGAGAAAACATTTATCTGGTGAATGGTGACTAGCAGTTGAATCCATGATTCGCACTTCGTCCAATTTGCGACTCGTCATCTGGATGTACCTGCATTCCCCAGTGAGTGGTGATATTCCCACGGAGGCTCAAACCCCAGTGCCCATAGTTTCAAACGCTACAGCGTTATCCACTAAACCACTTGGGCCATAACAGCCACCTCTTGTGCAACGGGTCATATTGAGAAGGCAACAGTTATTTTCTGCCCTAAGCTGCTGAGCATCTAAATTAAAAAGGACAGCTCTTGGTTGCGCATAACTGTCTACTTATTTCTGACTTTATGTGTCAAAACAACTCACTAATTTCTCTTTATTTTTAAGTAATGAAAAGTTATAGTTGATTAACCAGAGTAATCCTGTTTTAGCACTACACACTGTCTCAATTAGTTGGTATTTATCTTGGTTCAGAAATTATCTCCAGCCATAACTATTCCCCTGGTGAATGAGTGGTGTTTCGAACATTAACCTATTTAACCATTTTTCGTATTACTGTGTTTGATATTTTCGACAGTTTGTTTTGATCACCAGTCATGCGAGTGTTTTCAGTTGATGTAGACCGCAACACTATAATTTACACGTGACAGTATATTTTATTGAAAGTTCTGTTTGTTTCGCACGGTCAGTTATTATTCCTACATACTATGTTACTTAGCATAGCATAAATGGGAGGAACCTGAAAGAAACAACCTCCTTTACCTACCTGGGAAGCATCGTTTCAACTACAGGCCGACGGAACTGATGAGGATATCAAAGCATGAATCGGAAAAGCGTCTGTGTGGAGGTCAACAGCGCTCAGCATCAGAGAATTCGCACGTCATAAAGAGCACCTCAAACAAAATACAGACCTTCATTAACAGCTATCTTCGCTCAATACTACTCAAGATCAGATGGCCGGCCAGAAAAGATCAGCAACAGGGATCTCTGGCAATGAGCGAACCAACCAGGAACCGATTGTGAGACAAATAGGCAGGAAGAAATGGAGATGGATTGGCCATACTCTGAGGAAACCATCAAGTGACATCACTAGACAAGACATTCCTCGAGTGGAACTCGAAAGGGAATCGGCGAGTTGGTCGTCAGTGCGAGATGGGGTGACTTGGAGGAGATCATGTGAAGAGGAGATGAAAGTGTGTGGGCAGACTTGGAGCGGGGTGAAAACGTTGTCAGAGAACCGAACGCAATGGAAACGCGCGGCTGAAGCCCTATGTTCCTTTAGGAATTAAAGGAAATAATAATGTTACTTAGCATGTTTGAGTGCATAAACACACACCTTTGTAAAACTTTATTCCCCCCTTTTTGATATTCTTAGATAAGCAGCCAGCAAGGCTCACTGAAGGAATGCAGACAGACTCACTAGCTTTTTTGCATGAATTATTTACTATGCTCTGTTGCGTGTAATGAAGGAATTCACCATGCATACATAGTACATATTGAGACTCTAAATAAGGTGTGGCTACACACGATATGAATATTTTAAACCATGTTCAGTATGCTGATATGAATAGGTTGGTGAAAAAGAGAGAGAAAGAGAGGAGTGTAGTGGATTGTTTATAAAGTCTGAGAACAGGATGAATCGGTTGTGTCATTTTCAGCAGGACAGTCAAATAAATAGTCAACCAGTTTGGCTGACACACACCCAATAAGTAAGAATCCGCTTACTTCACTTTCCTCTTCGCTACTTTTCTCTTCTCTTTTCGGAGTATTTTTGTTGTATGGACCAGTTTCTATACATAATCACTTCAATCCACCACAACCTGATATGTATGCATTGAATCAATTTTTCTTTTCGTTTACTTAAAACCTCTGTTGCATTCCTTAAATTTGTATTGAAAAACAGATGTTTTTAATTTTTTAATATTCTCTATTTAGCCAGTAAGCTACTTTTGTAAGCGTTTTAATGATCTATATATGTTATATATTTTCTCTAGATATGTCAGTTGTTGTGAATATTTTGTTTATACACTCTCTTAATTTATTATGATGATTAGGTTATGCTGGTTTAAGTCTTTCAATTGAAGGGCCAAGTAATGCAGACATTGAATGTCATGATAATCATGATGGTACTTGCACTGTCATATATACGCCTACTGAACCCGGTCAGTATGTTATCAATGTGAAGTATGCTGATGTTCATGTGCCAAATAGTCCATTCTGTGTTGAAATCGGTGGAGAACCTTCTGTGAAAATGATGGAAAGAATCACTAGACGACGTGAAGCTTCAAAAGTTACACATGTTGGAAGTCGATGTGAATTGAGCTTACGTATTACAGGTTTGTTTGTTTGTTTGTCTATTACATACTATTGTTTAATCGTTGTTGTTCTTTTTTTTCGAGGTGGTATAGATACTCCTAATAAATTCGATTGTGTGCTATTTAGTTTATTCTGTTTGTTAGTAGCGAAACGCTGTATGAATACAACTCAGCACTTAGATGTGTTCCATACAATGATTCCCTTTTATAAATGTGAACAAAGAAAGAAGAAACATTGGCGCAGAATAATCTGGATCCATTTTATTTCGTTGGTTCTCATCTGCAGCGTACAACCTGAATCCTTTCATAAAATAAAAATGTACAATTTTAACAAACTTTTGTCCATTAGCAAGCATTCTGTCACAGCGTCATAGTAAAATAAGGCGTTGAGATTTACAGGGTGTCTAAAGTGTTACGACATACATATATGTATATCTTGGTAGAGAGAAGTTTCTTGAAAACATTTTACTAACTTTTATTTTGTTGGGTGGTAACAAAAGAAAATTAGCAGTAGTTACGTAATTAGATCAGAGAAGATCGAAATTTTACAATTTCGGTGCATATGAGGTCAGATGAGAAGTTGATGATATAGTACAGTGAGCAGAACTCAGAAGACTAGAAAAAATTATCTCTTAAGAGAGTCAAGCGAAAAATAAAGGGAGGGGGTGGAGTGAAAAGATAAGCTAACAAAATTATATTTGCTCAACCCCTGTGGATTTAAGTAAAGTATGACTATGGATGCAGAATGAAAAGTGCAAAATTTATTTAATCTGTTTGTAATTGAATGCAGCTAGTTGTAGGTTTCACTGATTCTACGGATTCTTGAAATGTATTAAAGTAGCCGAAGTTGTAAATTTATTGATATTTACCTAAAAAGTTAGTGAGTTCCAGTTCACATTAAACAGAAGAAGACATACTTTCAGTCAAAGATGATGATCATATCCTAGAGATAGTATAGTTTGCATCCATACATTAATGAATAATTGCCTGAAAACTCAAGAAGCTTTTCAATTTTCTCACCCATTGATTGTAGCTCAGTTTTATCATCGACTGTATAACTTCCTCAAATAAGTGTGCTCAGTAGATCCTACAGTCCTTAAATGTGGTTGGGGGATTAAACTCAATGGAAAATCATTTGGGTTAATTAATGGTACACAATGATCACATATCAAACCGTCTTTTGCAGTCATTTATAGAACCCGTCTAATTACTGGCGTCGTTCTTCAACCACACTATACTGCACTCAGTATGAATCACACTTACATCAGGTATAGTTGATACAGGTGCTCTATGCAGGGATCTCGCTCCTTCCGGATTAATTTTACGAACTCTGGTCGTTCTTTAGTGTGTGTCAGGCTTCTGTGGTAATTCAGTGCTTATTACGAGTGTCAGTCAGCACTGTTTGATTCAAACGAATTGGAGCCTTACTAGGTACAAAAGTAAGTTATGATCCTGCACTTAGAAGATGTTATCGAGTTGGCAAGATAAGACATTGGACACTTGGAAGAATGTTCTGATAACAAAGGATCGATTTTCCTAAAATTTTCCACTCCTTTTGGTCCGTTAGGAGGATAGTGACTACGATGACCTGTTTAAGATTCTTAGGTGTACAATTGAATAACGGTTACTCACATAACTGTGAGGTATTTTACTCAGACCATAAGCATAAGATGAAAAAAAGCAGAGGTTGTATTCAGTAAAAGCCTCATGGATTTAAGAACCTAGTATTGATCAGATGGTCTGCTAGACAGGTTCACGCTAATTAGCAACGTCTGAAAGTCACTTAGTGATACAGATTTGCTATCAAGTGAAAAACTATTCGACTTAAGTATTATGCAAGCGATATTGTCTTGCTGAATGATGAAATACAGGTTACTCAGTCAATTGATGGTCAGTTTTTAAGGGTGTAGTATATACTTCGTATCATCCAACGTCTGAGTACCTATGCTTCCGAGTAAATCCTTACAGATGTGGTTGTGTGATTGTTAGTGTAAAGATATGATGAAGGAAATTTTACATCCACATATTTCAGAAGTATGAACGGCATACCGTAATTTCAGTGAGCTGGCTGCCTATTTCGGTCCCAGTCAAAACAGATGCCTGATTAGTACGGTTTTTTTCACCAATTATAAAAGCATTACATTATTTTGTGTAGCACTTGACTTTGTTGTGATCATGTTGTGTTTTAATATTCGTTTCTTTTTCTAAATCCACTCAGATACAAATCCCTCTGATTTGTCTGCATCAGTAACCTCTCCTTCGGGTCATACTACTCGTTGTGAAGTTGTTCCTATTGATAGCGATCATTACAATATCAAGTTTATACCACAAGAAATGGGTGAACATTTAGTTACTGTTAAACACAAAGGAATTCAAATATCAGGTAAAATCAATAAAAAATTGATTACCACGTATTCATTATACATATTTTTTTAAATAAAAAATACTCTCCCTATCATCTTGCACCATATTAATAAATTTAAAGTATACTCACTCCAGTTGTTAACTTGTTTGAATGATGTTATCATTGTTATTTTCTTGAAATTCAAGTTATATACTTTATTTACTACACAAGTGCAACGCTTAAGTGTAATCCGTTTACTCTTCAGCACTTTTTATATCCTCCTTAGCTTTTTCTGTTCACATACACAGAATACATTCGTAGTGATCGATTGGTTGCATTTTGTTTTAGATGGAATAAATGAATATTGTGCTAATTGTGTTTAATGAAAACAAAACACGTAGATCAGCGAAGAGTCTCTTTTCGGCGAATTCATTTTCTTAGCTGTACAATCGAAAATATATATGTTATTATTTTTTATGTATGTATACATTAAGTTTGTCAAACAAAATTACAATTGGTTAAGGTTATTTTAACTAAACAGGTGAAGGTTGGTAATACAAGTCAAGAAAATTAGGTGTTAATGGAATTGGGGTAGTAACAAAGGTGATGAGTTGTCACAAACAGTTGTTAAACAAAAGAAGTTATGTAATAATATGAATAGTTTGATGAGTGAGTTTTACTCAGGATGCACATAGAAACAAGGTAGATAATACGAAATTGTGCAAGAGATCTAAATAAATACAAGAATTATAAGCAATTAAAGAACAGACAAAGAAGCAAAATTAAGTCATCAAAATAAAAATACTTAAAACAAATCAGAACATTGTTACCATGACCGTAGAAGTGATTGAGTTATCTTCTTTTGTATGCACAGCTCCGGTTTTTCTGTGTGAATGGCCAGAACTTCAGCGATACAAAGAAGACGAAACCGTATCGCCTTTGATGGGTTATTCTTGACTCTGTAGATTATTTTGAAGTAGGCGTTTGTTGAAATGGTGTGATCAGTGTTAACCAGGTGTTCAATTATCGCAATTCTTATTTCACCACTATTGCCTTTTCGCAACCATGCTGGATAGTGTTCTTGAATCCTCTTGGACAAGATGCGCGTCGAACGACCGATGAACCTGGCTGGTTCCACAGCAGCAGGTGAACTGATATATGCACATAGAATTGGCCAGATGCGGGATCTTTTCCTTGAGGCTTCTGCATATCAGTCGGCGACTGGAGAACATTGTGTTCGCTATATGGAGTGGGACAACTCAAACCTCATGGACTTCTGCGCAAAGTTCTACGTTGAAACCAGTCAATCAGTCAGTAGTCAGTGCTACCTTAACAGTCATGCTGTGTTACGCACAGCATCAGGAGAAATTATTTCGGACACCAATGGTAAGATGGAAGATGGGCCGAACACTTCAAGCAGCTACTCAATCGCGACGCTGGTCAACCGTCTCATCGACCGATACGACACTTACCAACACCCTACGTAGTTGACTGCGATCCACCCACTCCAACCGAAATAGCTAAAACAATTAACAGACTCAGAAACAAAAAAGTCCGGGCGAAGATGGTCTACCCCCAGAAATATACAAGGCCTGCACTCAGCGCTAATCGATGCACTGCACTCGCTGTTCTGCTCAATTTGGGAGTCCGAAACCATTCCTTCCGATTGGAGCACCTCAGTTCTGCTACCGTTCCACAAAAAGGGAGACAGGTCAATATGCGAGAACTACCGAGGCATAAGTCTGATTGATATCGCTGCTAAGGTTTTTGTTTCCATTCTCCTGAACCGCTTCGCGGCCGAACGCCACGTGCGAACAAGGCCAAATCAAGCCGGATTTCGACCTGGAAGAGGCTGTGTTGATCAATTATTCACACTGCGAAGAATTTTGGAACACAGGGACAAATTCCAACAGCCGACGGTTGCTTGCTTCATCGACTTCCAAGCGGCATTCGACTCAGTTGATCGAGGAGCACTCTGGTATCTAATGGAGCTCGACGGAGTTCCGACCAAGCTAATCAACCTGCTCAGGTCATACTACTCCAACACCAAAGCTCGAGTCCGAGTGAACGGTGAAGAGTCCCGCACTTTTGAGGTAACCAGCGGTGTCCGGCAAGGTTGTCCAGCATCCCCCATCCTGTTCAATTTCACAATTGATTGGATTTTGCGGCACGCCCTAACCGAGCACCACGGCGTCCAACTTTCGCCCGATATTCACATAACCGACCTCGAATTCGCCGACGACGTCGTGCTGTTAGCTGAAAACTTCCCCGATATGCAACAGGCGCTCGACCAGATAAACCACCTCGCGCCTACTATCGGTTTGAAAATTAACACTTCCAAAACCAAAATGTTTTCGAACACATCCACCAGCAATGATGAAATCTTATCCTAAATGGAGCACCTATTGAAATTGTGCCATCCTTCAGATATCTGGGATCCATAATGCTCCCCAACGGCCAAGCGAAAAACGAAGTGAATGCGCGAATCTCCAACGCCCGGAATGCGTTTCTACAGCTGAGGAGCGTTCTATGGAGCAAGAGAGAAATCAGTCTCAGGACTAAAATTCGGGTCTACCAAGCTTCCATACGACCCGTTCTCCTGTATGGCTGTGAAACCTGGCCTCTTCGCGCGGAAGATTTACGCAGACTCGAGGTATTAGACCATTGGTGTCTCAGGTACATTCTGCATGTTCGTTGGCAGGACAAACTCTCCAACGAAGAAGTGCGTCGTCGTTGCTACAACATCAACCAAATTCCAGTACTGGTCCAACAACGCCGCCTTCGGTGGTTTGGCCATGTTCTGCGCCGACCAGATGACGATCTGGTCAAATCAGTTCTAAATCCCTCGCCATTACCATCTTGGCGATGTCGCAGGGGCGGACAGCTGAAGACATGGCTTGGTACAGTCAAGGCAGATATGGAGTGCCTGGGGCTACAAACCGTCTACGGACTCCGTATGTGGAACAAGAATTGGATATCCCTATCGCAAAACCTTGCTTCAGATCGCCGCGCCTGGGCAGCGATGATTCGAGACGTTCATGAAGCCGGCTCATCCTCCCGTAGGAGATAGCCGAAGTAAAGTAAGTAAGTAAGCTACCTGCCATAATAATGTATTCAATCGACTAACGGCACAATAGAATTCTTTCTTTGTTTTATTTTTTTTTATTATTTGTAAGAAACTAGCGAATACAATATTGTCAGACCCCGAGAATCCTCTCTATACGCAGCTGTCTCCTTGCATTTCATCTGGTAGAACTAGAAGCAGCTATAGGAGGCTGGCCATATGCTAGGACTACCAAGTACAAAAACTCCACAATACCATATCTGGTACAGCTGTTATGTGATGAGAAATCCGTTAGGTATGACACGATCAACTTACTGCGGCACTCTAACAAATAGTCCCATTAATTTTTGTTTTCTTTCCCTCGTTACTATTACACTGTTGTTCTCATCTTCTATCACATATCAACTTTATATTTCATATCCTGTGGTGCATTGTTTGAAATGTAAACGTTACGCTGTTTTTTTATTTTTATTTATCTTTTATTTATTTTTGGCGTTGGTTTTTTTCATTTATTTATTTATTTTTTTGATTTTAAAAAATCTTATAAAATTTATGAGGTAATTAGATGAAATATATTGTAATGCACGCTGAAAATTCCATACCTGTACCACAAATACCGTTTGGAATAAAGCTGTTATTATTATTATTTTTCAGACTCCACAGATTATGTTGTAGAAAATTATTCTTTTAACATTTGTTGTCTGTAGATTGGTGTCTCTATTAGTTGTTTTTTTAAACGCATTTCTTACTATTGTGTTTATTCCTACCATCTAGGTAGTCCATTCCACTTTACTGTCGGTCCGATAACAGATGGTGTAGCCAACAAGGTTAGAGCAGTTGGCTCTGGTCTACAAGAAGGTTGGACACATGTCACCAATGAATTTACTATATATACACGTGAAGCTGGTGCAGGCACACTGTCGATTGCTATGGAAGGTCCTAGCAAAGCAGAAATTGATTGTGATGTATGTTGACCATATTTTGCTGGTATTTGTTACCATATATTACTTTCACATAAATTATTTTTTCAGTTGACTTAATATATGTGATTGAGAGGTGGCTTGATGATTATGTGTCAAGCTCATTTCGATTGTTTCATAACTATTTGTTCTTCAGTTTTAATTTCTGTATATACCATTGTATTATTAGACAGAAATAATTTTTTTTATTTCCTTCACGTTCCCAGTGGAGGCCTGAAGTTTCTGTATCAGTATTTATTTTTACAGGATGTGGTTGCTAGCCTCATTCTCAACCTTTTCCCTTTACCAGTTTTATTACTGGCTAAGTGAGGTAAAGGAGTGCGGCGTCGGCCGGGGATCAAACCCTGGACCGTGTGCGCATGGTCGGCGAGCATGCTAACCGCTGTGCCACCGACGCACAAGACAAAAATATCACTATTTATTAATATTATTATTGAAACATTTTCAAATATTCGCGAGAGTAAATAATTACGATTCAGGATTTTATTTTGATAGGTTAATAGATTTAAACAAAGTAAACACGAGAAACTAAATGGCAATATAATGGTGATGAAGGATGTGTTTAAGTAGTCCAGTAGTCTCAGCAGAAAGGTGATACCTCCTATCAAGTAGTGAAATAATTCGGGCTCCTTTTCAATTTCAGTTCATCTAGTCGTTGTATTCATCGAAATACATTACATAATTTGTTTGAATGGCTACTCACTCAGCTTGCGTTAGGTGAAACAGTGTTTTTTTTAGTTTTTCGTGGATAGGTTTGTTGTTAAAACTTTTATCAATAAGCAAAACCGTGTATCATATTTCGATGTGGTTTGGAAGAACACTTTGTCCAATCTTCAATCACTGCTGCACACGACTGAACTTTCATGGTGCTTAATGATTCCAATTCATATTTCTTATCTTAGTGCCTTTAATGAAAAAGTGGTGAACTTTTTTCCCATAGATCACTTCATAAAACCTAAGTGAAATGTTGAGATATTTTTGCCGTCTTGTTACTAATTGAACATTCTCATTTAAAGTCTCGTAGTATAAATTCGCCAATTTGATTTAGAAGTATAACTTTCATTTTGGTTGTTTGAAATCTCATAGGATATTAATTATTTCTGCTACTTGCCAGTAAACCTGTGACTTCGTTTCTTTCTTTTTTTTAAAAAAAACCTTAGGAAAGGCGAGATGGTTCTTCATCTGTACTCTATCGTGTCACTGTACCGGGAATGTATATTTGTTCCCTTAAATTTAATGATGAACATATCCCTTGTTCACCATTCCGTATTCAAGTTTATGATTCAACACAAACTGGGCGTTTAGCTTCTTACACACTACCATCTCGTACTGTTGATATTCAGTCGACCCACAGTGTATCCAGTAAAGAAGAAACACTTCGAGTGAGTTTGTTTATTTTACATTCTTTTGTGTGTTTTTTGAGTGGAAAACAAGGTTACAAGGTGAAACAGTATTAGTATTTACTGGATGACGTTTCGACCACAGTTTATTGTTCATAATCACTTCATCAATTATAATCACACGACTTCAAAACTTGAGTTTTATAGTTTTTTTGTCTTCTCATATTTGTCGTCGTTGGGGTAGTAGAATTTTCCAGCTATCTGGACAGGTGTTTAGTCATTCCTGTTACATGTATTTGCAGTTGATTCGATAAACAAAGCTTCTGTTATCAATCTCTCCCCCCACCCTATTACATTAGATTTTAAAACTGTCATCCTATTGTATGGTTGTGTGTAATTGCATGTAGTGAGTGCTATAGCTGAACTATTCTCTAGATTTCTTATCTTATTTGGGTCAACCAATCTAGATTTTGCTAGGTTTTTATGTTCGGCTAGTTTGACTGCCCCTGTTCTACTAGTTAGACCTATGTATATGACCTGACAATCATTTCAGGCAGGGTATTAGATAAACTAAATTGTTTTGTTTTAAAGGCTCCACTGTCAGGATCCTTTAACCGACAAAGCTTGTTTCTAATTGAATTTGTGGGTGGTTTGAATGCCAGCCACTTTTATTCCTGCCTTGTTAAGAATTCTGCGTCAGGTGGTTTCCGAGGTTCCTTCCTTGTGTGGAATTACTACTGATGATTTAGATTCCTTATTGTTGGTGTCGTCATCAATAATGTTATTGTTTTTATCATTATTATTACTAAAACTATCGCTACTGTCATTATTTATTTTACTTTTACATCTCCTTACATAATTATTAAGTTTCAAGGCTTCTTTTATGTGTATCACTTCCTGTATTAGATTTCCCTAGGTACTACTTAGTTTTTGTGCTCTGTCACTTAAACATTTCACCAATCCTGTTTTTACTGACATAGGATGGGATGATCGGAAGTCCAAATATATGTTTGAATGTGTGGGTTTCCTGTAAACACTAGTACTTAACTTCCTATCTTCTCTCCTTTCTACGCTACAATCTTACATTGGAAGCTGCCCTTCCTGACTTTCCATCCCATCATCTAGTAAATAATACTGTTTCACTGTGTGATACATCTAATAAACAAACTCATATGGAATTACTTACTACCACAGTGCCCAATTAATAAGGCTTCAAGGTTTGAAATTTCAGTAATAGTAGTGGTGGTGGTGGTGGTGGGGTTGCTAGTTTCACTTCCAAACTTCCCCCCTCCCCCTTACCTGACTTATTGCCGGCTAGGTGAGGCTTAGGAGTGAGAGATGGCTGGCAATCGAACGTGGAACACATGTGTAGTTGGCGAGCAATTCTTACACTGAATCGCCGACGTTGTTACTGTTAACTAGTACTATTTAAAATTATATTAAGGTAGTAACGAGAAACATATTTTCTTTCTCTAGATTGGACGTCCAATTGCATTCACTGTGCATCATGTAGAAACACCTGGTTACATTTTGAAGGCAAAGGTATCGACTCCATCTGGAACTCATGAAGATGCAATTGTTCAACCAATCGATCAAGATCAATTTGTAATCAGATTTGTCCCACGTGAAGGTGGTCCACACTTGGTTCATGTGCATTCTGTACCTATTAAAGAGTCAGATAAAGCTGATTGGAGTTTTGGTCCGAATTCAGTGCATAGATCAATTCAAGGCTCACCTTTCCGTTTAGTAGTTAGTCAGTATGCTGCAGATCCTGGTATGGTGTATGCTACTGGAGATGGATTACGTAGAGGAAAAGTTGGTAAGTGAAATAATTACGTGATCAGAAAATGTATCACCAAAATTATTACAAGTTGAGTAAAAAAAGAAGTACTTTCTATTAGACGTTAACACTAGAAGTAGAAATAAAAAAGTTCAAAGTGACAACTATACTTTTAATTGATTGGAGTTAAGGAAGAGTAGACAAATGGAAACCCAAGTGGAAAGCACCCAAAATTCTAAAGGTGATCGAAGAGTGAATAGATATGCGCCGCTGTGGCCGACTTCAAACCCTATACCAACAGCCCCTAATCACTGATTCCCAACATCCTGATGATTCCAACCTACCTACAAGGTACTGATAGTTAAGAATCCATTTCCAGGCCTACTGGAAGAGTTAACTGAAGCAGCACATACTGTAACAACAGAAGACAAGGGCCGGCAACAGATCCTTTTATTATGGAAATCAGCACGTATTTATATATATTTCATCTACATTATTATAGCTTATTCAAGCAGACAAACACAGTCTTCTGATTGGTTGGTTCTGGTTTCTCAGAAAGTTAAGCCATCTATCCGCGAATCAAATTTACTCACGTTAATTCTGCTGTGATTGGTTGTTGAATCAGCCTTGTTCATATTTTCTCACGGCCAATATTGGTGACCTAGACATTGAGGTAAATTAATGCCTACCAATTGGCTAGCAGCCTGCTCTCACCACAATATGAAGAGCACTGGCTTATATGCTCATGTTCAAACCGCTCTCCATCGAGGTTTAGACAGCTTGATATTATCATTATTTCTGACACAATAAGTGTGTCTCATCACTGCCAACTACGCGAAAGGGTAAATGGTTATTAGGATATACCACTTCAAAAATGTGACTGAACATTTTTCCCGTCTATGTGAGTACGTCATTCGTAATACAATTTACTATACAAGATGGCATACTATTCAACTGATTGTTGCTTCCTATTCGTGTATTTTGTACTGTGGTACTGTCTTAAATAAAACGACGTGAAAAACGCCAGGTTGAAGACGTAAACTGATATTAGTTAGAAGGGTTCTAGCTCGGAAAGTACATAGTTGTAGTGACCAGTCGATCGCCTTATTATGATATGAAAGAATTATTATTTTCTTAATTAGAGCTTGATTCCACTCCGTATTTTGCTACAAGTATTGAATTGTCAGAATGTGATATGGGTAGCCCAAATTTACCAGGCTGACCATTGATATCAGGTGTGCGTTGGCAGGGGATGGAACCCTGGACCATCGCATGGTCGGCGAGCGTCCCAACCGTTGGTTTTGTCCGTCCTGTTGTTCAACGTTTCGTTGTCTTTTTTCCGTGTGTTAGATATGAAGGACGTAATAACTGTTAAGTATGAAAATTCTTATACTTCCATTTTTTTTGTCATCTTATTCTAGACGTGAAGAACTCCTTTTTCGTCAATACTACCAACGCTGGTTGTGGTGTTTTAAATGTAACTGTAGACGGTCCGAGTAAGGCAACTGTTACAAGTCAAGAACATGATGAAGGCTATGCATTTTTCTATACACCAACTGTTCCAGGCATCTATGAGATCACTATTAAGTATGGTGGCAATTTTCATATCAGTGGTTCACCATTCCGTGTAAGTAATAATGATTCAATTTTTATTTTCCACATTATCTTTATTTTGTTTCGTGATTTAATGCACGTTTTATCCAACACTATGGATGTGTAATCCAGACACCTGTGTTCTTGATTGCTGTATCGTATTATGCTACTTATATTTACCTATTTGTTTATAAAAAACGAATGTGGTATTCTTTAAAAGTGCTCTTATATCAGAGGCGGTGGTTAATTGCATACACAGTTTTCAAATTCTTTATAAAGCTACAATTTGGTGTTACTTGATTGTTTAGTTTATGCCGAGTTGTTTAGCTCAGTGGTAGAATGTTTCCTAAGCATGCACATGGTCCGGGGTTCCATCATCAGCCGACGCACTCATTTACCTCTCTAAGCAGGTGGTAGGGCCAGTAAGGAGGGAAGGTTAAGTGTCAGGCTAGCAACCCACCCCTGTCTGTCTGTTTTTGACATAGAACTTTGCATATATGTGCGGCAGTTCGAGTCGCCACACTCCATGTAACACACAAAGCAAGAGAAGAAATGCATAATAGAGACAGTAAACAGAGGTGTGTGACAAAGAAATAGTGATAACGAAGAACAATATAGTTTCATTGGAAATCATAAGTCACAAGGAGTGGGATGCATTTGTGCCATGAGAACGATCACTTTGAACCATATCACCAATTGTTTCCAACCATTCGTTCTTATCGTCCCGAGGACCCCAACCAGGAAGCCAGTCTACACCTTCCTACGTGGCTCAGACTAACTGTTGTAGATTTCATTGACTGACGAAGCCATGTTTTGGTTTGACCACCTCTAGCTCTTTTCCAGCCTGACCCAATGTCAGCTAACATTGCCCACTTTCGAGGAAGGCGATGACTAGGCATACGTAACACATGTCCTAACCATCTCAGTCGATGTAATTTCACAGCCTCGTCGATTGATTTCCCCTCCTTACCTAGAAATCGACGCCTAACCTCAATATTGCTCACCTTATTATACCACTTCACAGGGGAAATAGAACGCAGGCACCTATGATCAAAGACAGCTAATCTTTTCATGTCTTCCACTCTCAATGGCCATGTCTAGCTTACAGCCATAAAGAGGACGGGGAGGACTGATGAGCAGTACCCCCGCCCTTTAGTCGATAGTCGGATATCACGTCTACGCCAGAGATGGTCCACCGCATAAAAATAAAGCCACTGCTACCGAAACTTCAAGCCCTTGCTTGGAGCTGTATGTTCCACTCGGAGATTAAAGGCATAAAATATTAAAATGATTAGTTTATCTCATTCGAAAAATAAGTTTAATACGTGTTTAAAGTATCAATTTTAATGGTTATTTTTAAAAAAAATTTAATTATTTCTTTATCACATTCTCTTACAACAAGGTTGAAGTTACTGGAACACCTAGATCGGAAATTTCTGATACACGATCTGAAGATCATCAATCGAATGTTATTTTAGAAACTGTTGGTAAAACAATGACTGGAATGTCGGCTAAAGTGGAACTAGAACATCAAAGTACAGGTACTCATCCTGAGCTTGTCACCTGTCAAGGGCTTGGATTGAAACGAGCTGAAATTGATCGTGTGAATTACTTCAATGTTGATGCTAGTCAAGCGGGTAAGTCTTTTTATTTTGTACAACACTTTGACACTGGAAAAAATTTCTTCTTGTGTTCTACTTAAGAAAGTTTCACGTACAAACTTGATGCTGAGGCTCACTTGTCTAGGTGTTCGAATCCCAACCAGGAAGTCAAGAACTTTTTAACAGCCAGGTGGTATCACTAGTCTTCACAATACTTGTGGCTCCTAGCTAACTGCATGGAACCGTAATTGGCTGTTGAGTAACAATTTGTATTTAATTTTTTTTACCATGTACAGTTTCCTTCGGAAACCAAAAAACAACCATTCAAACCACAATATATGATCTGCTTGTTGCCACTATGCCTCTCTGATTACACTCGATCTCAAGCATACGAAACAACCGATTGATCACTAGATCACTTTAATCAACCTAGCAAGCACTATCACTTGATAGTAATAATATCCAACTATTCATATTCACTGTGCGTCGGTGGCATAGCGGTTAGGACGCTCGCCGACCATGCATATGGTCCGGGGTTCGGTTCCCGGCCGATGCACTCCTTTACCTCTCTAAGCCGGAAATAATTCTGGTAAAGAGGAAAGGTTGGCCATGAGGCTAGCAACCCATCCTGTAAAATAAACACCATTAATACCGAAACTTCAAGCCTGTAGCTTGAAGTCCTATATTCCACTGGGGAACGTGAAGGAAAAAAATTCATATTCACTCAAAAATTCATTTCCGTGTGGTTTAATGTGCACTTAAGACAGAGTGAGAGGTTTACAAGTAGAGATTTATTTCCACATTTGACTATGTAGTGTTTTAGTTTTCATAGGACAGTCAAAAGATTTAAGTGCTAGTATCATCCAGTTAAATTCATTAGAAAGCTGGTTCTTCAGAAGGTGTAGGCTCCTCAAATCTCCTCCCATTCTTTTTCCTGCTCTTATTTATTCCAATTGTGACTTTACATTGTAAATTATTTTTGATAAATTTTTTCTAATATTTTCTGGTTTTTTCATACACATATTTTATTATCCTTCAAGGTAATGATGTTCTACTCATTGGTATCTGTGGTCCAAAACAAGCCTCAGAAGAAGTGATTATCAAACATTTGAGCAATAATCAATATACAGTCTCTTATCGTGTCTCTGAAAGTGGTAAACACTTCTTAGTAGTTAAATGGGGTGATCAACATGTTCCAGGCAGTCCATTCCTTATCAATGTCCCATAATTCTGAATATTATTCAATATTCTTTTAAAATCTACCCACATTAAACAGTATGCGACTTCTAACTGAATGTTTCTTGAAGAAAAAAAGGCTATTTGGGATCTTTTTTGTTGTTGTTACTAATGTCACCTTTGTTTTAGATAGATAGATGTTCACAAGTATTGATTTCCCTCTCCCCTGCCCTTTTAGTCTTTTATCTAGATACTACAACATACATCGAAATGAGGGAATTTTTCAGACAGTGCCTTCTGTTTTTCTGTGTCCTTTTAATACTACTACTATTACTACTGAATGCTATTCAAGTGCCTTACTGCTCTCCGTAACAGCTGAACCTGTTTTCAAAATGACATGCCAAGTTTGTGTAAACAATCTTAGTTTATCAACATCAACAACCACAATACTAATCACAAATGAAATGTATTCATAATTTTGTTGTCATTTTTGGGTGTATTCATTCATTCCTTTCTGGCTAATCTGTCGCTCGCAAATTATTACTGTTATCATTATTATTATTATTATTACTATTATTGTTACTATTACTACTACTACCATGATTGACACGTCGTATACACCATTCTGATTACACCTTTTGTTACACTTTAATTATATATTACCACATGCTCAACACACATCTAGGAAATTAATGATCACTACTGCTATATACGTCGTTTGCTACAGTAAACCTTTTTTTCTTCTTGTCGTCATATCCTCCTTTTGATAGTGTTTTCCATACGAAATTATTCGGGTTTTTTTCCCTTTTTCTATCGTCTCTTTTGGGGGCTTCTTTTTTTCGATAATTGTTGTGTACGAGAAACACCTTTTTAAAAGAATAAAATAAAAATCAATTGTTACTACTACTCATTCTTTTGTCAGTGCGTCTGTGACATAGCGGTTAGGACGCTCACCGATCATGCACATGGTCCGGGGTTCAATTCCCGGCCACCGACGAACTCCTTTACCTCGCTAAGTTAGAAATAATTCTGGTAAAGAGGAAAGGTTGGGCATGAGGCTAGTAACCTCATCCTGTAAAAATAAATACTGCTACAGAAACTTAAAGCCACTATCGTGAAGCCCTATGTTCCACTGGGAAACTTGAAGGAAAAAAATTCTTTTGTCGTGTGATAAAACACTTGGAATTTTATGTACCGATGATGATAATGATAATCTTTATATCGTGTATTTACTATTATGATCATTTAATATTCACTCGATACTTGTTTGCTATAATGAACGTACAACAATTTCCTAGGTCCTTCTCAGATTTCCCATTAACATCTCCTGTCTATCGTGGTCATAGCAACATAATTTCTAAGGACTCTAGACTTCTCATTTGCTAAATTTATATGTTTATTCAAAAATTTCATGAGATATCTGTAGCTCTACTTTGTAAATTACAAATGTTTTCGAATTCTTCGTTCAGTGGTTGATCAGAACAAATAACTCTAGCCTAGCCTAGCCTAGCACGATGAATAATCCATACATTGGACCAGATTTCGTGTGCATTGTAGAGGGATGATGAAACTCAGCGAGTGGGTACATTACCCAGATGATGTAGGTTTCCGATATAAGCCTCTACATGTTGTTCCGTCTGCTCGTCTCGTCATTAGAACATCGAAAAACGAGATAAAGTCATTGTGTTCATCTCCCTTTTTTAAAGCTTATGACTGTTTGTTTCTTATTTTAATTTCTCCAATGCTCACCTTATCTCAGTATTGTTCCTTAAGATTATAAATGAATCATCAACATAACATTAATAGAAAAATACAGATCATTAATTATTGCATCCTTGATATGGGATGGTGATTCTCTAGTTTCGTCAGGAATTTTTTTTTACTGGAATTGGATATAGTGGTATTCCTAATACAACTCTATCCGATTATCTCTGCATCTCTTTATTTACAACCACTGTACATCTTAAAAGAATTTCCTCTAGAGAAGACAGAAATACCAATATCGATACTTTCATGTAGCACTACGTTACATAAATAATTTACTGTTTCCACCAAAGACAGGCACGCTGGTGAATAGAGAAGACATATTCAGAGGCATCATGTACTCAACTTTCACCTTTGATTCTCTAATTCTTTCCACCAACCCAAACTCAAAAAAAACTCACGATTTTCTTGTGTAACAGCTGTAAACGTTGCCTCAGCTATTTTGCAGTTGATCAGTATGTTAAAGAGATAGATGGAATAGCTATGGGTTCACCATTAGCCCCAATATTAGCTGACTTCTTTCTCGCAAAACTTGAAAACGGGAAATTGAAGGATACCATCAAGGAGTTGGATATGCATTACCGATATGTCGGTGATACATTTATCTTAGCTGATGAGAAGGTAAACATAGACGAATTGTTACTTAAATTCAACAACATCCACCCTTCGCTTACCTTTACTTATGAAGAGGAGCAGGAGAATAAACTACATTTCCTGGATGTCTTGCTAAGTAGGGGAGAAGATGGGTCACTTGGGAGAAGTGTGTACAGAAAAAGCACATTCACAGGGCAATACACACACTTCCTTAGTTACGTGCCCATTAAATATAAAAGGAATCTTGTAAAATGTCTCGCGAGCAGAGCAAGGAAGATATGTACGGAGGACCTCTTACAGAAGGAATTTCAATATACTCACGATTCCTTGACGGAGATGGGTTATCCGAGTAGCTTCATAAGGAAACATATGAAACCATCAGAGAAGAAACCTGTAACTCTGACTGCACATAAGAAACCTCTATTAAGTTACAATTTAATGGTGACTTAACTAGTGAGATTCTATTCCAAAGACTTTCAAGGAGTATACGTAGAACATTTTACGCAGCACACCTATGTTTGTCATTCTCTAGCCGACGAATGATTGGGACGCAAACGAAGGATAAGCTTGATAGTTTTGCCACATCTGTGTGCATTTATCATTTCGACTGCACCTGTGGTGACAGTTATATTGGGCGTACTACTAGACAGCCTAGCCAACATGTCAGTGAACATCTCCCATCGTGGTTTGGCAAAGGACAGACAAAAACAATCCGTAGCTCAATTCTGTCACATCTAATTGATAGTGGTCATGTAGTCGATAAAACGAAAGCCTTCAAAGTAATTCATCGTATCCCACCGAAGCTTTCTAATAGACTTCGTATTCGTCTACTGCACACAGCTGAGGCGATAGGCATTCGAACTATTAAACCTAAACTATGCATTCAAAAGAAGTTCGTACAGACATTATCCCTCCCGTGGCCTAATAAGGCATAACCAACGAAAGACTTCTACACCACCCTTTATTTATATTTCCAACCCCTTTCTTATCATCCCTTAATCTTATCTTCATTATAAATGTGTTTCATTTCCTTCCCTTACAATCTAACATTACATAATCGGTCCATTTGTTTTTACTAGCATTTATCGACTACTTCCACCTGAACAATTGTTTGTTTAACCATACTGTTTTTCATTATTCGTGTTATCACAGATTGCCTCATTTTTTCATCCTTATTATTGATAAGACCATTATTATTATTATTACTATTATTAATATTATCATTACCACTATTATGACTAATTGCACAATTTATATTCACCATCGTATTATCCTATAGACAAAACACCATGATTGGTTTATATTTGAATTTTTATTTGTAAACTTATATATATTAGAGTTAAACCTGATGAGATCTAATTGAAAACAGTATTGTTCGCTTAAATGTGTTGTTATAAAGAGATATTTAACAAAATGCAAACAGTAGTCATAAACTTTTCTACAGAAGATAAACACAATGACTCTGTGGTGAGAGCTGTCTGCAAGCCAAAATTGTCAACAACAATTTACGTCTATGTTTACGTCCCGAATAGGAGTCATGAGAAAAAACAAAGCCTAACCTTGAGGAACTCAACAACCAATCACAGCAGAGTTATCGTGTGCAAAAACGATTCGCGGATATATAAATAACTATATAGGCAGTGGTCATAAGTAGTACAGAATAACCCTCAACAAGACGAACCAATCAAAAGACTTTATTTCTCTGCTAAAATAATGAATATTAATTTACATGAAAATCTATAAATATCTCTTGATTTTCTCAATAAACGATTTGTGGCCTGGCCCTTGTCTTCTGTCATTACAACTTTATCTGTTCTAATGACAAGACGAGCAGACGGAACAACATGTAGAAGCTTATATCGGAAACCTACATCATCTGGGTAATGTACCCACTCGCTGAGTTTCATCATCCCTCTACAATGCACACGAAATCTGGTCCAATGTATGGATTATTCATCGTGCTAGGCTAGGCTAGGCTAGAGTTATTTGTTCTGATCAACCACTGAACGAAGAATTCGAAAACATTTGTAATTTACAAAGTAGAGCTACAGATATCTCATGAAATTTTAGGATTTCCGAGGAGATTTAATGTGCTCCAAGTAATAAATTATAAGGATCATATAAGAATATGAGAAGGTGTATTCCAATAGAAAAATAGGAGATTATAGTATAACTAAAATAATAGTCACAAAATTATCACTGGAAGTAATCAGGCGACGACACATTCTTAGTAGTGGGCATCAAGAAAAGATAGTGGATTCAGATCGGTCGTTTATCTGACTAATAAATGGTTACTATTTGTACGGTTTTAATTGTAATTCACCGACTATCATGGACTGTAGAATACCAATGGTCAGTGTAGTGGTATTCTTGCTCGACCTTGGAGCTGTAACATTCGCTAAATTCATCATTCGCACCGTCTCTTTATAGGAAGTCTTGCTTCAGTTCTCTGAGAAGCTACTGACTCTGTACGTTGTTGTGATTTGTCTTCTACTTTTCCTAACTTATCCAGGCGCAGACAAAATGTATCCAGTAGTATATTCAATGGGAGAGTCAGCTTTGATTTGACGATGATGTTTGAGTGTCGTTGAGCTGAGATGAGACCTTCATTCCAAGCTTCATAACTTTGTCCATAATCATGGGCATATAATGGGGATAATTTTGGCTCAGATGGATGATGTTAGTGTAGTTGTGTTCTATAGGCTGGATGGTTTAGTTCAGCTCAGAGAATACAACTACCTTGAATCGTGGGCATAGATAACAGTATCAACCCCGGATCATCTCTTTATCCTGGGTGACAGGTAAGTTCTCTCACCTAGTCTTTATTTTGGGTTCGCAAAGTACTTCGGCCACCGATTGTTAGTTTAGCACTGACGTATTTGGAGTTTTGAGATATACAAGACGTCAAATATAAGTAGTGGTATCCTCAAAATGTCGACAAATCTTTCACTTTTGTCACTTGATTGTAGGTGATATATAGGCGAGAACATCTGCATGATAGGATGTCGACAGTAATACACCTGAAACTTCTGTGCAGTGAACTTCGAGTTATTATACATAAATACTTTTTAAAACAGAACATGATGGGCGAATATTCGGCTATAGTCTATGTTGTTGGTCGGACAAATTTCCCTGACGATTTCGTAATGGCATGTACCACCCTGAAGTGGGAAACACTACTTGTGGGACCGCAAAAGTCTATAGGAATTTGAAACCATCCTCTGTCTGCTGCTACGAATGGTTTAGGGGGACGTAGAAGTGTTTTGAAACGTTATTTGTCATATTACCGATAGATCTATGTAGAACAGCAACTAAGTAGGGGCGGTCAAATCCCAAAAGATGTAAGTCGCCTTGGGTGATGCTACAAATTGGTGTGAGCCTCATATTATCTGAGAGTGGGTAGACAGCATCAACAGAGACCAGATGGTTTACACTACAATATGATGATGATTTCATCAGTCGTGCATAATGTCTATTTCATTGAATATTGATTTATTCGCTTTTGCCTGGTTGTTAGTAGATTCATAGACTTTCCAACGGGTTTGAGACTGGCCGTAGTTTCAGATTTCACGCTGAATTTAAATAAACTTCTGTGTATCTGTCAGTCTTCGTCATTATGACCTTGAGCAATGGCGTTTGTGTGATTGGCATTTTGTGAAATGTCGTAGTTGAAAGTGCTCCAGCATGGTGTAAGAGGAGTCTTCTGTGAGTTACTCTACAATGGGGGACTAGAATTCTTCAAATCAGTATCTGTATGAGAACCAATAGGATCAGTGGGGATTTTTTAGTCTACTGTCAGAGCCCTTCAGGACTACCGATTGAGCTAGACTTGTTTACTGTTCTACGCAAGTCACCAACAATGTAGTTTGAGGATAACTTTGGATCTTGTTCTAGGATTTTGAGCAGTCGTATTATGATATCTGCAGTGTTACACTGTTGAAGGCTACATAAAAGGGCTGTAAATTGATCGTCTAAGATAGACTTGGTTGGAAATCGCACACATTCACTACTGACAGTGCCCACCTTGGGTGTATCGTCACGTGGCTGTTTAATAAATTGAGCGAATTGGAAAGTATTTAGGCAAGTAGATGGGTATGTATATATGCGTCTTCAATATAGAAGAAAACATATGGCTGTTGCCACTACATCTTAACGAAATAATCTAAATATATACTGACGTGTTTCTTTTAAAGTGACCTATAGAATCCACAAACTTTTGAAGACTGAGTCGCCATTTTGATGAGATAATTGTTTGTGACTGATTGACGCTATAAGCGAATTTCATAAACTCAGTACGTGTATACAGCTTATTTGTCTACGGATGACTATTGAGTTAGAACATTCAAACATCAAATACCTCACTTACGAAAGTTTTTCAAAAAGATGTACATGATGAACTTACATCAAGCAGTGCATGAAACAGGCATGGAAAACTCTAAACACTTGTTGGAATACTCCGCTTACGCAAAGTCTGCTGTGGTTGGTTGTTGAATCAGTCTTTGTTCATATTTTCTCACGACCAATATTGACGTAAATTATTGTCTACCGATTTGGCTAGCAGCCAGCTCTCACCACACTATTACAACCAAAACAGTTTTGAATACTGTTAGCTGGCCTTAAAGTTTTGGTTGTAATTGTGTGGTGAGAGCTGGCTGCTAGCCAAATTGGTAGACAGTAATTTACGTCAATATTGGTCGTGGATTGGCAGAAGTTAGAATTCAAGAACCATTGGATCGGGTCCCAGTGGCTCAATGGTCTACGAGCTAACTAACCTTGTAACTAGAAGGTCCTGAGTTCGAACCATGGCGATGGGTGCGCACTGATGAAGAGTCCCAGACTAGGACGAAACAGCAACTGTCCAGTACTCCCAGGTTTTCCAGTGGTTGTGTAACTGATGTCAGCTCATGATGAAATCCTCCGTGAAAGACTGATTCAACAACCAACCACAGCAGACTTTGCTTAGGCGGACACAGTTAGCATATAGATGATCTGACATTCAAGAAACAGACACAAAGAGATGCAAGGTTAACTTTCTGTGAGAAACAACCAATCAGAAGACTATGTTTGTTTGCTTAACTAGTCCACAATATAGCACATGAAAATCTATAAAAATGTGTTGATTTCCTAAATAAACGATCTGGTGCTTGTCTCTTGTCTTCTGTTGTTACAATTGTAGCGTTCTAACAGATTATTTTTTATAGTTAAAGTCTTCTGTCATGGTGGAATACGAATACGTTTGTTCAATGATTCACACGAATTCTCTGTTCTCAAATGATTTTTCGGTGATAATCAATATTTTAGATTCTACTTCCAAAGTATAAATTAAGCTTCATTTGAGTCGAATCGAGTAATAATAATGATTGACTGGCAGGATAATTATATTCTACTAAGCGTCTCATCAATTCTCAAGAGTGAGTCTTGAGGTCATGGTTTTTCGAAGTGGCTGGGTAGAAATAGACTTTCAACCTCGTAGCATGCCTGGTGGTTCAAAGTACTCTGGGTCTACAATCTGCCTAGTAAACTTCTCTTCTTGTAACTGCTGCTTAGATGATCTGCTGGTCTGCACCAAAGAAAAGACTAGACACGCCACACTAGTTACTAGTGTCCAATCAAAATACCCACTACAGTCATACAGGAAGTCAATCGCTAGCCCGAATAGCTCAGTGGTGACGTCTTTGACTGCATCACTTGGTGACGTGGGTTCGAATCCCAGAAGGGACATGAGTTCCTTCAGGGTTGCAGATACGTTTCGCTGATGAGTGCCAACTAGCATGAAACCTAGGTCCTAGGCTTCGTGCCGATCGCCTCCAACTATCTAATGATCTACTGGTGTTTACCAATGGATTTGGTTTGATACAAAATATCCCAGATATTGACTCTCTCTTCATGTTTAAATTTGATGCAAGCTTAGTGCCTGTTATGCAAGCCCAAATGCAGATAGTGATAGTCATTTCAGCTGATTGTGTTATTATTCCAAAAGTGCCACCATCAGTCTACTCTGAACTTATTATCCTCAAATCTAAATCACTGGGTGTAATAACTCCATCTTGATATTTGTGTTTCTAGGTGTTTTAATGGTTTTCATTCTAAATCCTCCTTTTGTCTACAGACAGGGAATGTACAGATTGAGGTCGCACATGCTATAATAAGTACCTATGCTTCTTAGTCTTTACTTCGTCATTCCTTCAGATATGCTGTTAACCGATGTCTAGTTTGTAGCTGTAGTTGCCTTCTGATCAAAGATGTAATATATTCCTGTTCCTTCAAAGTTTTGAAGACCACCTGACAGATACTTAGAAAACCTGAATCGTAAGGTATACAAATTCATCTGTTAATCAAAGTAAAATAGTTGTTAACGACCACTTGTCTAGAAGGAACATCGAACACACGTGGTTTAAATTTCTACAGTTTTAGTTGGTAAGTATGCTTTTCTATGTTCACCTCCATTCTGGATATTCAAAGATCCTATTTGAAATCTTTCGTAAACTGAAATGTGAAGGCGTTAACTTGTTATACATTAGACAGTGTGTAGTTGTATTCTTTGTACTTGATCTGACTGTGTATTAACTCCTTTCCGAACACCATGGAGTAAGATAAGAGTAAGGGTGTGGCTTTTAGAGTTGAAGATTTCTATTTCATATTCGTATTAAATTAAAACATTTGTGTGTGCTACTTATATATATATATATATATATACACTGTATTTTTGGTACAAGTATGGAACTTTCAGCATGGATATCGGTAGCCCAAATTTTGCAGGCCGACCATAGACATCAGGTGTGCGTCGACAGGGGATCGAACCTCGGCTCATGTGCAATAGGCTACCGTAAACTTTCATCAACAACCACATTCCCTCCAGACTGAGAGGATCGGAAGGCCTTTTTAGAAATGATTAGCAACAAAGAACTCTAGCAGTGAATCAACCAATAAAAATGCAGAAGATAAGGGAGATCGATTGGACGTACATTGAGGTGAATGACATGGCCGGGACGTTGAGTGGAAGCCGAATGGGAAACGACGAGTTGGATGAAGGAGACAGTGTGTGGGAGGAAATAAAGGCTTATCAGTAATCAATTAATAAGCCAAGAAAGACTACAGAATACAGAGTGAAATGAAGGTGTACCGCTGAAGTCCTTCCTGTGTTTCACTGGGAACCCAAGAGAATAATAACAAATAATAAAATAACATACAGAAAAAGAGGAATTTCATGATATCTAATAGAGGCATAAATAATTTACACAAATTTACAAATTTGCAATAGTAATAATAGTAATGTACATATCTGTAAAAGTAGTCTCTGATGACGTATACAACACACTGAAGGTGCTGACATGTTTATTACATAAAAGCTGCGAGTTTTCTTTGGAATTGGTTTTGATAGAAATCTTAAAGCTTTAAGCCGAGATCTATTTGTATGCTGTTTTACAGTTGACAAATTTGATGAAGTGAGTGATGGTAAGCTATCCATATGATAAGGAGTGAATTTAGCCTTTTTATAATCACTTTTGTCACGTTCATTGCCTGAAATATTCAAATAAATAAATATTCAAAATAAAGTCTTACATTAGGTTGATTAATATTGGTTACTAAACACTGTGCTTCTTAACAATATACACTATAATTTAATTGGTGGATGGTGACTAGCAGTGGAATCCACCAGGATGCGCATTTCGTCCTATTTGGGACTCGTCAGCTAGATGTACCTGCATTTCCCAGTGAGTGATGATGTTCTCACTGAGGCTCGACATGTCAACATGAGACCGAGCACTTCTGTCCAATCAATCGACGGAAAATCTAAAAATTCAATTAAATACTTAATGTGACCCGTTGCATAATAGGTGGCTCTCGTGGTCCAAATAGTCTAGTGGATAACACTTTGGCGTTTGAAACTATGGGCACTGGGTTCGAGCTTCGGTGGGAACATCATCACTCACTGGGAAATGTAGGTGCATCCAGCTGACGAGTCCCAAATAGGACGAAATGCGCGTTATCCTGGATTCCACTGCTAGTCACCATCCACCAATTAGATTCTAATTAAATGCCCAACATCGTCGAAGCATCTGCACAAGAAGCCGACTTGTCAACCTGAGACCGAGCACTTCGGTTCAATCAATCGACGGAAAAATCTAAAATTCAATTAAAAAAATATACACTATACGTTATAATTCTAGTGAAAATAATGCTGAACAGAAATCGATTCTTATTTTACAAATTCATGATATGCAGTTATCGTGAGGTGAAAAACAGACACTTACCTAGAATGGACGTTAACTAAGCCTTCACGTGATTTTTATTCTGGTATTACTTTATTGCCGTGACTACGACTCATGTCGTCTACATGCTTGACCTATTCTTATTATCAGAGGGTTATTTATGCCATCTTTCAAAGTACTTAACAAAAATCAGTAATAAACACCCAAAATAAATAATAGAAATAAGTGATTCGATAAAGAAAGGAAGATAAAATTTACAGTATAAAGTGATATCATTATATTTCACAGGATCTTATCAACTGCAGACTACCCGAAATTACAATACTTATATAGATGATAATAACACACTTTAATGTTTAAATAATAATAACAGCTTTATTCCAAACAGTATTTGTGGTAGAGGTATGGAATTTTCAGCGTGCATTACAATATATTGCATCTAATTACCTCATAAATTTTATAAGATTTTTAACATCAAAAAAATAAATAAATAAATGAAAAAAACCAACGCCAAATATATGAAAGATAAATAAGAAAAAGAAACAGCGTAGCGTTTACATTTCAAACAATGCACCACAGGATACGAAATATAAAGTTGATGTGTGATAGAAGATGAGAACAACAATGTAATAGTAACGAGGGAAGGAAAACAAAAATTAATGGGACTATTTGTTAGAGTGCCGCAGTAAGTTGATCGTGTCATACCTAACGGATTTCTCATCACATAACAGCTGTACCAGATATGGTATTGTGGAGTTTTTGTATTTGGTAGTCCTAGCATATAGCCAGCCTCCTATAGCTGCTTCTAGTTCTTCCAGATGAAATGCAAGGAGACAGCTGCGTATAGAGAGGATTCTCGGGGTCTGACAATATTGTATTCGCTAGTTTCTTACATGACATTATATGTTTATCCACAATAGTGTTAACCAGTTGGTTTAACGATATCCCATTTGCCCTACTAACGGCTTTTAGTGCCCTTTTCAGCAAAGAAAAGTCTTTCTTAAGTAGTCCAGGAAAGAATAATGGAGCAGTAAAGGGGGATGAGTAGAATACAAGAATTTACAAACTGAGAAAGCAAAGAGTGTTTTATGCCAGACTGCTTAAATTTCCTAATGTAGAACGTTAAGCGAAACATCTTTCTAGTAACTAGCAGGATGTGGGAGGACCAGGAAAGATCGGTGGAAAAACTCAGCCTAAGGTACTTGACATTAGATGTATTTTCAACCTCTCTGCCGTCAATGATAGTGGGGCCATGTGAGCTAACTAGTTGCTGTAGGTCACGTTTACGTCTGAAAGTGAAATTGATAACCTGACATTTAGACGGATTAAGCTTAAGACCGTTTGAAGAGGACCACTGACTAATTTCCTACAGAAAGTTATTTAATTTGGAACAATCTGACTGAGAGTTGACAGGCATAGAAACAGAGAGGTCATCGGCGTACTTAACACAAGTGGCTACATCAGAAGATACTACAAAAGTGACGCATCCAAAATGTTAGCATTACAGTTTTTAGTTTGAGTTTTCATCATCAATTTATCCTACGTAAGATTCTTAGTAAAGCAGGAATTAGACTGGCATTTAAACCTACAAACTCACTCAGGTAAGACAAGCTCTGTAGGCTAAAGGACTCAGTCGAACCAATTAGACAAAATAATTTAATTTACCAAATGCCTTGCAACGGCGGTGAGGTCAACTACATAGGTCAAATTAGTAGGTCGGGGTAGTCAGATTGTTGGAACATAAGAATTTAGCTAAGGAAAGAATGGTTGACCTTGCGAAGATAAGTAGTTTAGAAAAAACTCAGAGGTCAAAATATTAAACACACAAAAGATAGCGAATTTACTACAATTTGCCGAAGCGATCGCAACCAAACGATTCGAATCAGACTTATGCATACAAAAAGAGAGTGTGATTAACCTCTCCCTACCTTGGTAACTGAATTTTGATTTTGATCACATTAATTAGTCATCTAATTCATTGATCTCAACTCACTGAACAAATCTCAATCTTATATACTGTAACCGTTTTTGTTTTTTGAGTTTTTACGAGAACCAACAAACTAACACCTCTGTTAATTTTTTCTGTTTTTTGTCTCACTCCTTCAACCACTTTACTAATTTGAAAGGGTATAAATTGATGATGAAAACTTAAACTAAAAATTGTAATGCTAACATTTTGGATGCGTCAGTTTTACGGTATTTCTTCTCTACTACCATTTATACATTAAAGTGTATTAGTATCATCTATATAAGCATTGTAATTTCAGGTAGTCTGCAGTTGGTGAAAATCTGTGAAATAGAATATCATTTAATACTGAAAATTTTGTCCGACTTTTTAAATGGAAATTTACCATGGGAACCAAATGTATGAAAAATTACTGAAGTTGTGGTGTAGTCAAATTCGTTTTTATATTTCAAATTGTCGGCAGCTTTGGACCGCTTTTTATTTAAATTATCTCACCCTTTCAGTCTCCACTTTGATTTTAAACAACTGAATAATCTTAACAAATAATCCTTCCAATACAAAATCTCATTGCACTTTTAATCGTTGCACTGAACTGTAGGTTAAAAACGATAACCACTTTCTAGTTGGGAAGACTACCTGGGTCGCACTGGCCTAGATTAACAGACTGATTACATATGTAATAGGTAATGAATGAAGGTAAGAATACCTGAGTTGTAGGAGAATTCCTGGATTCGAATCCCGGTGGGTTCGTACAGCTGAAGAGTCCCAAACTAGGACGAAACAGCTGTCCAGTACTCCCAGGTTTTCCAGTGGTACTCTAACTAATGTCAGCTCATGATGAAATCCTGTAATCAAATTATACGCTTCTAAGTCGGTAGCATAGTGAGCTATAGATCAACTATCTTAGCCTCACCGGTAGAGTTTTTTCTATATTTTTTATTCGCAGCGCATCATAGGGCTTCAAGCTAGAGCTTTGAAGTTTCGGTAGCAGTGGTATTTATTTTTACGGGATATGATTGCTAGCCTTATACCCAACCTTTTCTATTAAACAATCTTATTACTGGTTTATCGAGGTAAAGGAGTGCGTCCGTCGCTAGGGATCGAAATCCGAATCACATGAGGCGTGGTTGGAGAGCATTCTACCTCTGTGCCACCAACGCCTAACGGTACAGTGACTTAGCTTTTTTGTCTCATATTCAATCCTTACCAACTGGATTAACTAGTTACACTTATGCATATAATAAACTCACTTGGTTTTAATAAAAGTTTTGCAAAAGCTTTTGTTTCATCCGGTTTGATATTTTCAAATGGTGTAGTTTCATATTGACATTGAGGTGAATGATACATAAATATTGTATAAGTTTTCAGTTGATCTTTTGTAGTAGATTGAATTATCTATTGGTTATTTAATTAAAAAATAATAATACTGAGTGATCTATTAAATTGTTGTGTATTTAACATTAATTTCATATAAAATATACTTTTAGTATAGACTGCAATGAAATTAAGTGGACATGTTCATTACTACTGAACCGTCATTATTTGAGAAGAATTAAGCCTTACAGTGAAGTCTACAATGATTTCCTTTTAGGTTGAAAGAGATTAGAAGAGCATATGAAGACTGCAGAATACACCTCAACCCTTAATGCATCAAAATCTCTGCATAATATTAAAGCAATTATTAACTAGTCAAAAAATATCAATAATTAATTTTCAAGTGTTGGTTTTGTAGGGATTTTGTTTGATTGCATGGAGGGTTTCATCATGGGCTGACATCGAACAAAATCCCTAAAAAACCAATACTTGAAAATTAATCTGATGCTCACTAGCGACTGGCCTTATTCAAGCAGTTAACCTGGGGTACTAGTGGGAAGCCGTGACCAGTAGGGTACAGCAGGTTGAAGATGAGGCAGTAACTCATCGAAGAAGATATTGCGAAATGGTCGTGAATTGGCAGAAGTTAGAATTCAGGAACCATTGGATCGGGTCCCAGTGGCTCAACGGTCTACGAGCTAGCTCACCTTGTAACTAGAAGGTCCTGGGTTCGAACCATGGCGATGGGTGCGTACTGATGAAGAGTCCCAAACTGGGACGAAACAGCAACTGTCCAGTACTCCCAGGTTTTCCAGTGGTTCTGTAACTGATGTCAGCTCATGATGAAATCCTCGATGCAATCAAGAATTAAGTTAGGTAAGTAGGCATTATGATGTTTTAAAAGTCAATCTGAACGAAGAATATTCTTTTCAATAATTTCTCTTCACGTTCATACAGTTATAAAATATATTTGTTGTCGTTACAATAAAGGCCAGTTATGCAGCAGATACATTTTTAACGTAGAATAAGAGATTAGTTATGGGGTGTCAATATAAATAGTCATATTTCACAATATTATGATGTTTGAAAGGTTTAAAATTCATGAGGCTGTAAAAATTCATCTTCCAAGAAAGCTAATGGTGTGCAAAGTTTTTTTATGTATTATGTTGTAGTAAATAAAGAAAAGTGACAGCCTGATTAAATTACTGTGCTACCTAAATTTTCTATCCAATAAAGATGTATCGTTTCTATTCTGTTTTCAATTTTGCTTAATCTTTTGATTACTACAATAGGTACAAATCTATACTCACCCACAGCTTCAAATAAGTTTCTACCTACCTCTCGGAATTTTCTGAAGGAAGTGGAGGAAGAATATTATGGAATAGCATTGAGCATGCTTCGAAAGAACCATATTTCTTCAGATAATATATTATCGATTATTATATTTCAGGTTACACCATGGATTGATATCAGTTACAGAACCATTGAAAACCAGCCAGCTGTTTCATCAGACTATTTTATGATTCATCAGCAGTACGCACTCACTGGAGTTCGAATCCAGGATCTTCTGCTTACAAGGCAATCTCGTATAACATTCGACCCCTGGGATCCGATTCAATGGCCAACCCGTGAATTCTAACTTCTACCAGATCGTGAAAATTAGTCTGATGCTCGCTAGTGACTGGCTACAGGAAGAAGTTTCCTGGAGTTCTAATGAGAAGTCGTGACTAATGGGATCTATCCAGGTGGGAGTAAGCATGGATTTCTCTCCGATGAAATTAGTTGGTGGTGGAGGTTAGAATTCATGGGCTGGCCTTTGAATCTGGTCCAGTGCCTCATTGGTTTACGGGCTTGCCTTGTAACTGGAAGGTGATAGGCTCGAAACCTAGTGGGTGCGTACTGCCGATGAGTCCCAAACTAGTCTGATGAAACAGAAGGCTGTCCAGTACTTCCTACTGGCTTTCAATGGTTCTCTAACTGATATCAATCCATGGGCCAACCTGAAACCAATACAATCCCTACAATCTAGTTCTTGAAAATTATTGTATTATTTGAAGATTCTACGCAAGGCGTAAATACCTAACAATGGAACTAGCTGAAAATCCTGTATTATGTATAAACGCATTTTTCATAATCAAGTTGTTATCACTACTATTACAAATCTCATAGAATCCGAAGGTCTATCAATCGTAAATCTATATCGTGACAATAACCTTAGCACACGTATCATGTATATAACATTACTTACCATACAATAGTACTGATGCGTAGTTTTAAGGTATGTTATGATCAAAAGGTAAGACACCGATGCGGTTGAAATTCCATTTAAACTGAAGAAGCAATGCACTGATGATCTAGAATTAAAAGAAAGTTAATTATTTTTAAAAAGTAACTTAATACTTATATACTTAAGAATCCAAAAATAATATCAATAATCAAATGTACTCAGAAGAATTATTTACGATATAAGAACTGATACATTCAAAGTAATGGCCAGGAAGATTTTATTCTTCATTCCTCGTATTCACTTTACCAATAGGTCTGTTTTTAACGTTAATGGAAGTTATTAAAAAGTACTTTTAATGTGCTACAAAAAGGATTTGGTAACGTGGTTAGCGCTACGTCTAGATAAACGTGGTGTAAGTCAACTGCATTTCTTCTGCATCACGAACATATTCAAAAGAGCTAGGGATTCAGAGGTTGTTAATTGATTGATCGGTTTTATTTATTCTCATATGACAATAAAACTTTTTTTGTAACGACAGAAGACAAGGGCCAGGCAACACAAAGTCTATTGAGGAAATCAAGAGATATTTATATATTTTTTCCTACATTATTACACGTTATTGTTAGCAGAGAAACAACGTCTTCTGATTGGTTGTTTTCCTGCTGAAGGTTATTCTGTCATCTCTTTGTTGCCGTTTCTTACACAGTTCGATAATATATCTGCGAATCCTGTCCACTCATGCTGAGTCTGCTGTGATTGGTTATTGAATTTCTCAAGGTTAGTCCTTGTTCTTGTTTTATCTCATCACCAAGATTTGGGACGTAACACATTGACGTAAATTGCTGTCTACCAATTTTGGTTAGCGGGCAGCTCTCACCAGATTATTAGACTGATGCAGTTCTTCTTCTTGTTCCATATCCGTATGACTTAGTTATTGAATAGTATTAAAGCAACTGATGAGATAAAAGACACCTATACTTATGTCGGCAGTCAATTTATTATTGATTGTTATTATTCCTTTGAATTCCTAGTGGAACAAATGGCTTCATCTCAGTTTCACCCTGTTGTTTACATTTCCTTTTAGCTGGCACCACGACCGTTCATAAGCTTTCATTTACTCTTCACACTGTCTCCCCCATGTCATCCTCGAGTGCCTTAATGGTCGTTTCCCTTGCAGGCCCCATTCGAGTGGTTGTCGCATTATGGTACTTAACGGTCTCCTCAGAGCATTTCCAGTTAATCTCCATTTCTTCCTGCATTTTTGTTGGGTGATAAGTTATTCATTCATTTGTTATCAGAGTAACTTGTTACTCATCCTTTCTGGTTGACCATCTGATCTCCAGTATCGAGTAAAGATAGTCTATAGGGGCCTGTTGTAAATGATTTTGGTGACGCATGCACCATTTCTCTAAACCATACAAAAGAACTAATCTGACATTAATACTGAACCTGAAAGAAACAACCTCCTTCACCTATCTACCGACCTGGGAAGCATCGTTTCAACTACAGGCAGAACTGACGAGGATATCAAAGCCAGAATCGGAAAAGCAAGACAAGCTTTCATTACTCTCAAGTTTGTGTGGAGGTCGACAGCACTCAGCATCAAAAATAAGATCCGGATTCTCAACTCCAATGTGAAGTCAGTGCTACTCACCATACGGATCAGAGACTTGCACTGCGCGTCATAAGGAGCATCTCAAACAAACTTCAGGCCTTCATCAACAGTTGTCTTCACTCAATACTACTCAAGATCAGATGTCCGGCCAGAAAAGATCAGCAACAGGGATCTCTGGAAATGAGCTAACCAACAAGGAACCGATTGTGAAACAAATAGGCAGGAAGAAATGGAGATGGATTGGCTGGCCATACTCTGAGGAAACCATCAAGTGACATTACTAGACAAGCCATCGAGTGGAACCCGACCGAGTAGGAATCGGCGAGTTGGTCGTCAGTGCGAGATGGGGTGACTTGGAGGATGTCATGTGGGGAGGAGATGAAAGCGTGTGGGCGGACTTGGAGCGGGATGAAAAAGTTGGCAGAAAACAAAAGGCAGTGGAGGCGTGCGGTTGAAGCCCTATGTTCCTCTAGGAATTAAAGGAAACAATAATAATAAATAATAATCTATATCGTCTATTTTGCGCCGAGCGTAGCAGACTTCCACGCTGATTTCAGAGTAATGATGTTTTGTCTTGTTTTCACTAACCTGATCCTGCCTGGCTGTGACTTCCTCATCCGTGTTTCCTGTAGTTGAAACGAAGCCGCCTAAGCAATTATTTGTTAGCTATTTTTGCAGAAATATTAGGTCAATTATTGACCAGAGTTCATCTATTTAATTAGAAACTAACAATTCCTTATGTAACATTGAAAAACAAATCATATAGATGTATAATTAAAGAAAGTAAAGAATTTTTTTCAGCCCTCCCAAGAAGACCATTATTGAATAAATTTCCTTTTGCAAGGAATAAAAATATTGATATAACAAAGAAGATTTGTACCTCAGGTGTATCATTTTTGATGTTGTTGTATTCTATGGATTGTATGACTTAACTAAGAAGCTTTCGTTATCCTTCAAAGCCAACTTCAGGGAACACAACAGTACAAAGATTAAATAAAAGTGTATTTGAAACATGCCGTCTTTAGGGGACAGACATAAATGTCCTACCAAATAGGTTAAATTCCAAGTGAGCTAGAATTTTACTGAATTCAAGAAAAAGTCTTTAAACGCAGTATTTGATTTTAATACTCCCTGAGTTGAATTCATTAGTGCACACAAGTATTTAATTTGATTATCGTCAAATATCTCGCGTGGTACTTTCTGATTGTGCTTACGAAGAACTAATCTGCTACCTCACTTAGTATTCATAAGTAATACTATTTTCTGATACACTTGTTGAGGAACTTGTACCAGATATCAACAGAAACTAAGCAGTCTACCTCTTTTTTTACAACAACTTAGCATCAAAAGTTCAGTGAAGTGGTAAGGAAGGAGTTTACTTTTTCTTATATAGAATTAACCGCTTTATACTTGTTTCAACTTTTATGACAGTAATGTCAAGGAAAATCGAAATTTTAACAATAGACATGACTTGTTGTTTGTTATATAGTCTTTAGAAAACATCAAGTAAAATTAATCATCTGCAACTGTTATTGAATTCAGAAGACCCGAAATTCTAGAGTGGTCTAATCAACTCAATAACTGACTAACTAACTTAAATGCTGATTTTGTCATTCATCAACATTAGTTAAGTGGTGGAAAGTACCTATCTGCACGTTTGAGCAAAGATATCTATTCGCTGATTTCATTCTCAAAAACTCTAAAATAGCATTTATATACATAAGTTTACATAGACAAAACTATTATTATTTTTTCCTTCACTTTGCCTGAGGAGCACAGGGCTTCAAGCTAGAGGCTTGGAGTTTCTGTAGCAGTGGTAATTATTTTACAGGATGGGGTTGCTAGCCTCATGCCCGACCTTTCCTCTTTACCAGCATTATTACTGGCTTAGCGAGGTAAAGTAGTGGGTCTGCCGGGGATCGAACCCCGGACCATATACATGGTCGGCGAGCGTCCTAACCGCTATGCCACCGACACACACACATTTATTATTTAATTCTATATAATAACGAAGCAGATCAAAGGTGATTTTCAACTTGATATGAAAGTTCGAAAGTATGAATATAGACTACATAGGGCTTCAGAAACAAATCATCTCACTGGACCACCATATCGGAATAATTTTCAGTAGTGACTGCTTAGAAGAGGAAGTCTTACTTCTCAAAAGCATCCTGGTTCAAGATCGATAGCCTGCATGTTTTGTTGAGAAGAACATGAAACCAAAGCCAAAAAGAGAAGAATGCACTTGTGTATCAAATAAAACGGTATACTTGAATTTAGACTTTAGGAAAGACTTAGCTGCAGATTTCCTCAAGTGGAGAATGCGTAGTTTTCTGAAGAAAACCTTTCCTACAACAACTCTACAAGTTTTATTCTCTAGCCGCCCACTAATTCAAAGCAGTGTGAGGGAAAATCTCCTGTATATGACCACTTCACTGTGTGTATATCAATTCACCTGCTCTTAATGAGCTAGATACATAGGTTGTTCCATGCGGGTTCTATCATAATTTGTTCGAAAACATTACACGGTATGGCTGCAAAGCGGAGGCACTGGTACCATCAATAGTGCCATAATTGAACACCTCCTCAATACTTGTAACAGCATCTCAACTGACTCACTGTTCCCAGTCATTTACAAAGTAAACAAAAATCTACCAAAGTTAGTGTGTTTCCAAGATAACTATTTGAGATATAAGGCAACTATTTTTTAATCTTGTGTAATTTTGTTTGTAATCCCCTTGTATTCTATATTCACACCTTCAAACTTTCATATCAAGTTGAAAATCACTTTTAATCTCCGTCGTTATTATGTGGAATTAAATAATAATTGCATCCATATGAACTTATGTATATAAAAGCTATTTTGTATAGCTTTTGAGAATGAAATCGCCAAATGCTAATAATCTTCGCTGAACTTCTTGTTCTTTTCTCTCAGTTGAATAATAATTAGAAACTAGGGGACATTGGTCGGATGTTTCGTCCTAGTTTTGGACGTCTCAGTAGTGCTTATCCATGCCCCTACCAGGAATCGAAACCAGCAGCTTCAGATTACGAGTCCAGCTCACTTACTATTCACAGCCGATGAGCTGTGAATTCTAACTTCGATTAGTTTGCTGGTTAGCATTACCACGCTATAACTAACTTACTCAGTATCTAAAATAGAAAAAATTAACGATTCTATTGGAGCCAATAGTTAACAAAGAAGTAAAAGAAATACATCTAAAATTATCTCACAATATTCTTTGATTTCTCATTGAAACACAAGACAATGACTTCCCAGCAGGGAGCATAACATTAATACAAAGTTGATATGTATACTATGTGTTATCTGACCAATCTAGGCACTGATTAATATCCAATTTGGATGCTTTATGTGGCTTTTATGAATAAACTTTAATATATTACATTGAATTTGTTTTAGTCTTCTCTGTTTCACCGAATATTTATGAATAAGGTGTGATTTTTATTCAATTATAAGTACTGAACAAGTGACAAAGAATACAAGACACTATCCATTTTTGGTTTACCTGATTTAAAAACTGTAGAATATTTATGAATTGTACAATAATTTCTTATTCTTAAGATATTATCAAATTCTCCAGTCACTCCATAGTGTGAATTAAAATCGCTAATCTCTGTTGGACATGGTCCTTCAAAGTTGGCATTGTATTCAGCCTCATTTGGTTTCCATATTTTTGCAGTGATATTTGTTGGTGTATTCGCGTAAGTTTGATCTGTTACACGATTACTGATAATTGATTTGTCTACTGAAATAAACGATAGTGGCTGAACGTTGTAGTGTTCTGGCTTTGAACTCATAATGTATAATAAACCAGTGAGTTTTATCTGATATAGACCACATTTTGTAGAAATATTAGTAGGTATGTGAGGGTTACCTAAAAGTATTCAGAATAATTAATTAGAGTAGCGTAAATTCAATAAAAATAATAAAAACTGATCACCAGAAATTACTTTTGTGTGTGTTTAATACATCTCAATTAAAAATTGATTTAGTAATAAGTTGAATATCTACCTGAGAAATTTGCAGAAAATGGCACTTATAAAACAATGTTACATCAACCAACGCCTACAACCAAATGATCTGCTATATTGTAATCTACTCTTTTTGCAGAAATCGCATTGAGTGACTGTTATAACTACTTTATTCAGTCAAGAAGGCTTATGACGACTATTTAAAGCGAATAATCAATAGCTTATTTTATAACTGCTGCGTTCAGTAGCACTAAAATAATAAAAAGAATTGAGCTATTTGAATATCCAAGTGTTGGGTTATAGGGATTTGATTGGTTACAGGATTTCATAATGAGCTGACATTAGTTAGTGAACCATTGGAAAACCTGGGATTACTGGACAGCTGTTTCGTCCTAGTTTGGGACTCTTCATCAGTACGCAGCCACCAACACGGTTCGAACCCAGGACCTTCTGGTTACATGGTAAGCTCGTAAAGCATTAAGCCACTGGGACCCAATCCAATGGCTCATGAATTCTAACTTCTGCCAATTCACGACATAGCGTGACCGCTAACCAATGTCTTCGGCGAGTATTTATCCTCACACCCGACCGGCTGCACCCTACTGGTCACGACTTCCCACTGGAACCCAGGTAACTACCTACCTGAATAAGGCCAGTCGCTAGTGAGCATCTCGTTGATTTGAATATCCCCATAATTTATTGGGAACAGGCGTTTTCAATAAATTCCTTTTAAGACTCTTTATAAGCCTCATTCAGAGGGTTTTATCCATTTGCGTACATGAATATGCACTCCTATTTGACTGAATAAAAGTGAAACCAAACGCTTAAGTCGTACATTTTTAACCCACTTGGTAAATACTGGATATTCACTGAAATCGGAGCAGGAGTTGTAATTTATCTGGTCTTTCTTTCTCTATCAAAATTTATCAAGGGAACCAAATGTATGAAATATCTAGCTTGTCCCTAGTATGAGCTCGACAACGTCTTCTACCAGCAGCTTAAGTGATCTCTACACGTAGAAGAACTGTATCCAACTGTTTTCTTTACCGTGCGTGACCTAAAACAAAGTCAACAAACCCTCCATCAATATTGTTAATTAATGCCTTAAATCCCTGCTGAAGTTTTCTTTCCCTTTGTTTCAGTGACCAACGTTTATTTCACACTTTTTTGATATTATGTCTATTACCACAGGTTCATGTAATGATTTCCAAGCTTGTTATTGCATTAACACAACCCTTTTCACTCCACATTATTATATTCGTTCATTAATAGTACTTTTGGCTTTACGCCATAGCATCCTTATCGCCGTTTGTCACCCTTGAAATTACGTGTAGTCTATCCTATTTGTTGGTTTGTTTCTCCGTAGTATTTGTATTGTCTCTCATACCATTGACTACGCTCACCACTGAAACGTGTACTTTTATTTTTTTAAATTTTTTATTTATTTATTATTTTTGAATACAGCTTGATTCCACAACGTATTTTTGGTTCAAGTATGAAATTTTCAGCATGTGATATCGGTAGCCCAAATTTTGCAAGCCGACCATAGATATCAGGTGTGCGTTGGTAGAGGATCGAACACTAGACCATGTGCAAAGTCGGTTAGAGTCCTAACCCCTGTGCCACATATGCCCTTTTGTTGACTCTACATATACAAACACATGTGCGTCGGTGGCACAGTGGTTAGGACTCTCGCCGACCATGCACATGGTCCGGGGTTCGAGCCCTCGCCGACGCACACCTGATATCTATGGTCGGCCTGCAAAATTTGGGCTACCGATATCCATGCTGAAAATTCCATACTTGTACCAAAAATACAGAGTGGAATCAAGCTGTAATCAAAAATAAAAAAAAAATAAAAAAATAAAAATAAAAAATATCACTGAATTATGTTAACTCATGTTCTTATTGACCATACATATTTTAAATAATAGTTCAAAAGTGATTATTATTCCATTATGTGCTTGGTCTACAATACACTTTCTTATATGATTCTAATTTACTTCAGGTTAGACGACGGATTGATGTCAATTAGAGAACCCAATGGGTTTCGAGTCCAGGACTTTCAGGTTACAAGGCAAGGTCGAAGACCATTCAGACAGTGGGACCTGACTCAGTGGCCCACTAACTCTAACCTCTACCAATTCGTGATTTTAGCGCGACCACCAACCAATATCATCGTGGGGAAATTAGTCCTCACTCCCAACTGGATGAACCACACTGGTCACGACTTCTCACTAAAACGCCAGGTTGTCGCATCGCAAGTCTATCTTGAAATAAAAGTTTCAACTTTTCATATCATAGTGTCATTCAAAGTAACAAACTTATTTTGTGATTACAAATAAATCTGGGTTGGATACCGTTTTCATATAAATTAGTACATTTTAGAACACTGTAGAATAATCGATAGATGAGTGTTTCTTCTGTGAAACGTCTTCCAGAAAAGCGATTATCATTGGACAATGTAGGAATCAGAATTTATATAGTTCATATTGTGTATACGATTGAAAAATGGTTTTCATACGGGGGTTGGGGAGGCAGTGATAAATTTCGGTTAGACATCTTGTACAGCTGACTGACGATTACAAGCTTTATGTGGTAATACTTTCTCATTGAAAAATAGATTTGAGTGTAGAGTACTCATTCTCCTTTAACACAGGTAATAAATAGTATATGCATACTCATCAGGATGATTAAGTTCTTTGGAAAGCGAAACATACTAGTTGCTAACTAAATATTGTTTGTTATTGGGTTATTAACCTCAACATTGAAAGTAGTTGGGTTGCTAATTTTGATTTTAATTGTAGACGAATATGCTTTGCAATCAACCGTTAATCGTTGTAGGTTATGTGGCGGTCGACGGAAGTCTTTCACAGTAATAATATTGAAAAATCAAGCAACACATTAAATCAGATTAATCAGTGCTGAACAATGTGGGATTTGTTTGCGGCATTATATACTGACTAAGTGAAATTTAATGCTGTGATTAACTTAGTATAGCATCCTGCTGAATTGTATTTTTTTTAGTTTTGATAACGAAGTAAATTCATTTAAAGAACTAGTGAAAATCAGGGAGTACTTGGCAGTTGTTTCGTCCTTCTTTGGGACTCTTCATCAGTATGCGCCCAGGATCTTTATGTCACAGGGCAAACTGGCTGATCATTTAGCCACTAGGTAAGAATCCTATGGTTCAGTTAGAACTTGTGTTTCCCGAGCATCTGTTAGAGTGTCTGCTGTCGGTTTTTGCTGTAGCAGCATTGTTATTTGGCAAACTGGTAGAACAGCAGTTAAGACTCTCGTCGGCCATGCGCATCGTCTGGGGTTCGATCCCCTGCCGACGCACACCTGATATCAATGGTTGGCCCGCAAAATTTGGGCTACCAATATCATATGCTGAATACTCATACTTGTACCAAAAATACGGTGTGGAGTCAAGCTATAATAAACATAATAAAAAAACCATTAGACAGCTCAGCTGGAATATTTCATGCATTTTTCCCCTTGATGAATTTGAATAAAGTAAGAACAACAGTGGTTTGTGCAGAATAATATGGTACCATCATTTATTTCGTTGACTTCTCATCAGCTGCACACAGCCTAAATAAATTATGAGGTTTACGTACAGAAAAGTTTAAACATACTTGCAAATTTTACGTTTTCAGTTGGCACAAAGTTCCACAACTAGTGAATAGTGCTCAGAAAATTGCGCTTATGTAGTTTTTATACGACAAATGATCTCAATAGTTTCGTTGATTGGAATCATTGTGAACGTTGTGTAAAAACTATACAAGCGCAATTTTCTGAGCACTGTTCGCTAATTGTGGAACTTTATGTCAACTGATAACATGTAAAGTTTGCAAGTATGTTTAAACTTTTCTGTACGTAAACCTCATAATTTATTTAGGCTGTGTGCAGCTGATGAGAAATCAACGAAATAAATGATGGTACCATATTATTCTGCACAAACCACTGTTGTTCTTACTTTATTCAGCTGGAACAGATTCTATTTGGAGAAGTAAATTAATCCTTACTTCACATGTGGAAATTTTAAGCATAAAATTAGTAGTGTGTTATTGGATAGACCACTACAAAAATAAAGGAAAGACTTACTTTCTTGATTCATATTTCGTACTAAAATATTTGCATTGAGTGGATGAATTGTACTACTACCACTGCTACTGTATTTAATTTTCTGTTTATCAAATTGACATGTGTCTGATATCAAATGCTTTTCACTGACTGCTTTAAAAGGAAGTGAAAACATACACAAGAGTGATTGAAAATCACTGTATAGACAAATATAAAGCTTAACACTAATCATAGTTTAACAAATTATAATCTACAAAGCAATTTCTTTTTACATGAAAACTGTACGAATATGGAGAACTCACTACTCTGAGCTTTTTGGATGAACAGTGTTGCTCGGGAAAATTAAATTACCCAACTGATTAGCAATTACGACATATGCTGAAGACTTACAAATGCAGTTTTTTTTACTATAAAACTGTATGCATACCCAAGTTCATCAGTTTGTTAAATCTTACGGTGGAATAGCTATTCAGTTCGATGCAAAATAAATCTGAGTTCAGTCGAAATGAAGAAGTTCTGTATTACTTTCCGATTCTGGCTTTGTCATCTTCATCTGTGTTGTCGCCTGTAGTTGAGACGATGCTTCCTAGATAAGTGGAGGCAACCAATGTTAAATCTCCTTTCGAGTCGAATCTTGCTGTCATGATCCTGGATGAAATTGTTTCCCACTGTATTAGGGCTTTGGTTGCCACTGGTGGTATCATTATAGCCACTCACTGCATCGGCGTGCCTATGGTTGTCGTCTGGGTGGCCGGAGTAGCTTACTTTCTCACCAGTTGACAATTTCGATAATCCACATATATTCCACCTGCTCATGCAGATTCCCAGAACTTCTATGCCATATCTTCGCATTTCTTTTGTTACCTAGACAGCCTTCCCAATCTCGTACATTGTACGTAGATCACACGTCCCAATTATTATTCTCGCTTTCATCGAGAAAAGACACATCTGCTGGCTAACTGGCATCCCGAAGGCTTTCACCAGCCCACTGCGTCATTTTTCTTCCCTGATTCCAGCAAAGAACTTGTATTTTTAATATATTTTTTATACGTTGAAGTTTCTCTAGAAGTTCAATAGATTTTGTGGTGTTGGATTGCTAGCCCCACCCCTAACCCTCCCAGTTTACCCAGGCTCACGACCGGCTGGGAAACTAGCAAGTTATTTAACTAGGAGAGGTTCTTTACAGCCTGAGACTTATTCTAATTCATTTGGCTGTAAAAAGTTAATCAAATGTATTTACTCTAAGCAGTCTTGTTTAATAATTTCTCATGGTACTTATAGGGGTCGGTTTTCAGAGTTACTAAGTATGCTGTATTTAGAATAGGATGTTAACTGTTGGTCAGCAGTGCGCGTAAGTCATTCTATCCACTTCAGTATACTATGCAAATTCAATAGATCAATATCTCTTTATGACTTATAATACCCCCAATGAAGCCATATTGCTCTTCGTTATTACTATTCCTTTTGTCTCATATCCCTGTTTACTGTCTCTATTTTACATTTCTTCTAAATTTCTTCTCTTGCTTTATGTGCTACATGTAGCGCGCTGACTTGAACTGCTGCACATCGGTGCAAAGTCCTATATTGAAAACAGACAGAGAGAATAGATCAATATTGCAGAATTGTACGATGAACGTTCATCTTATGTTTAAATAGTTTCGTTTGCAAATATATAGTATTATAGTGGGTCTCCTTATGATCCTTATTACAGACATCTAATATTATTGCATTTATGTAGATAGTAAATTTATCATTTGTGGTAAGAATTTTTAAAATGAATAAATCAGTAAATAATATCATTTTTGTAACTTCCCATCAAAGCTGTGTAGTTCAGTAGTATCTCTAAAAGGTTATAAAAAATGCCCATGGAGGTCAGTTATTAGTTTTATTTGGTAACAAAATACACTACTTAATATGCTACACATGATATTAGCCCAGAGAGCAGAGATGCGAGGAAAAAATGAATACATTGTGAACCTTGTTTAAGTGTTCTAGCATATTCTAAAATCCATGAGTTATAGATATCGTTTAGAAACGATTATCACTAAAATTACGAGCCAGTTGAAACAGGAATATTGTCCATAGGAAATAGAAATTTACAAATATGTATTAAGTATATTTTAAAGTTATAAGTTCGTAAAAACTGAGTAATTACGAATTACGTATTAAATTATAATACAAGTGGATATGAACGTTTGAGACTACGGTAGTATAAGGGACTGAACAAACGACTTATACACAATTCAAAGCTTTCCTTGTATACACCAATAACTTCCTCTATGGATAGAATATGTTGCCAGAAACCTTTCGAACAGTCCTGCTTGAACTTACATATCATTTTGAAAGACTTCTGTATTGATGTAAGATGATGTGTCTTAACATACGTAAGGTGAATATATATCGCTTAATCATCTCTTGTTTTCATGTCTTATCGTGTCCTTCTACACTTCAACGATCTCCTCATTCCTTCTTACTACTTTTTATCTAGCTAGCAGTACAAATTTATTATTACTACTTATTATCCTTCGAATTTACTATAAGCTAATCCTGCGCGTATGTTTATTGTATTCTCACTATCTCTCATTCCACCCATTATACTTCAGCAGTGGAGATTTGAATTCTAAGTTTTGACGAAGACATCACTCAGTCATTTCATCGTATCACTATTCCCTCCTTGCATAGCGACTGCACATTTTATCTGCAATTAAGTCATTTTCAAAATGAACTGTCTAATATCCTATCTTTTATATTGGTTGACGGCGACTAGTAGGATGTGCGATCCATCCTATTTGGGAAGTATCAGTTGGTTAGGACAAGTTAAACTTTAGCCATCAGTAAGTAACAGGGGAGTGCGGGTGGAACAGGTTAGTGAAACAAGGTAAACAATATTTTAGCCATGAATAGAATGTACTTATGAAGTGTTACGTCATTAAACGGGATATCTGACAAGTTCCAGGTAAGGTTTGGGGAAGATTAATTTTAGGTTTAAGCTAACGACAGGTTAGGGTTAAACTAATCTAGTGAGGGCAACATAAGGATTGGTTCGAAATAGATCAGGGATATTTTTGCGTTAGTGTTAGGTTAAGAAATGATTAGGGTTATTTCATACATTTGATCCCCTTGATAAACTTCGATAGAAAAAGAAAGACCAGATTTGCAGTATAAAATGACATCAATCTTATCAGCTACACACTACCTGAAATAATAACAATGGTTATAAATAATAACATTTCATACTTCAGTGTTTGAAAGGCAATAGAGAAAACATTATAAGATGAAAACATCCGGAATATAAACATTACAATTTTTAATTTAAGTCACCATCAGTTTATATGCTATCAAACTATGAAAAGAAAGGAAGGGGGTGCGAAAACACAAAAAACAAAAAAATCTAATAAACAGTGTTAGCTTGTGAGTTAATATGTCAACTCAAGAAGGTTAAAGTTCGTCAAATTGAAAACTTGCTCACTGAGCTGAGCTCACGAGTGTGTATGACTAATCAGTGTAATGAAAGTAATACGGTTACCAAGGGAGTGAGAGATTGACTACACTCTTTTTCTGTGTGCGTATGTTTGGTTTGAAACGCTTGATTGCAATTGCTTCGGCAAATCGTAGTAAATTCTCTGTCCTTTGTGTGCTTAATATTTTGAATTATTTGGAAATCTCGACAAAATGACCCTATCTACAAGGTGCCTGGTAATTCCACTTTGTAAATATCTGATCCCTTTTTAGCATAATTTTCTTTCTTTTAAAACTGGAAAAAAGCGCTTCTTTCTGTCCTTCCAATGTACTTTCTGTCGCAGCTGCACGTAGATTTATGAATGCAGTTGGAGGTGACATCAGCAGGGTACTTATCCAGTTTCGATTGACTTATAGAGCATGTAGTACTGTATAGAGTTATGAGTTTAGCTGCAGGGAAGCTTCTTTTTATTGCTCCTTTCATTCTCTTGTCAATCTTTTTTGAAACTGCATCACCTTTGATTAGGAGACAAATTGACACATTCTTCTTTTCAGCTGTTGGATTCTTTGCTTTTTAGTCTTTTTCTTTGTTGTACTTTAGGATGATTTCCTTTTGGACACCCAGTTTCCCTAAGGCATTTTTCAACAAAGCTTAATTCCTCTTCCACCTCGTTAGGTGAACACAACTTCCCACCTTAGTCGTAGTGTCCTTACTAATCCATATGTATAGATTATAGAACAGAAGCTGTTGTAGTGAAGATGTTGTCTAGTCCAGGTTTCGTAAGTGTAGATGGATTTTTCGGCTGTGCCATCACTTCTTCTTCTCACATTAAGGTCCAAGAAATTGAACTCATCGTTGTGCTCATATTCCATGATGATTCATTGTTTAAGTGGATCCCACTAAGATAGTCAAATAATACAGATGCCTGACTCATGCTGCTACAAATAACTAAGTATCATCGACATATTGGCGATGGTAGGTTGTTTCATTGATATCAGAAGTCATTCGCGTCTGTTCAAGATAACCCATTAAGATATCGATTAAGATAGGTCTTAGAGGTGAGCCCATGGCGAACCCATCAATTTCTCGGCAAAATTAGTTGTTAAATTTGAATTGGATTTTTGGTAGACCGTACATAAATGGGATGCGCCCACCTTTTTACCTGAGTCCGTTGTAACTTTGGTTGTCAATCAGTTTCTTGATGAAGAGTTCTTTGAGGCATTTGTTTACTTTATTTTCAAATGACATTGTTGCATCCTCCTTAGTTTTGTCCACCTGATATTTTTCGGGATCTTTAAGAATTGTCGAAATTTCATATATATAATCAGTTTCATTCATTAAAGCAACTCCAGAGCTAGGGGGTTAGGGTTAGATTTAGAAGACTAAATCATCACGTGCACGGAATGTGGTTCAATTACTCTGTTGACACTCCAATCCAAAACTGAGCGGTACTTTTTCACACGTCAGACAACGGTATTCTGTGTAACAGATTTATACCTTTAAATTCATTATTTTCAAGAATGGATATATTTTACAAGAGAAAATCACCTCTTTCATGTGGTTGATGCGTTCAGGTCATTCGTCTGTTGGTGCTTACTGGTACTTAAAGTTTAACTTTGCCGTTGGATATACATGCATTCGTAGTGACTGGTTCTGTTCGCACTGAAACTGAAACCCTGGACTATCATTCACTGGGAATGCAGATACATCCAGAGGACCGGTCTCAAATAAGATGAACTGCAAATTAACATAAAAATAAATAATTCCATATTCTGCTTCAATCGCTTTCGATTTTCTCCATCAGATTATCGTTTCTGATATAATTGTAACCTCGCTTTTACTAATGTTCAATTTCCAAACGAATAAATGAAGTCACAAGAATTAGTCTGTAGGGATTAAACCACGGTTTGATATAAGTTGGAAAACTATTGAAAACTGTTAGAGAGTACTCAACGACTGTTTTTTCCTAGCTTGGGATTCATCGGTGGTACGCACCCACTAGGTTTCGAAACCAGAACCTTCCAGTTACAAGGCAAGCTAGTATACGACTCAACTGCTGGAACCGGATTCAATCGCCAGTCCATGAATTGTAACTTCAACCAATTCCTAGAAGTTAGAGTTCATTGCAGTGGGGTAAGAATAATACGATATACTGCAACTAACACTTTATGTTCAATCTGAACACAAATCGCCTATCAACTGTGTGTATATCAGAGCTGATTGACTGATTCAAGAGTAGAACTCTGGTGATTTTATTAGTTTTTTCAAATCAATATATTTCAAATAAATCTGATGAAATTTAGCTCAAAAATAAATAAAATAAATCACTTACACATTCTATAAAGTATTGAGTTAATGCTTGATGATTCGTCAAATTCACTTTTACTACCACGATAGATTTCCAAGCATAAACTTCTTGAATGACTAAGACAATGAGCGAAAGTAACACACATAAAGACAAGTTTAAATAGATAATTTCAATAAGAAGGCTTAATGCATAAAACAAGTCGGAGTATCAGTTATCAAGCTGAATAATTAATCGGTGTGAATACTAATTTCTCCTTCTCTATTTGTTGTTGGTTTAATTTTTGAACAATGTGGAAGAAGATCTAAAAGTATCCGAAGTGTTTAAAATTTTCGTTTGACATAACAAAACCATTCGTTTACTGAAGTTAGATAAGATGAAAATCTTCTACAGTACAGGATACTTTTCTAACTAATACCACTGACTAAATGAATTGGAAATTTGATTTAAGGATTCAATTTACAGAAAACGTTTAAAAAATTCTAGTTAGAAATTTAATTAGTAGGTAAATTAGTAATTCCAAGCAATAAGGAGCTTAGACTTAGTGATAATAATATACACTGTATTATGGTGTTTTTTTTATTCCTTTACATTCTCAGTGGAACATAGGGCTTCAAGCTGGAGGCTTGAAGTTTCTGTAGTAGTGGTGATTATTTTTACAGGATGGGATTACTAGCCTCATGCCCAAACTTTCGGTCTTACCACTGGCTTGGTGAGGTGAAGGAGTGCCTTCGTAGCCAAGGATCGAACCCTGGACCACCTACGTAGTCGGCGAGTACTCTACGGCTGTGCCACTGACGTATACATAATGGTGTAATAGCCACTACATGTTTGACGGATAATCGGTTGGTTGTATTAACTTCAAAAGCTTTCTATTTTAGCGATGACGCCACTCAAGATGTTTGAAATAGTTATTTTAGTATTACATTATGATATTTAGTTATATTATTATTTATTATTATTTTATCCTTTAATTCCTAGAGGAACATAGGGCTTCAACCGCACGCCTCCACTGCCTTTTGTTTCCTGCCAACTTTTTCATCCCGCTCCAAGTCTGCCCACACGCTTTCATCTCCTCTTCACATGATCTCCTCCAAGTCACCCCATCTCGCACTGACGACCAACTCGCTGATTCCCTTTCGGGTTCCACTCGATGGCTTGTTTGGTGACGTCACTCGATGGTTTCCTCAGAGTATGGCCAGCCAATCCATCTCCATTTCTTCCTGCCTATTTGTTTCACAATCGGTTCCTGCTGAGTTGGTTAGCTCATTTCCAGAGATCCCTGTTGCTGATCTTTTCTGGCCGGCCATCTGATCTTGAGTATTGAGTGAAGACAGCCGTTGATGAAGGTCTGTAGTTTGTTTGAGATGCTCCTTATGACGCGCAGTGCAAGTCTCTGATCCGTATAGTAGCACTGACTTCACATTAGAGTTGAAAACCTGGATCTTATTTTTCATGCTGAGTGCTGTTGACATCCACACAGACTTAAGAGTAATGAGAGCTTGTCTTGCTTTCCCGATTCCGGCTTCGATACCCTCATCAATTCCCTCCACTTGTAGCTGAAACGATGCTTCCCAGGTTGGTAGAGGTGAAGGAGGTTGTTTCTTTCAGGTTCCTCTCATTTTTGCTGATTGTTGTCTGTTGTTGTTGATGTTGGTGTTTCTGTTGGCCAGGAATCTTCATCACCTCTGTTTTCTCTATGTTCACCTGAATTCCTATCTTTGATGCTTCTTCTGCCAACTTGTTGCTTTTCACTTGTATATCTTCCAGTTTGTGGGAAATCAGACATATATCATCAGCGAAGTCCAGATCCTCCAGGTTTTTTGTGTGAGTCCATTTTATGCATGTTTCCTCATTGTCCGTTGTTTGTCGCATTATCCAATCTACTGCAATCAGGAAAATCATTGGCGATAGTAGGCAGCCTTGTCTCACTCTCGTCCTCACTTCGAAGGATTCCGTAAGTTTCCCGTTGTGGATTACTTGGCATGCAGCACTGTCGTACAACTGTTGGATGAGATGTATAATTGTCGATGGCAGCCCGTGGTAGCGAAGTAGTTGCCAAATGATTTAGTTATAAATCAGATTAAATTTGTGGAAAATAAAAGAAATCCTTGGATTTAATGGAGTTTCAAGCACTTGAACTTTACCGATCAATTTGTTTATCTCTACTGCTTGAGATCAAGGAAGACCGATCACAAGAAGGACTGATGACCAGTGATCGCATGTGACTTTTATTTCTAAATTCTTATAATTTATTAATGTCCAGTTAGATACATCTGTAGGGTAGGGTAGATATCGAATTCCGCTGTCATTAGCTGGGTAGTATTAGAGGCTTTCTTGTTAGCCAGTTATGATGGGCCAGGCTTGGCAGTTTATCATTGGTATGGACAAGGTACAGGAATGGTACGATAGATGGGTAGAAAAAAACACGAAATTTAATTCTGGTTGAAGTCAGTACGAAAACAACCTCATAGTCGTTCATGTAATTAGAGCAACTGGTCTCCCTATGATTCCCTTGATTTGCTGTCGTCTAATTGGTTCTCAGTAACTTCTACATGGAACCTATGTCTATATGACTGCTGATTACCACTCCACCGATGTAATGCTTTTATGAGAACTTAAAATTACAGCTTATTTTTTATGAAGTAAACGCTGGTAAATTCATCTGGCATCATGATGAAATATTTACCATCAGATACACGACTCAATTTATAAAGTTGTGATCAACGACTGTTTCATTTACGATATAATCAGATTGTTTATTTTAAAAGCAAATTTCATCGCAAATCGATATTAATTAGAGAACCATTGAGAACCATTTAGCACTGAGCAGTTGTTTCATCCCGATTTGGGAATCTTCAGCACCACTCACCAACCACTCCATGATTCCTGGATGGTTTTCAGTAATTTATGATGAAAAGATCTACCCTGAAATCACTTACTTCCTCGTGAAGCTGTTTACCGCAATCTCATCCTACAAATGAGTTGTTTGATTATAGCTTTTTGGCTTCCATCTGCCTGGCACAGTAGTTTAATTAGTTAGAATCCTCTTCTTACCTGTTTTAATGCAAGTAACTATTTAAAATAAATAAGTAAATAATTGTACTCTTTTCAAGTATTGGTATTTGTAGGGATTTTGTTTGATTGGTTAGAGGATTTTATCATGAACTGATATCGTTTGGAGACTCACTGGAAATCCTAGTAGTAATGGACAGCCAGTTATTTTTGCAGACTAGTTTGGGACTCTTCATCATTACTCACCTATTGGGGCCTGAACCCAGGTCCTTCTGGTTACAAGGCGAGTTCCCCCGAATCCTCCAACCACTCAGACAAAATCCCTACAAAAACCAATACTTGAAAATGTATTTGATGCCCACTAGTGATCGGCCCTGTTCAGGCAGTGACCTGGGGTCCTAGTAGGAAGCCGTGACTAGTAAAGTGCAGCAGGTTGAAGGTCAGGCAGTAACTCATCGAAGAAGACATTACGAAGTGGTCGTGCTATTTCATGAATTGGTAGAAGTTAGAATTCATGGGCTGGCCACTGGATAGTGTCCCAACAGGCTCAGTGGTCTACGAGCTCGCCTTGTAACCACAAGGTCCTAAGTTTGAGCCTAGGTGAGTGCGTACGGTTGAAGGGTCCCAAACTAGTCTGGCGAAACAGCTGTCCAATACTCCCAGCAGGTTTTCCAATGGTTCTGTGACTGATGTCAGCTCATGATGAAATCCTCCAACCAATTATTCTCTTCTTGAAAATACGTTGAACCACAGTTAAAACTCAAATATATTTTTCATTTCCATAATGTTATATAATTCGAATGTGTACAGTATACTCTAATCATTTTAGAAGGAAACTTACCATCCATTAGATTGGTGATCACTTCGTAGAACATACCGGTCAATAAGCGATTCTTGTATCTCCCGGATACAATAAAAATGCATACTGTGTTGTACATCATTGACTGAATTTATAATCAGTTTATTATTGTTTATATGGAAACGTGCTGTTAAACGGCTACTTGAATTACTGTAAATTACTGATGTTTGTGTAGTGACTGGTTCAATTAACTCCCAAATCCCATGATAATTAGAATGAAATTTACATGAATCATGCAAGAGATACTCTATAATTTAAATTAAAAAAGTGGTTTGGTTATTATATTTATTTACAATTATAAATAATTAGGGAGCATTGAAAAAAACAAACTGTTTCTTTGGGTAAAACTTGTGTATATTTATGTTTGAGATTACAATAAAGAGTCACTCCTATTCTGACTGAAGTTATGGGTGAATATAACTACTAATTAGAGGAATTCTCCTCTCCTTTTGGTAGCAACGGTCACTAGGTGCAAAGGGCGCTCCTTATACTACCTAAAATAGCCATGATTTGTATTTTTTGGAGCTTGGACTTAGAGTCCTGTCGACTATTTTTCATCTTCAGGTGGAAGCCAACAAGTCGGGGGAGAGAAAGTGAAGACAGACTTCTAGGGAGAATATGGAAAAGACAGAGATGTTGAAGGTACCTAATTACCACCAGCAGAAGAAATCAAGAAAGCATAGTCCAACTAGGGGCAGCGTAGAAGATAATGTCAAAGGCAGGATCTGGAAAGCAATACAGACCTGTTTTACTGTGAAATCAGTGTGCAAATCTGTTGCACTCAGCTTAAAGAACAGGATCCTCTGACTGACATCATATGCATGATTCTCTAATGAAATCGTAATGAGAAACGAGGAGTTGTGCGTCCAAGGGTGATATGGAAAAGATTGTGTCAGAAGGATCTTGAAGCCACCTGAAAAGGACTGTGGGAACAGAATGAAATAGCAATGTGCTGTTGAAGTACTGTGTTCCGTTTGGAACACAGGTGAATAATAATAACAATAATTGATGGTATTAGATGATTGAAGGCAATCAGCGGGAACCTTGGACCTAGGTTTCATGCTAGTTGGCACTCCTGCCGATTGCCTCCAATCATCTAATACCATCAAATCAATGTGCACCTTGATGGCGAGCTAGCTAGAATGGTGGTCACATTACAACCTTACTGATAGAATTCAATCCACACCAATCAGAGGACTAGACGTACCACACTAGTTACTAGTATCAAATCAAAATAACAATAATTATTAATAGTAGTGGTAAACTTTCCATCTGATTTCTAGCATTCTAAAGCCGTTGAGTGCCGCTTGATTATAAAGCCTAAGAAGTTTTGTAACTCTAAAAGAAATCATTTAAGATGAGTAACATCCAGGTACTTTAAAAAGGTTCTTACCACATGTCTGTCTTGGTACTGAACAACTTCGGTGACAGAATAATTGATTTCTAGCACTGTATTCGCATCCATACTTGCAACTAATACGTTCATCATCACAATTCCCAACTGGGAAATGAAACAGAAAGGTAGAAACATAGGAAAACTGCATAACTTTTGCCTAGACATAATTAAATGGTAGGAAAATATTAATGAATAAGTTTCCAGCTGTTTACCATGTGACTTATTGGCTTATTTTATGTTCAGAAAGGGGAATTTAGGTTTTGTCTAACTTCATTTAGCATAATAGTAAAGCAGTGGCGGACAAATTGCATTACAATTAAATGACATCACTAATCTAATCTTTTAGTCGTGAAGAACCTGACTAGAAGAGCTTTAACTCCTCTTCTGCATTCTTTCATCTGAATGCATTTGTATTGTCTAGAAGTATGAACTCTAATTTTTTAAACAAATAAACAGACAGGATAAGTTTTTGTCTTGTGTTCAGCAGTACCAGAGAATTACTGGTAAACATCACTTTCTGTGGGAATATAGACCACAGACATGCATCAAAGAAGTGTGTAGGGTGACTGTGGTCAATATTAAACAGAGGATCTAGCCAGCGGATTCCACTGTAAATGATAATAAAAGATTGCACTATTTTCAGATGTGCTCTGGATTTTTCAGAGATATCTTGTCAAGTAAAACTACCAACCTACGTTTTAACAGCTCAATAATAAGGCGGGTGCAGTTTAATCATGGCGATCAGTTATTTATCCATTGCTGATATAGAACAAGATGTGTAAGCGAACAATATTGTTTCCAATTCGATTTTCCTGAGGCTTTATATATATATATATAATATAGTAATAATATTAGTAACAATATTGATGATAGCGAAGACATAAGTAGTTGACGCAGGTGGCGATAAGACGAATACAGATGGTATGATAATTTGAACATTTCTGTAATAAAAGTAGGTCAAGATATTATGAAATTAGGAGTTATGCAATTTTGCAGATGAAGCGGATAGATAATCAAAGTTTAAATAAATATGATAAATATTTGGAAGTGGTGAAGAATAAGAGCTCCTTATCCATTCTTAGTTTTCAGTCCTGGCGTATATTTATCGTACTTATCTAAACTTTAAGTCAATTGCTTGACTCAGCTGGATGTACCTGCATTCTCCAGTGAGTGATGGTGTTCCCATCGATGCTCGAACCCAGTGCCCATAGTCTCAAACGCCAAAGCTTACCACCAGACCACTTGGGCCAAGAGAGCCACCTCTTGTGCAACTCGTCGTATTAATTATTTAATTCAATTAGATTTTCCCGTCGATTGAATTAAATTACTTACATTTTGATTATCTATCCACTTTCTCTTTTGTATTAAGTTTAATTCAACATTGTACCTGTTCTCCATTGGTCGGAATATTTATTAACGTTTTACACAGCCTTTCTGATGCTAAGTCTGTTGTGCTTAAATAAAGCAGTTATATCATTGATATAAGAATAAAACTTGTGCACTGTGATAGAATATAATTCCATTATGGGTAAATTTTGTTTTGATAAAGTCTCACAGTGTTATACAATAATATTTACTAATGACGTTTCGAGCACAATTTATCTCTGGTATGAATGATGAGTCATTCCTAGTGAATGTGTTTGGTGTAGACTCGATGAACAATGACTCAGTAATCAAACTCTCTTTCGCCGCCTATCTACATTACTTTTTAGAATTTTAACCCTCTCACACCCCATTGTGTGGTAGTGTCAATGCATGCAGTGTAATTGCTGAGTTTTTTCTCTGAATTTCTTATCTTCTTGGGGTCAGCCATTCTTACCTTAGCTAAAATTCTTATGTTTGACAATCTGACTACCCCCGATCTACTAGTCTGACCTATGTAATTGACCTCACCGTCATTGCAAGGTATTTTGTAAGTTATATTATTTTTTTAATTGGATCAAACGACTGGGTCCTTTAACCTACATAGCTTGTCCCTGAATGAGTTTGTAGGTTTGAATGCCTCCCTAATTTCTGCTTTTTTAAGAATCCTACGTAGGGTCTAAGATCTCTCCCATTATGTGGTATAACAGTAGTTGCTTTGCATTCTCTCTTATTTATGTTATCATTATTAGTTCCAGCACTATTTTTATTTTGCTTTTGGCCTTTTCTCATCTCTCTAATGAATTTTATAGGATAGTTATTTGATACCAACTATTCTTCTATCTGTTTTATTTCATCATTTAGGTCTTTTCTTGTAATACTTATTGCTACTTCTTGGTTATTAGTTTTAGGCATGCATTAACACACAACCATACAATAGGGTGGGAGAAGGTGAAAATTCTAAAAAGCAATGTAGATAGGTGGAGAAAGAAAGGTTGATTACTGAGTCATTGTTCATCGAGTCTACACCAAACACATGCAATAGGAATGAGTCATCATTCATACTACTACCAATGAAATCAAGCGAGGAAAAATAAAAGAATTATGTAAACGAAGTAAGAAAGTTTCTGTGAGTACCTTGATATGATACGAGCAACAAATTGTGAACGAAACGTCATCGATAAATATTACTGTATAACACTGTGAGACTTAATCAAAATAAATTTTCCCCATAATGTAATTAAAGCAGTTATAGTCATATGCAATGTTTAGTAGTACATTTCCGTGAAAATTATTTTAGATTGCATATACACTGTTACGACTAGGCGTACTTACATGCTCTTCGAATTCCCATTTCATAAATATTTGCACTGGAATTATGCAGTGTGGTTCTTCTTGATTTCAAATTATACCATTCTAATGAATTCCATAGATAAATGCGACTAATTATTGTCTCTTCAATAGTTTTGTCTGATTGTAGCCCATGGATAATCCATATTGGTGAAAATTGTCCATAAGTTGTTGACTCTGCCGACAGTTCGGCCGGCAATTGCATATAAACCTTAAATAGTTTTTAATTCAGATATAAATACTTGTAATATGTATATCATGTGAAGCGCAATATTAAAAATAATTATACACATGACCGTGGAATTTGATGGTTCCAAAAATCTAATAAAACTTTCTCAATTTCAAAATTCGCGCTTACTGTCTATGACTCATGTGTTCTATGAGATAACCAAATACTCGGTCTCTTGCTGCTGATAACCTATTTATACGAAAATTCATATCTTTCAATTCTTTGCTTATCTGATACATTTCTCGAGACAGATTATTATTATTACTGTTATTATTCTTTCCTTTAATTCCTAGAGGAAAATAGAGCTTCAGCCGCGCGTATCCATCGCGTTAGATTCTCTACTGGAGTTTCCACCTGGTCCAAGTCTGCCCACAAGCTTTCATCTCCTCCCCACATGACATCCTCCAAGTCACCCCATCTCGCACTGACGACCAACTCACCGATTCCTACTCGGTCGGGTTCCACTCGAGCGATGGCTTGTTTGGTGATGTCACTTGATGGTTTCCTCAGAGTATGGCCAGCCAATCCATCTCCATTTCTTCCTGCCTATTTGTTTCGCAATCAGTTCCTTGTTGGTTAGCTCATTTCCAGAGATCCCTGTTGCTGATCTTTTCTGGCCGGCCATCTGATCTTGAGTAGTATTGAGTGAAGACAGCCGTTGATGAAGATCTGTAGTTTGTTTGAGATGCTCGGGACAGATACCACTAATTAATATCAGTATATTCTTTAGGTGACTAATAGTTAGTTCTCTTCAACTACATTTTTTAAATTATAGCTGGATTCCACACCGTACTTTTGATAAAAGTACGGAATTTTCAACATGTGATATTGGTAGGCCAAATTTTTGCAGGCCGACCATTGATATGAGTTGTGGGTCGGCAAAAGATTAAACCTCGGCCCATGTGCATGTTCAGGGAGCGTCCTAACCGCTGTGCCACCTATGCTTCAGAGGAAAACCGCTATCAAAGCCATGGTTTTACCGTCTTAAGTGAATATTAAAATGATGGTTGTTGTTTGATAAAGTTACAAGGCTTTTGATTTTATGTGTTATTATTTCAAGGATTCCAGTTAAACTCAATGCAACTTATGTACAAAATAATGCGTTTTAAGCATGAATATCTGTTGCTATCAATTTGTAGTTGCCAGTAGTGTCAACAGTATTTTTTCTCCATAAAACTGAGCAGTTCTTTGTATAGTTGTGATTTTCTTTTACTGTAAAAAGGGACTGGATATATTGTGGATATCAGAAGAAAGTGCATAGAGGTTATTGTCAGTAAGACTTGGTTTTGACTTTACAATAGTTAAATTTTATTCAAAAACTCCCTAAAGGGGTAAATATAACAAACTGTTTATTGAGCTCTGATATGCTACTGTCAAGCTGATATGACAGCCCTTCTTATAATGTACTTTCTTCATATTGTAGAAGTGATGTTGTCTGGTGTATGCAGTTCAGAAGAATTAAAAGCTGGCATAATTACATCATTTCGTGTGTTGTTAGAAACATTCTTTCAAATACTTAATTCAATTTTAGATTTTTCCCGTAGATTGATTAAACCGAAGTGCTCGGTCTCGGGTCGACGAGTCACGAATATGACGAAATGCGCATCATGGATTCCACTGCTAGTTACCATCCACCAATTAAATTCTTTCAAATATTTCTATTTTTATGTGGTAATAATTTTAAACGATAATCAACTTCTGCCTTCAAGGAGAAAAACAGACTATTAGATGGTTGGAGGCAATCGGCAGGAAGCCTTGGACCTAGGTTTCGTGCTGGTTGGCACTCGTCAGCAAGGCGTGTCTGCAGACTGCACCAAAGAAAGGATTAGACACATCACACTAGTTACTAGTGTCCAGTCAAGAAAAACAGACTATTTACACTCTGAGTTACCTTCGTCTCTAACAAATATGTTGAAGACTGAAATATTCATTTCCTACTTTGAGTTGGTAGATAAGCTTCATTGGTGAAAATCTTAAACTGTAGATTTGTACCATGGTCGTGAGGATGTGAACATGAGACATTAACCTATACATTCACCTCCTTCTCTCTGATGAACGGTTTGAGCCTTTGCAATGAACCACTTATTTATTTGGACAAATGAATGCAAAGTATCATAAACCTTCACATGTTAGCATACTAGAAAATGGATATGTGTGAATTTTCAGGTACGGTAAATCAAACTGCTGCAGTTTGACAATATACGTTTTTAAAAGTTTACAAAGTGGTCATGACTAGTGGCGGGCAGCAACAGACATATATATATATATATATATATATATATATATGGAATGGTTAGAGAAAGCTTTGGTGAATGTCAAAGATATAGTTCCCAAAATGTCACAATGTAATTGTGTCTATGGGATAACGTGTTCAGAATGTGAAGCTTGTTGTATAGGGGAGAGCAGTAGACATATGAAGGTCAGGGTGAATAAACAAAGACTATGCACGAAATGTTCACCTGGAAATGAATTAGAATTAAAAAGTCTAGAGAAAAGATCGGCTATAGCAATGCATGCTATCTATGGACAGCGGACATAAGATTGATTTCGACAGTGTCGAAATTCTTGGAAGAGGATTTCATTCACATAAAGAAAGGTTGACCTCTGAAGCCTTGCACATTTTAACCACATCGAATGCAGTAAACAGGAAAGAAGGGACAGCCTGATAACCTATATGGGAAACACTAATGCAGCAAGACAGATGAAAAAATAACAAAAACCTCTATGAATCTCCATGACCTTTAAAAAATGTGTTATCATGTTTATCACATGTGAGTTAACGTGTTTTTCATATGACAAATAACACACATTCAAACAAAAAATATACACAATAACAATTTGACATTAGTCATTACAAATATATGTGATGACTGCTTACATATTTCTATTGGTACAAATGTCTGTCAACGAGTGATGTTCAAGTAAACTGACTTCAATTTAAATTTTTGACTATATATTTTGATGATTAATTAAATCCGAATAATCCTACTGAAGAAGCTGTGGCTTACACAGCGAAACGTCCGGAAAAATCCTGTTTTGATTTTTCTTAAACACGCTGGGATTAATTTAAATAATTTATAATGAATCAATCTGATTCGGCGCTCAAATTATTCCAGGAAATTCGTAGCATCTACGGTCTGGAAACTTATGACATTCAATAGGAACCTAATTCATCCTTAATATATTAAATTTCATAGGCTGTAGGTACTCAGAAGTTAAGGAGCATGATTTAGCTTGGCTATTCATCTACCTTCAGAGATATTTAGCGGTTTTATCAAATGTTATTAGCTGTATAGACTAATTTAAGTAATGACCAGAAAATTACAGTCGTACATATTTCTCTCTATGATATCCCAATCACTAGTTTTATTATCTCGCAATAAAGGAAAAGGATGCCTTTTCAGTCAAAATTAAAAGGAGTTAGCTAGGTCGGCGAAGTGATTGTGAGCCTAGAGTTCATAAACACTCAACTCATAACTAGAAATTAGCAACAGTAAATCATAGAGCCGAAGCTTTTAAAAATCAGTACTTGGACATATTTGGGACAGTTACTGCCGTATCTATCACACATAATATCAGTACCACCGTACAGCTGAAACTGTACTGTACAGCCATACTACTGAAAATGAAGTCGTTGGCAAGCAATATTTCTTCTCCAAACAAAGTAGTGTTTATCCTTATGAATTAAAGTGTAAGTTAGTTCCTTCCTAAATATCATGGTGGCGGCAGAAATTAGGCGGCTAAAATGTAACTTTTACATCCAGGGAGAAACTGTTGTCAGTCTTTCTCTATCATTAGTGAGAAGAGTTTATTTTATTTCAATTTTGAAACTTCAACCTAGGTTCTAGCAATTTCTTTTGATATTCTTAACTCATTTTACAGGTGTGACCACGGATGGATATCAGTAAGGGAACCAGTGAAAAGCAGGAAGTGCTTGCAGGTGTTTCTCCATCCTCGTTTGGAACCCATCGGCAGTACGCAATCATTTAGGTTCGAACCCAGGACCTACCGATTACAAGGCAATCTCGTATACCATTCACCCACTGGGACCTGACTCAATGAACAGCCTATGAGTTCTAACTTCGACCAATTCGTGATTGTAGCGCAACCTTCAGCCAATATCATCGACGATTTTCGTCGTAAAGAGTTTTCGTCGCTGAATTTCTTGTTTTCATGTACCAAAAGGGATTATTAATTTAATTAAAAAGAGCAAGAACCCCATGGTAGTTAAAGACATGAATGTGTTTTTATGTCACACAGTCACACTTGCATTGTCAAGAAATGAAATTCATTTTCTAAGCAGATGCTTCCTAAATCATGGATATCCAAAAGCTTATTGGAAAGTTTTGTGGCATCATCGTGTTTATCTAAATTGCAAAACTCCTAAACGACACACACCACTATCGGATTTATGATTTAGAGAGGAACATTTCATGGAGAGCACATATGTTAGGCGAACTGTTACCAGAGATTCGTGTACAATTTGAAGACTGAAGAATACGTCTTTAACTACTCCTCGAATTATTTAAGTCGCATTTAGATGGAAACATTATCACATGGCTCAAAATTCTGTATCCCTCAATTGAATGAAAGGACATTGAATGATTAGGTGCAGTTTGAAAATTTGATTAGTCAGACAAAGGACCTGACAGCAAATTCACTAGAAGACTTAAATCACTTCAAGTCATCAGTGCTAAATTGTGCTCATCAGTTCACGAAATAAAAACAGGAATTGCCCCAGCCTCCCAAGAAGGGACCTTTCATTCAGTTGAAAAATTAGAATATCCTACTAACACAACCAGGTAAAGGTACAGGGACTGTAATAATGGGTCAGAAAGATTATATTGACAAAATGCAAAGCATTGTGTCAGATGAGTCAAAATTTCAGAAAAATTAGAAGAACAACACAGGAATGATATAGGAACAAATCACCTAGGTTCTGAAACGAATGAAGAATGATTCATTGTCGAAACCCAGACCTT